TTGGGAAAAAACGTCATTTTCAAATTTTATTCATGTTTTTCCAGTTAATTGCACCGTTTATATAAAGAAAATCGATAGAAATCATGCAAGGAGGTAAGCTCGGAAAAATGCCACAGAAAAAGAATATATCCTTTTTAGGTCTGATTATTATCGTTTGACTTAAAAAATTGACAGAAATCATAAAAAAAAAAATCCAAAATTTTCGAAAAATTACACTTTTTGGGAAAAAAAAAACGTCATTTCCAAATTTTATTCATGTTTTTTTTCCAGTTAATTGCACCGTTTATATAAAGAAAATCGATAGAAATCATGCAAGGAGGTAAGCTCGGAAAAAAATGCCACAGAAAAAAAGAATATATCCTTTTTAGGTCTGATTATTATCGTTTGACTTAAAAAAATTGATAGAAATCATAAAAAAATCCAAAAATTTTTGAAAAAAATGACTCTTTTTGGGGAAAAAAACGTCATTTTCAAATTTTAATCATGCTTTTTCCGGTTTATTAAACCGTTTAAATGAAAGAAAAATCGAAAGAAATCATGCAAGGACGTAAACTTGGAAAAAAATGCCACAGAAAAAAAGAATATATCCTTTTTCAGGTCTGATTATTACCGGTTGACTTGGAAAAATTGACATAAATCGTGAAAAATGAAGTCCAAAAATTTTTGAAAAAAATAACATTTTTTTGGGGAAAAACGTCATTTTCAAATTTTATTCATGTTTTCAGTTGATTGGACCGTTTATTCGATAAAAAGCGATAGAAATGATAAAAATGGGAGGTAAACTATAAAATTGAAATATTTTGCAGCTAAATCATGTCATTTTCGGTTTTATTCTCGTTTAACTTGAGAAATTGACAGAAATCATGAAAGTTACAGCTAAACTTCAGAAAAACCTAGACAATATTATATTTTTTTGAGTCTTATTCTTTTTAACTTGAAAAATTGACATAAATCGTGAAAAAAATAAAGCCCAAAATTTTTGAAAAATGGCATTTTTGGGGAAAAACGTCATTTTCAAATTTTATTCATGTTTTTCCAGTTGATTGAACCGTTTATTGGATGAAAATCGAAAGAAATCATGCCAGGAAATTTTTTAAAAGTTCAAACAAATGACCTAGAGTTTCTTAAAAATCATTTTGGAATGAAAAAAAGTTTTGATTTTATTCTTGTTAAAAAGTCGACAGAAATCATATAAGATATAAAAACGTTCTATGCTTTGGTCAAAAAATACATCATTTGAGTAACCCTGTTTCTGATCTCAAATATAAATTTGCAACAAAAATCAAGGACCAACTTTTGGTAACTCGAGTAAGAAAAATATATAATCTGAGAAGCGAAAAGGCGACTCGAAATCGAATATGCGGAGCTGCAAACAGAAGGAAAATCTGTGGGCGTATTTTCGAACGCTCATTGAAGCTAATGTCATAAATCTCATCAGGCGTGTGAAATTTGGACTTTTTTGAAATTGAAAAAAAAATTAATCACCAAAAAAAACTTGCTTTTTCCAGTCCATTTTTCCTCGATTTCACACACTTTTTCCGGTAAATCCCATACAACTTCGAGTGGACCTGAAACCTTGACGCATCGAGTTAAGAATGTGAAAAATAATGGGAAAAAAACAAAGGAAAAACATTGGAAAGAATAACATTGAGAATAAAATTTCAATTGAAAAATACGGAACTCCACTTTACAATCAACGTTGGAGCATACTTCCTTTGAATATCGATCGACGAGATTTATTTCTCATTTTTCCTAAATTTTCACGCGAAAATTGTTTTAATTAGTTGAAAAGCGTTCTTTTTCTGTTCATTGACGTTCTAAAACGTTTCTTGATCACAAAAAGGTGTGATGCACAAATTGAAACTATTTCAACTTTTTAGCTTTTCATACGGAAGTAAATTCTTCGTGGTGTGTTGTTCTGTGAAGCCAAGTCTTATCAGTTCGATACCTTATGTTTTTTTAATTGCACTTACTTCATGATTTCCGTTCACAGCTGGCTTGGCTGGTTAGAAAATTGCCGAATAATTTGCGTTGTTAAATAACCTTGTTGGAACTCGCCATCATTGCTAACCTTATTTTGGGCTACAAATGGAGGAAGTTTGAAGGCGTTTTTTTGAACACTTTTTTTCAAAATTTCAGTCACAAGCCAGCCGTGAAACCTCGTGAAGAAATGCTTATTTCGGAATTTTAATGATTGGTCGAAATTATTCCTGTAAGGACAAAAAAAAAACTTACTCAATTTCCATTTTCAGACAAGGAAGGACTACGAGAAGGAAAAAGAAGATCAACGAGAGAAAGGTTAGTTCAAAGTAAATTCAATTTAAAATTTGCCAGAAAATAATGGAAATCATAAGCTCAAGGCGTTCAAACAGAAACATGGCCGGACCAGCTGTAAGCCAGAAATAAATAAATAAACAGATAAGAGGAGCCGTTCGTTTCGGCTCCTCCAAAAGGCCCACTTGTCTGCTTCCTATTGCCTTTTTTTTGCGTAGAAGGATATTTCCTTTCTGGACCAGAGTTCAGAAGAAAAAATGATGAAAAGAGTGCAAAAATTGTCTATTTTATTTTTCGATTGCCAGTTGTGATCTTATAATATTCATCTGAGATTTTCTTTGATTTGAGAAATTGAAAAATCTTTTTAAAAAATATTTTTTTAATCGAGAAAAAAATCTCTTTTTGGTTCAGTTTGAAGCAATATTTTTAAGGCTGGCTCATTTTTCATTTCAAAAAAATCGCGTTTGGAATCATAAATTCTGTGAAATTAGCAGTTTTCCCTTGTTTTTTTACATCTTTCAAAGGGAGGAAAAAATTTGATAATTAATGGAATCAGGTTGGTATTGATGAAAAGTACAGGGGAAAGCTTCAAAATATTTTTTACGCATTTTCAAAAGTATTCTGAAATATTTTGATGCTCTGTTGATTTTTCCTGGCCATTTTTAAACTTGGAATATTTGAGGGCAATTGAAGAGTATAGATTTTTTTTTCAAAGATTTTTTACACATAGAATCGAATTTTTAGGATTTTGTAACAGTAAAATGATGATACATTTTTTTGTAAAAATGGCTATATTTAAAAAAATTTTGCTTTTTTTCAAATGTTTTTTCTTTTTCAGAAGGCCCTTGGACTGTAGAAAATGTTTTACCTATTGAAAAATACCTTGAGTGATGATGACAAATGAGAAAAGTGTATAGAAGACCTTGAGAAAACGAGTGAAAAAAGTTGCGGTCATCACTCAGTGAGTGCGGCAAAAGCCTCGCATCCATTCATTCCACGGGAAATCCACGTGATCCTCCCCGGAGCTTGTCAACATCTGAACGGGGCAACGAAAATAGAAGGGCAAGAGCTTTTGGCCAGCGAAAAAAGCGTCCAAAATAACTCGCAGAACGCTGAGTTATTGCCCCAAAATAGCTCTTTCTCCAGGATTATTACACAGAGAAAAAACAGCGGAAAGCCTTTATTTTTAGATTGGAAAGCAACTTCCTATCAAGGAAGGTCTTTTTATTTCGCGGTTGGGAATTTCCTGAAATTCGTGCAGAACTCTGATGATGACCCTGAAAGTCTCAACTTGAACAACTACTTAGTTTTCAAGAAATAAGGCATCAAAGTCGAATTGAACCCTCAAAACCCTTCAAAATAGGCCATTTTTGGACTTCCAGCTTTTATTTCTCGAAAACTAGGAAGTTGTGCAGGTTGAGACTTTCAGGATCATTAAAAAACAGTAAGAAATAATTTGGCCAAAATATAAATGGGATGAGCATGATTGGAGACAGCCAAGTCCTTCCCCCACTGAATCCGAAAAGAAAAAGCGTTTTTAATCTCCGATCACTTTTAACTAAGAAAAAATTGCTTCTGCCAGTCAATTGAACTTTACAAAAGGAATTTTTGATTTATTTTTATAAGATCGGACTGACTAGCTAGCGCGCACCCAGAAAATTTTTTACTTTTTGCTAACCCCCCCTTTTTTTCTCGTTTTTCTTTTGCCAACTTCACTCCCCTTTTTCAGGTCCCACCGATACTATTCCATGTATGAGCCGTATTTCAGGAATTTCCCAACCGCAGAATAAAATAAACTCCCTTGTGAATGACAACATTTTTTTTGAGGTTCAGGACTTTGGAGGATTATACGATAATTCTAGAATGAGAATAAGGATTTTTTAAAAAGATAATTTTCAAGAACTTGATTTTTTTAAGAACTATTACAGCTTGTTGGCTTCTGAAAGCTTTTCCTTTATTTTTGATCTTATAAATTTCGTTTTTTCTTCTTCAAGTTATCCATTTTCATAGCGTTCAGTCTTCTTTTTCTTCCTCACATTGTAATTTTTTTTTCATTTGTTCGGTCGCCCGAGATCTTTTACAGATTACAGGATTCCTGGCCCCTTTTTGCGAATTTTTTTTTTCGAATTTTCGCGAACCTGCACTGTTAATTGTTTACTTGATCGGAGTTTCTTATCATTTTCTCAAAAAGGCTTTCTGGAATTTTTCGTGTTTTAATCAGCTTCTAAGCTTGAAACGGGACTGTCAGAACTGGAATCGGAAGAGTAATGAAGATAATAGGGCAATTTTCAAGTTGGGACCGTTAGAATGACCCTTGAAAAGTGGCTAACTGTATTGAACGGAATGTTTATTTCGAGTTTTTCGGTATGCCAGACTCTATTTTTGAGCAGCTTTTTCTTAAATCACTAAAGTTACCACTTGATCGCAACCAAGAGCTCCCTCGGTTCCTTGCTCAGAAGTTTTCACGATCTTACTATCCAAATTCCTGTCTTCCTTTTTTAATTCCTTTAAGCTTGAATATCCGGAGTTCCATAAGATAGTGCGAATAATAAAAAAACCAAGACGGTTTTTTGGAATGTTTTATTGAGACGAACGTGCAAAGTCTCGAAAACATCGAATTTTAAAGAAAGAAATGAAGGAGAAATTCACGAAAAAAAACGAGTAATGACATTCCTTCTGGACTCTTCATTTCGGGGGCTGCAATTTGGAATTATATTCTCCCAATATTAATTTCTGAGACATACCGACGATTTTTTGGCGACTTCACTATCATTCGAGGCAGCCTGCGGCTGGGTCTTCATGTTCAAAAGAGAACCACTAGTTTTTGAGGCCCTTTGCACCGAATCTATCGTTTTTTTTTAAGGACTGGAACCAATTAGGCCTATCAAAAAAAAAAAATTTTCCTTTACCTCAATTTCGTCGACCTGGGTTCCAATATCGAACACCTCGTTATCCGACGGGTCGTATATTACATTATGAAGGGGTGTGTTCGTCTCTTCGTCTGCTCTCGAAGCAAGCTTCAAAAGTCAGAGTTATTATAAAAAGTTGGACAAAAAAGCCTGAGCCTAAGATATTTTTACTATCTCGAAAATAAAAATAAAAATAATGGTACCTCGGAGACGGTAGGCGACTTCGGTATAACAATTGGCCCACGTTTCTTGAATTTTCCTGACGAAGCGTCTTCTTTTTCAGCTCTCTAAAAATGAAAAGATTATCATTTCGATTGTGTTAATCTTTCAAACTTGAATATTTTTGATGTATTCGATGTGCTCTGGCGTCATTTTCTTTTTCTTACGTATACATCTTTTTTGGTCTCCTGGCTGATTGCGTTTTGTTGATTTTGTGGCTACGCGGTCGACAGTGGCGACTTTTTCGTTAATTTGCGGTGTTTTTGCCTCGGCGACCGGCTCGTTCGGGGTCACGGCTTGAATACCTTCACGAAAAGAAAAAAAATTAAACTTGTGAAAGCAGGCAAGTCATTAAATTTCAAAGAAAGCATCGCTTGTCTGCGCTCTCTTTTTTGTCGCCGGCGTTTCTCCAGCAAGAGAAAAGAGATCGCAGACACGAAACTTCATAATCACAACTCTCTGAAAAAGCCATGGGCGGTCGGGTGCGAAAAGAAAAAAATTATTTTGAAATTTCGGCACTTCGACTCAAGCTCAATTTTGTTTTCTGGCAAAGTTCGTTCTTTGAAGTGGAAAAAGATCAGAAAAAAACAAACTTCTTCTTATTTTCCAGATGTATATCATTGAGGCGACGTTTGTTATCAGAAGAACTATTAGACTTGCGCTAAGAAGAATCATGGGCCAACGGTTGCCATCAGGACAAGTGCTGGAATTTTTTTTAAACGTATTACGACCGGTTTCGATAGGTTTTCCGCGTTTGACCACGAAAAGATAGATAAAAAAAAAAGCTGAGAGTAATAAACGCAGTTCTTTATCATATAATTTCTTTGGACTGTGGATACAGTTTTTCTTGGCTTCTTCATTGGACAAATGGAACATGCTTCGAAACGAAAAAAGTCTTCTTCGGCGCACCAAAGTTGCTCCAAAACAGTAGTAATTTTTTTTTTGGAACAATTTTGTTGCGTTTCGGAACAACATTCATATTGTCCGAAGAACATGCCATAATCATTTTTCTAAGAATTTTGAAAATCTAGTTGATTAATAAAAAAAGTTCCTAGAACGAACCCAGTGTTCGCCAGCCGGGTAAGGATTTTTTTTTCACATTTTATCAACTCATTCCTGAGTTGATCTTTTCGAGTGTCCTGAAAAAACCCCAGTTTAACTCAGAATCAGTTCGTGAACGGAATCGAAAGTAAATAATGAACAAACGCTGGAATCAACAGGACGGCTTGCCGTGGTTGGGTCTTCCTGTTGACTCGGAAATGTAGTCGCAGCCATCGACGTTGTCCCAAACTTCGTTGTGGAGGCTTCAAGTTGGAGGGTCAGTAAAATTAAGTAACACGTTCTTCTAATAAAATAAAGGTAACCAAATGATCTCTTACTTGAAGGATTCTGAGAGGTTTAACTTGCACAATGTTCTTGTTTATGGGAAATAAGGGCTCGAAACCTATTTTTACAGATTTTGAACGATTTTTTGGTTTTGAGGTGATTTTTCTCAAAAACTAGAAGGTTATGCAAGTTGAAACCATCAGGATTACCCCGAAAATGGCCATTTTTTATAACACTCCCAACCGTAAAGAAAAATGACATTACTTGTAAGCTGAATTTCGTGCTCATGATGCGATTTTTAATTTTTGTCGAATGTCAAGGATGTCTTTCTCTCGTAAGTTCTCTATCAACTATCAATTCTCTGTCTTTCTTTCTCAATCCTATACTGACTCAAAAAGGAAAATCTCCGAACGTAAAATCGATTTTTTTTTTTTGATTTGCTCAAGTGATTTTAAAAAGGTGAACATTTTTAGAGGCAAAAAGCCATCTGGGTGAATCTTCTCTCTGTCTCTTCCTTATTTCATTCCATGTTCCTATTATGGATGTTTCAAGCCTCAAATAAACTTGAGCTTTATAAAGTAGCTACGCTATTTTCACTTGCTTGATGGAAAAGCTTCCAAACTTTTGAGAGATAATTTTCCGAAACGCTGATTCTACTCGTGTTGTTCCCTTTATCAAGAAGACACTTTTTTTTCACCTACCAATCGCACAGAAGCCAATAGGCTTCTTTGAACCGTCGTACATGGGAAGCATACGGCAGGAGCCGCCTGAGCATTCGTCGTCCGTAGCACACACTTTTTTCTCATTTTTTCCGATAATCAGAAAGTCGTGGATCGGCACTGAAGTTCAATTTTTTTTTCACTGAAAGCTCATTTTTTTCATTCAACTCCGATAACAATAGCGCAGAGGTTGGTTGTTCGTTCCCGACTTGTCCTTCGCCCCTATGCCATTGAAAGCGTTTACTGCGTCGTCGCAGAATTCTTCGTTACGACATTCACGACTATCGGTGCATGTCTTGCCAACGCCGTCTTTTTCGTAATCAATTGGTAATTTATTTTCATACTCAACTGTCGTCCAGTATAGGCTATATGACAGCGGCTCCGCTGAAATTGATGTTTTTCGTTTGGTAAGAGATTAGTCTCTTTTTACAGCGGGACTGTATCCAATAAAAAAGTTAAAAAAATTTTTGGATCAGCCCAATGATCTGAAAAATAATCTATTTTTGTTGGTTTTTTAAGTTTCCAAATGAAGTTTGTATTTTTGAGTTCATTTTCAATGGTAGCCGATCTATCCTGTTTTTGTAGCTTGTGACGTTGAGAATTATTCTCATTTTTCACTTTTTCGAATTTTTGTACATAAGGCTACACCTCCGAATTGAGTTATCTACTTTCCCGCGTATGCCGCAGAAACTGAAATGGTTTTTTGTCGTCAATTTAATTATTGTAAAAATTTGAAAGCTGAGTTGTATTACTGATACTCTATATAGATGAGCCAAATTCCGAAAAAAAAGTTGATATCAAAGTAGTAAACTTGTTATTACCGTTTTTTCCCACCCTAAAATTTTTTTGCTATTTTTGAAGAGAAAAGTTGGCGAGAAATTCGCTGTCTCTCGCAATATTCCAAAATTTAGTGGATGAACTATACTTACGGCAGCAAATCGATCCAAGATCGTTGTTTTTGAACTCCCTCACTTCCTTGCTACATAGAGCTGTGCCGTTTGCGCTATAAAAGGGCTGGGTAGCTTTCATTCGACTCAAACATAGTACATTGGCTGAAAAGAGAAACGATCGGTCTCTCGTTCAAAGTTTATTTACCGCGTAGACAAATTCCGGCATCATGGCTCAGAAAACCGTTCGTAACATTGAACTTTTTGCATCCAGCACTGAAAGTTGGAGAGAAAAACGTCTATTTTAGATTGGCGTTTCGAAATTTTAAAGTACGAAAAATACGTATTTAGATTACTTTGCGATTTTTCGCTTTGAATGTGAACATCACGTGGTTCGAAAATATTATCTTCATCAAATAAAGGAGGCTGACTTTTTCACTGTAAGTTATTTTAACGCGGTACAGTTATTCTCATTTTACTCAATTCATAATTGCTTGAAGTGAAGTCTTAATAAAAGCTTAATGGAACGCGAAAATGGTGATTTCTAAGAATCTTCATGCCCCGTACATTTGTTTTTTTTCTGCTTAAATTTTTTTTTAATATTTAAAATCATATCGGCCGTCTTTCTGCGGATTTTTTCAAGGTTCGGAGTCTTTTTTTTGTCGTAGGAGCGCTTTTGAAAACAAACTTAACTAACCAGCCAAGAACTGACTGAATACCCTTAAAACGTTTTTTTTCTTTATTTTTCGGTGACTTTTCCTTGAGGATTTTTCTGTTGATGGAACTAACATTGCATCGCCCCTTTTTCCCGATCTGAACTTATCCGCTGTGCAATCCTGCGAATTCCCACACAGGTCGCCAAATTCTTCCTTTTGGTCCTGAGTCACGGCGGCCACTGTAATTCCAATTTTAGGAACAATCATTCATTGCAAATTTCTCACATTTCGTACAAATTCCCGTTGCAAACTTATTACCATCGAAATCATAAACTTTTTGTGCCAGAGGGTAGCAGACACCAAACTTGCCACAGTCTTTTAACGACGAGCAAAGTTTAAGAGCCATTGTGTTTGTTTGAATATCCCCTATTATTTGAGGTTGTGAAAATATCAAGAACGTTGAATTCGGAACAAAAAAAAGGACTGACCCTTGAAACAAACTTTACGCGGGTTTTTGCCATTAGCGTTGGGCTTATCCTCGACTTTACCGGTTGAAATGTACACATAGTCGCAAAACTCGGCTTGGTCACATTTCAACTTCTTGCTGCAATCTTTAAGAGGCTCGACCGCGATAACTTCTTCGCCTCCCTTTCCTTTCCACTTATGAAATGTTGTTGAAGTTGGCCTGTCTGAAATTTGGAAAATCATTATTCGTCAAGCTCTTTTTCTGGAAACTCTCGTTTTCTGTTCACTCAAAATTACTTATTTTCTTGATCATCACCGAGAAAATGTCAACTTACATGCGCAGCAAGTCTCTTTCCGACAAAAATGTTCGCTTCCAGTGCAAGTTGATCCCGAGGGACCTTTACAGACTCGAAGAAGAGTGGGAGCGTAGTCGGCCTGGGACAGAGTAACGTTCAGAGAAAAATGTAACGGCTCACAGGACAAACGTTGTTGATGGCTCCAGCCGCTTGAACGGTAAATAATAGGAATATAAAGGTAGACATGAGGAAGGTTCACCTCGTAGATTCCTGTGAAAGCAATGACTGGGGCGACTGACGTTGAACTCAATTTCTTTTTACGAATAGCACGTAAAATAATTTTTCAGTTTAAATTAACTCAATCAGTTTAAGTTTAACGCTTTTTTCATTCAAACATTATCAAGAAGGCATTGTGAAATCATACTTTTCTTTTCTTACTGAATAATTTTTTTCTTTCACGTTCGGTCTTCGTTTCCGCTCTCGACGTATTTTCAGTGCGACGCCCACCAGCCCTAGAACAAGCTGGGCGCCGTACTGTTCCTCATGGAAAAGCAGCTGATATTCGGAGTGAGGGATGCACTAGACACGATCTTGTCTCGAGATTTATCGAGATATCTTTCAAATCTTATTGCTCTAGACTTCACCAAGGACGTTAAAAAAACTTTTGATACAACTTTGGTTAGTCTCCACCCCTTTTTCGATGTCCGGTGGGAAATTTACCGTAGAAAGCTATTTTTTTTCCTAGTGTTGCTAGGAGTTCAGAAAGTAGTGGAACTTGAAGAGCGCTCAAATTGAAGTATTTTTTTGTGTTTTTTTTTAAAAAAATATGGAGCAGATATTCTCGGCTTTTTCCGAAATGTCTCGAACTCGTCTCCAGACTTCCTTCCGAAAAATTTCCTCGTCTCGAGATCAAAAAAATCTTGTCTCTCTGAAGACAACAACTCTATATCCACCTTTCGTATCAAAAATATAATGTCAAAAAAACACTAGCACCTGCAAAAAAATATCAAAGTAAAAAGCTAGCGTTTTTTTCTTTTTTTCAAAAAAATTATTTTTAAAAAAATAAGAAAAATATTTCACTATTTTTACTCTCCTTCGATTACCGAACATTGTTTATTCGTGTTGAACACAGCATAATGAACTTTGAATCAATCGAATCATTTTTTTTCTGATTTTTTGCCGGAAGTAAAGTTAAGCATACGAGAAACCATTGAACTCTTTTCAAAAAAATTTCGCAGCCCAGATATGATATTTCAAAGCCCCGCCGAACATACGAGAATGCGCGCGCGGTGTGGTATTGCCAGCCGGCGACCGTCGAAGCAACGGCAGCGAGGAGCAGTGGAAAGGCGGCGGATTGGAGAGCACGAGGTCAAAGGTGCGGTCCCCGTCCTCTGCAAAAGTTTTTTGCAATTTTTCCTTTTTGGATAAGTTCGTGTAAAGATAGGTCTGAAAAAACCATGGAAAATCCTCGCTGCCGTTGCTTCGACGGTCGCCGGCTAGCAATACCACACCGCGCGCGCATTCTCTTATGTTCGGCGGGGCTTTGAAAGATCATATCTGGGCTGCGAAATTTTTTTGAAAAGAGTTCAATGGTTTCTCGTGACCAGAGGGACAAGATCTACATACCCTCCAAAAATGAGCTCAATCGGAGACACTGAAATTTTCGACTTTTGAGGGTCCATAACTTTTTTCACAGACGTATTGGGCAACTTTTGAAAGCAGATTTGGAATCAGCGTGAAAAGCTACATCTATTAAAATTGGTCTCATTCAGAAGTCCCACTGTGAGCTGAGACCATTCCCTGGTAAGACTGATTCAGAAATTATTGTTATAGCTGATTCACGGCTGGCTAGAGCCATCGAAAAAAGTGTTCACGATAATGCACGGGACAGCGCTTGGCTCGTGGAGAGCGCAGACAGGACACGCCCCCTAGCGTCCCAAGCGTGAACCAGCTATAGTAGAGGTGAAAATTTTTAGATCAAAAGTAACACAAAAAAACGAAACAGTGCTTCTTAAAGTTTATCCAGTATTTATGCCCACATGTGTACAGTTATGATTATAATCAACGAGGTAACTTGAAGTGCTTTTAGAGCCTTTAATGGGAGTGGTGAAGCTCTCCTGGTCAATAGCAGATGACTCCTCATCCTGATCGTTTCTCGTAGATATTCCTGGCTCTTCTTTTTCTGGCGCTAGGGTGCTTGTCGAATTCTTTCCTTCAATATATCATAGGTAAAGACGAAAAAATTTTTTTGTTTTCACAACTTAAATTTTTTTGGAAATTAAAAATGAAAGAAGAAACTTTTTGAATTATTTCTTTTTATAACTTAATTTTAATAATTTGCTCGGGAAGACCATTCAGAAAGAAAAAAACAAGTAGTAAGTAGAATCAGAATCGAAGCGATCGGATGAAATTTGAAAAACCACTTTGCGGTCTCTATGCAAATGTTAGTTTTTAAATATCAGAATTTACATGGATAGGGACCGCCCACGATTATTCGAAAAATGAAAGCACAATGAAACAAATGAATGGAACCATAGAGTTGATAGAGTGAGGCAATGAGATTCAAAAAAAATATATTTTAAAAATTCAAATCCGAAAGTGAAATTTTTCCGTTTCCGCCGACAGGCGGAAAAAGTCTTACGCTCATCACTACTACACGCGCGCAATTGGAATAACAAAAAACGAAGTACTGAGTAAAAAAAAAAGCGACCCCGAAGTGGGCGCTGGTGGTCCCTAAACATAATAACTCTTTTTAACCAACTTTTCGCGCAAAATCCCTTGTAGATATCCTCAGGAGCTCCAGATTGTAGAGGAAGTTTATGGCAGTAGTCTGCTGGGGGATCACATAAATAGTCGACCCGACAAACATCTTTAAAATTCTCCTGGTAAGTTGTAAAGTCGTCTATTGGGACTGAAACCCGATTCAAATTTAGCAATAATCATTGTATTCCCAGTTAACCTTTGTAACAGAACCGGATCGCTTCTTCCTCGTAAGCCGAATTGTCTTTCTTGCCGCGACCGACAAAAATGTTCACCGACTCGTCGCAGTGTTCGTCGGCGTTGCAAGTGTTCTCATCCAAGCAAACGCTGCCGGCGCCCGTTTCCGCGTAGCCTCGCGGGAGCTTCTTCTTCGTTTCAATCGTAGTCCAGTAGAGCGTGTATGAGTACGGCATGGCTGAAAGATTTTTTTGAATTAAACGTGAATTTGATAACAATCATTTTCTGTTAATTTAAAGCGTTGTTTTTTTACGATCTTCAACGCGCAAGTAATTCTCCAAAATTCGATGATCTTTTTCCTCTAAGTTTTCTCGATACTTCAACTCAGGTAAAATTTAGGAAGCTTCTGCTTTTGGTTCTTCGGAAGGCGTTTGGAAGTTTTCCAGCATGAGGTCAAAAGGCCTTCCACATACTATCCCTATACCTCTGCTTACCTTCTAGAAGACTTCTGATAGGCGTTCTCAATTTTTTTACCTCCCGAACTACTTCCAATTACTTAGCGCTTTCCTGCTGGTTACCTTCCCAGGATTCGCCCGAGTAATTTTCAGATTGCCAATGATTAGGGGATCTTTTTTGAATATGTCTCTTTCTCTAGACCTCGCATTCGATGTAGAAAATTCCCTGATTGAAAAAATTGTTACCCCTCGTGCCTGATAATCCTCATTATTAGATGAAACTCACGGCAACAGACTTTCCCAAACTCGCTGGTGTCCTGCATCACGGACTCCTCAATACATGAAGCCTCATTCGTGGCTGATATTTGTGCAGGAAGCGCGTTCAGTTCGCCCGGACATTTAAAATTTGCTGGAAAAAAACAGTATTTCTATTAAATTTTTTACTTGAACCTTTACAACAAATCCCTTGGATATCGCGAACGAAAAATATTTGAAGCTTTGATTTTTTTACAAATTGTCCTGCAACTCTCATAATTAATTTAAAAACGTGAAAAAAATCAAATAATATGGCAGCGTGTGCGAATCGCCAAGTCAAGATGACTTCAGGGATGATGTCAGGGAGTAGCGGTTTGCGATTCAATTCGAAGTCGAACTAACATTCCATAAAAGATTCTGACAGGTCTGAATTGATCATCGGTGCATTCTTCTGAGGTTTCACATCCATCGCCAAAGACTTCTTCAGGATCCTGAGTCGCTTGGGGAACTGTAAGTACAGTATTGAGTATATCTTTGATTCAAGAAAATAAGACCAGTATAACACGAGTTTGAAGAAAAAAAGATCTTCCAGTATATTTGATACCTGTCTATCTTTACACTATGAATTGTTAGAAAGTAGTCTTTTTTTAAATCGCAACGGAAAAAGTTGGTCGCGCGCAAAAAAATTGAAGTATTGAAAAGTTTTTTTCTTTGCGACAAAAATGAATTTTCCTTTTTGATTCTTACTGGTCATATGCTTTCAAAGTTTAATTACTTTTCGTACAAACGCCCTTGAGAAATTTTGCTGTCTCCGCGTCATAAACTTCATGCTTCAGCGGGTAGCAGACATCAGGAGTGTCACAATACTCCGTGTACGAACATGCTTTCACTCCTATCTTGTCAGCTTCACGAATTGTGACCTTTTCGAATATAGTCGGCACTGAAAAAAAGCTCTCTGAAGTTTGGGAAAAAAAAACTGACCCTTGAAACATCGTTGACGAATTTCTTCGTATGCATTGTTGGTAAAGACATCCTCGCAGTACTGATTCTGGCCACAATCTGCATTCGTTTTGCATTCTTTCGATGGTTCGACCGCAGAGATTTCTTCATCAGCTTCTCCAATCCATTTTTGAAATCCTCTCTGAGACAAAATGAAATTCAAATTAAGTTCTGGAATAACTCACTGAGTAGTCTTTTCCGCCTACAACTATCTGGGTTGCAATCATGAGCCATAACGCGACATATTTCATCACTAAACAAATTTTTGATCCCGATTCAAGAAATGTCTGACTGCAATTTTTTTACGTTTATTTTTTTCAAATTTTTACGTGAAGTAAGTTTAAGTCCTCAACAAGGCCTTCAAGCAAAACAAAAAAACGGAATGACCCTCCTGGGGGAATTCATCAGGAGACCCGACCATATCCAACAAAATTTATTTTTTTGCTATTTTCTCCTTCGAAGGTATCTAACAAAACTGTTGAAACTTGATGAATCATAAGAACGTATGTACTCCTTGTAGTGAGCACTTGGAGAAACGTTAGAAACCGCTCAGTGGGTACTTCGACGACGTTTTACGAATTTTTTTGCGGTTAGATGAATTATTTCGGTAGCATAGAAAAATAGGTCGATCAATAAAACGAATATTTATTGTATATTGAAAAAGGTTGTGGCCCTTCGAGGGGTTTCTAGCCTTCCTAGTGATTCAAGAAGGAGTTTTTTTGCTGAATTTTTCGGAAGCTTAAAAACGAGAACGGTCGGGCTTTTTTTAATTTTTCTACTTGATGTTAAATCAATCAATCAAATCAAAATTTTTTTATTTCTCACACACAAGCACTAAAATTTACGAAATAGATGTAAAGCTTCTAAGCATGAAACGGGACTTCCAGAATTGGAATCGAAAGAAAAACGAAGATAATAAGACAAATTACAAGTTGGGACCGTTTGAATGACCCTTGAAAAGTGGCTTACTGTATTGAGCGGAATGTTTATTTCGAGTTTTTGGCATGTCCAAACTGTTGTTTCGAGCAGCTTTTTCTTGAATCACTAAAGTTTCAACTCAATAGCAAAAAAGAGCTCCCTGATTTTCTTACTCAGAAGTTTCCACGTACCAAAGTCCTTCCTTTCTTTTTTTTTATTTTCTTAATTCACTAAAGTTTCCACTTGATCGTAAGCAAGGGTTATCCCAGTTCCATAGTCAGAAGTTTCCACGATCTTACTATCCAAAGTTCTGTCTTCCTTTTTTAACTCATCTAAGCTAAAACACCATAAAATAGTGCGAATAAAAAACCAGGACGGATTTTCGGAGAAGGTTTATCAAGCCGCGATTCGCGAAGTCTTGAAGAAATTGAACTTCAAAGAAAGACATGAAGGAGAAAATAATGAAGGAAACGAGTAAGGACGACGGAGGCTTTCCTGGACGCATCATTTCGTGTTCTGCAATTTGGTATTATATTCACAATATTCCTTTTTGAGACATACCATCTTGGTCGACTTTTTTTCTTCAGGGGCCTTCACATCCTGAGGTAATAAAAATCAAAAGCGTAATCTCGAAATTCAGGCTTTTCATAAAAATCCAATTGAATATTTAGCATAATCAAAAACAGACCATTGAAACATAGTTTACGTAGCTGACTTCTGTTGTTTGTATATGGCTTCTTTCCAGTTTTTCCCGTTGAACTGAATACCATATCGCAAAACTGCCCATTCCCGCAATCGCCATTTTTTTTGCACTCTTCTAGTGGTTCCTGTGCGATGACCTCTTCGTCTGCACTTCCTAGCCATTGTTGGAACGTGGAAGAGGATGGCCGGACTGTAATTAGAAAACTATTTCTGTTCACAAATACCATGTCTTGGAGGTATGACTGCCTTCTGTCAAACTTGTTTACTCTGTAAAATATCACTGAGGAAATGTCAACTTACATGCGCAGCACGTATTTTTTTGGCAAAAATAATCGTTCCCACTACAAGTTGATCCCGATGTATCTTGACAGGTTCTCAGCAGCGTTGGAGCGTAGTCGGCCTGAGACAGAATGAAATTGGGAAGAATAAGAGCGACGGCTCACAGGACACCCATCGTTGATGGCTCCAGCCATCTGGATGGCTATCATCAGCAACAGGCTTGTAGACCTAATCATCAGAGAGAGGTTTTTCCTCGTGGACTCTGATGCAAGCAATGTCCATTCATCTGATGGAAATCACTCGTGAGTCGGATTTTATTTTTTTCTTTTTTTCTTTTTTTAACAATAGCACTTGAAGTTATTTTTCTTCTTTGCCATTTTCATTTCTTATTCTCATTGTTTGTATGATTTTTTTAGGTTCTGAATTTTTTTACGTTAAAAAAAGAAAATAAATGTTTCATTTCAAATTCCGCAATCTTTACTCACGAAAAATAGTTCGACGATAAAATCTTTTCTTATCTTTATTCTGCTCAATTTTTTTCAAAACCTCTGCGCTGGCTAGTTTCGATGACGGCAGCTCAAAAAAATTGTTCTATCTAGATACCGCAAGCCATTTCTTCAAAACTATGCAAAAAAATATTTTTTCCCCCTATTCGATAGAGAGGGACTGCCTATTTTCATAATCCGTTTAATTTTTTTGAAATAAGGTCCACTAAGAAAAAAAGATATTGCCAAAAAACGATTGCGCGCGGCGTACAACTGGAGGCAAAATCTCACGGTTTACCCCGTTGCCTCACGCTCTCTTTTTAACTCATTTTGCGCTTTTCTGAACCGTTTTCGAATTGGTTTTCTGTTCTGAGAGGTTGTCTGAACTGAGGTCAATGTTTTGACATGAATCTTTTGTACAACTATCATAAAAAAATCTTTGATAAAATATCAAAAAAACTACCTAGAAGTAAAGTCAAAGGGAATTTTTAACTTATTTTTTTCTTTTTCTAATCGGGAAAAAAATCTAACGACGCGAAAAACGGCTTTGAAAAACTTTAAAAAAATGGTTTTGAAATTTCGGAAGAATTCGTGCAAGTGTCCGTAGCTGTGTTTGCGTCAAACACACCGATGCACGCTTTTAAATGTTGCAGGAGCCGTTTTTCGGAGTCAAATTGCACTTTTTCCTGTTTTCGAACGTCCTCACCTCACTACCTCAATAGAATATATATCCACTTATCGAATTGAGAGCATCAAAGAACGAATCCGTTTCTTGACAATCTGATACCGAATATTCCTCGTTCTTTTGAAAGGATTCATAAGTTGATATGTATTCTAGTGAGGTAATTTCAGAACTTCAGAAGACCTTAAGTTATTTTTTTCTAAGATTAAAATAGCCAGAATATCTTGCTGGAAAAAGATTCATTGAAAAAAAAAATTGATTGTTCAATATTTATGCCCACATCTTAAGAGTTGATATTATGATTAAAAAGCAGAATTCGGAGAAGCTGGCGAAAATAACGGTAGCGGTGTGGTTTTCCTCGTCATCCATAACAGTTGTATCCGTCAAATCGTTCTTTTCTGAGTCTGCTGGCTCTTGTACTGGAGGCTCTTGTTCTGATGGTCCTTGTTCTGTTGTCGGTTCTTGTTCTGTTGTCGATTCAAAAGCCGGCGCTGTGCCGTCGTCTACAAATTTATAGCGATTTAAAACAATTCGATAAATCAAATCCACTGATTATCAGGATAGGACCTCGGCTAATCGACTTGGGGCGCCGACGCCGCTCAAGCGGTACAAAGGCGTAGGAAGAAGAAGAAGAAAAATCAAATCAAAAATGTCTTTCAGTTCAACTTTTTATCACAAGGTGGAAAGTCAGGACATTATCATGTGAATTAGGAAACAATTTTTGAACTAGATCATGTTCTCGCATGCTGTTTGGTTACACGGGACTGTCTCGAAAATTTTGAGGCGTTCTCTCATGTTTCTCCTTTTTCCTAATCAGGGAACGTTTTTTACTTGAAATCTTTGCTGAAACTTTGCTGAAGTGTTCTTCAGGACCCTCTGATTGCAGATCTCTCATGTTTCTCCTTTTTCTTGAAATCATGCATTTTTGTTTTTCAAGAACCTTTCACACAAAAGCCAATGAATGGCTTTGGGGAATTTTCGTACAAGGCAATCTCTTCACACATAGCGCCTCGACCACAGTGGCGGTTTTTCGAACAAAACTTCTTTTCATTATTTTCATACGTAATGAATTCTTCGAATGGAACTGCAATTAAGGTGAGAAGCAAATTCTCATTTTTACCGTTCAACCTGAGTAACAAAAACGCAACGGAGCTCCGTTGGGTCCAGAATCATCCTTGGCTCCAACACCGTTGAAAAAGTTCAAAGAGTCGTCGCAAAATTCGTCGGCTTCGCAAGATTTGCTCTTCTCGCAGAGCCTGCCGGTGCCGTTATTTTCTTCATATCCTCGCGGAATCTTATTTGAGCGACCAACGTCACCCCAGTATACGGTATCTGAGAGCGGAATAGCTGAAAAAAAAAAGTTGAAACTTCGAATTTTCCAGGTTATACTCACGACAACAAATTGTTCCCACATCACTGTTTTCTATTATTTCGGATTCCACGATACAAATTTCGTACACATCATAGTTCGGTTGACCCGCCCTCAGTTTGCTCGGACAATAAAGCTTTGCTGCAAAAAAAATAATGTTCAAGAAGGAGTTTCTCCTTCAACCTTGAAGACATACTCCTCGGCCTTGGGAGATGAAAACGTTTGCGTCGAATTTTTTACAGCCTCTACTGAAATTTGAATCGTTTACTTCAGATTATAGATTATTTATAGTCTGTGTACAACGACTTGGAAATTCACAGAACATTCCGCTGTGCCGCGGCGCGCCTTTTCGAACCTTGGTCGCGCTTTCAATTTTTAATTTTTCTTTGATCAAGGTACTCTATTTTCATGTGCTCCCACAGCAATAAAAACCAATTGAAAGCGTGACCTAGATTGGAAAGACGCTTCGCGAACACACGCAGCGGAACAGCGGAATATCGTTCCGTGAAATTTCAAGTCGTGGCACACAGACTATATTCATTTCTTTATTGTCAGAACAACGCAAATAATTAAGGTACAGATAGAAAGGAAATAATATAACATTGGACAGACAACAAAGATAAGAAGGTCATATGGTGCCCTAACGAGCAGCATGGCGACCGTTCGCAAAAAGAGAAGAACAAAAAGATAAACTATAAAAAGACGATTGCGGATGTTGATAATAAGTTCGCTAACAGCTATCCTAGATAATTTATCTTTTTAAAGTTTTTGGGGTGGCACGAAAAAAATTTAATTTGGTTATTAATATGTTTCAAAGAGTTATATGACGCGAAAAGAAGTTATCTGATAATGAACCCCTAGTTTGTAACCGAAGTGGATGTCTACCTAGCCGAGAGAAGGCAATAAAGTTGTCAATTGATGGAAAGTGATCAATTTTTAAAACAATTTTATGGAGAGAGAAAATATCAAGAAGAAGACGACGTTGAAAAAGCGGAAGAACATTGACTTGAGTTAATCTGTCATGGTATGAAGTGAAGCTAAGATTGCATCTAATAAAAAAACTTCTCGAGAAAAAGAAACGTAAGGAACTTTCTAGTTTATAAAATAGATCAGAGTTTAGAGGAGGGTTGAAAACCTCAGAACAGTATTCTAAAATTGGACGAACATAGCAATTATAAAGTTTAAAATATAAGGACGGTGAGAGAAAACGAAAAGAATTTAACAGTTGTTTGGATCTCAGAAGGGCTAAAGCGGAGACTTTATGAATATGATTAGAAAAGGACAATTTGTCATCGATAATTACACCAAGATCCTTAGTAGATTGAGTCGCAGGAATGATGTTAGAGCCGAAAAAGTAGACATTTTTGGGGTTTCTAGGACCAAGATAAAGAGCAAATGACTTTTCAGGAGCGATGGGAAGCCCCCAAAGAGAGGACCATTCAATAGTTTCGTCGATAGCTTGTTGATTATGGGACGGAGAACAACCAAAAATTTTGATATCATCGGCGAACAGTACAGCTTTTAACATTGGAATTAAAATGATGAAAAAAATATCGTTTATAAAAAAATAAGGAAGAGGAGAGGGCCAGAAACAGTACCTTGAAGGACTCCACTTGGTATAGGAAAAGAAGAAGTAGACAATGAGTCATTAACTTTGAAAAAATATTCGCGACCCGTAATAAAAGATTTATACCAGTTGCAAAGCGTTTGATCAAACCCGAAATTTTTTAGTTTAAGCAAAAGGAGGTCGTGAGAGACTTGATCAAATGCTTTTTGAAAATCGAAGTAGATGACGTCAACTGATTTTTTAAGGGCAATATCGGCTTTCAAAGAAGAAAGATTGACTATGGTTACATAAACTGATTCGGAAAGTTATTTCAACATCTTGATCACTTTTTTCAGTTTTTTGAAACCAATCCCGGCTAGGAAAAAATAATAATCTTATTGATTTGATCTCACACGGAGCTCATTTTTCTTTGTGTTTGGGAGTTTTCTGAAAATTGGCCTGAACACTTCTTGAAGTACCAGAAAAAGATCCTGAGAGTCTCAACTTGCAAAACTTCCTATTTTTCGAGAAATAAGGGCTCAAGTCCTCAATATAGCCCATTTTCATGGATCTTCTCGAAAATTAATTCACTGAATTGATTTCTTTCTTCTCGGACATCAGAGACTCACACTCCATAATTTATTTTGTTCTCTCTGAATTGGGCTACCGTGCAGTTCTCTGGCTCTTCACAAGGCTCTCCCAGGATTTCTCCAGGATCCTCAGTGACAACAACTGTGAAAAGCAATCTTGAGTAAATTTTTCGATGAAATATACTACTTTTCGAACAAACGCCCTTGAAAAGGTTGTTTGTCGCGGGGTCATGAACTTCTTGGGCCAGAGGGTAGCAGGCATCAGGCTCGTCACAATCCTTCAGCGAAGAACAAAGTTTCAAGCCTTTCTCGGTTGCCGCACCGATTTTAACCTCACCGACTATAGCGGGTACTGAAAGAGCTCTCTGATCTCAAAAAGAGAGTGTAGACTAACCGTTGAAACACCGTTGTCGTTGCTCTTTTTTTCCATTGGCGAAGACAAAATCACAGAACTGATTCTGGCCACACTCTCCATTTGTTGTGCATCCTTTCGAAGGCTCAACCGCAGAGATTTCCGCGTCTGCCTTTCCAACCCAATTTCGAAATGTCGCCTGAGAAAATTATCAAAAAGAAGTTCATAAATAACTCACTGGATAATCTTTCTGGGCTCCAGCAATCTGGATGGCTATCAAGAGCCATAATACGACAGCTTTCATGACCAGAAAGATTTCTTTCGGCGAAAGAAATGCCTGACTGAACTCTTTAACTGGCTTCATTTTTCGAATCTTTACGTGAAATGAGTTCATGTGTTTGAGCAAAGAAGGGAACAAGATACAGTTTCTTGAAGTACGGCAAGTTTTTTAAAGCTTCCGTGAGAAACGCTTCTAAACTTCGATTATGTTATACATTAACACTTTCTTGATTTTTGAGTGAAATTATAAAAATCTAACGACGCGAAAAATCGAAGCTTGTAAAGACACCAAACTTTGAAGCTGAAATGCGAAAAAAATTTCAGCGACATGGTATACTTTTTATTTGATTTAAAAACTCATAATGTGTATAAAAATAAAAATTAAGAATGAAAATAATTATTGGGATACAGCGAATCAAATTATATTTGAATTTTACCAAAACCTCCATTTTTTTCGTCTGCCTCGTTGACGCATGAGAGAATAGGATCGCGTCTATACTTTTTGATTATGTTATTAAGCGTTCAAAAACTCTATCAATAGAAAAATTGTTTTGAGGAATCTTCTACCCATTCTCTGGTCGCGTGTTTGAAATTACGTTATATTTAATTCATTTCTCTTTTTATTTGCTAGAATAATTCAAGCCGCGAGTGGTTGACCTCTCATTTTTCCCGTAAAAAAATGTTTTTTTCGATAAAACTTGAAATTTAGATATTCTCAATTTTCCCTATATAATTTTTTTGGTTTCTTCTGCCTTCTTTTCGGAGTTTTCAGTCACACTAGTTTTGAAAGCGGCAGGTCTATCTAGATTTTTTTCAAAGTATGCAAAAAAGAATCGTAACGATGTTTCCTTTAAATTTTCGAATATGAAAATTTTAGTCTACGTAGGATCTCTGATTCCTTTTCCTTCTTACTCTCCCTGGAGCAACATAAAACTAGCAAGAAACAAATCTTTATTTATAAAGAGAGGGCACAGCGCAAATAAAAAGCCGTGCATTATTCATCTCAACATATTTTAAGTTGATATCATGCTTAAGAAGCAAAAGCTGAAAGCGCTAAGGATCACAAAGGGGGAACTGAGGTTCTTCTCGTCATCAATAGCCGATGATGAGTCCGCCGCACCGTTTCTCCCAGACTGTTGCACTGATGGCTCTTGTTCCGTCCGCTGTTCTGTGGACGTTTCGAAGCTCGTCGTTGTCTCATTGTTGTTGAAGTTGGAAGGCGCTGAGAGTTGATAAAGTCACCGAAATAACCATTTTTTAACGCTCAGTTGGTTCAAAAATATTCAACCTCAAAAAAACTTCTAGAAAGTATAGGAGTAAGTTTGCTTCGTTCGATAATTTTGGGAACAAAAACGACCGTACTTTTTTTTCAAAGTCTTTCAAAGTTCTTCCCTCGATTTCAAAGTTCTTCACTTGATTTGAAAATCTTAGTTTTTTTTTAGTTTTTGATGTTTTTAGGCATGAAGAACCTCGTGATTCGTGAAATTTTATTTTTTTTTTACCGATTTGTGAAACTTTATTTTTTTGATAAGAGTATGAGCTCAAAAAAAAACAAGTGCTTCACAGTTTTGGCAACTCATTGATTTTCTCGGAGAACATGTGGTAAAAAGATTATATACAGTACCGGCCACAAAGATATGCCTATTTCGTTTTTGGCTATAACTTCGGTCTAAACGATCATAAATCACTGAAGTTTTGATATGTTGTGCACGACAACGTTTCACATTAATCTAGATAAAATTGTGTAATGCTCAAAACAATTTTAAACTTTTAGCTCCCAAAAACCAAAAATGGCGAAATTCTGATTTTTCAACTTTTTTTTTCCAAATTTTGTTTAAATTCTTTCAAACATTTTCAGAGAGCGAAAACAAAATGTTGATAAATAAGAGGTCACAGGCTACTAGGAAAAAAAGTTTTTTTACAATCGCTCATCCCAAAAAGAGAATGAGTCCGTCAAAGTAGGCGACCTTCTTCTTAATGATATGAAAAGAAAACGAACTGAAACACGGGAAAAAGCTACTAATTAAAAAATAACAATTAGAAATATGTTAACAGCATGAAAAACATATCGAAGTAATTATTTGAGGAAAATTAGGTAAAATGAGCCTTTTCCTTATGCATTCGAAATTCTAACTCGAATCAGTACCGCTTCGAATAACTTTTTTTCCTGGGAGAATAATATTTATAATATTTATAATAGTTTTTTGTGTTTTTTTACTGAAACAGAGTCATCTTAAAAGTTTTGTCTTAAAACTATACACTGAAAAAATCTGCTGTTGATTATATTTCGTTCGAATCCACGAGAAGATCTAACGTAAAATTCTTGTAATTTCGTTTGCTCATATTTTTGATCATAACGTTTCAAACCTTCTGTTACTGTTTCTGTAGTTTTTTTGAGATTTCTTCAATTATTGAGTTGCCTAACTAAGACATTTAAAAAACGTAGCGCGGTCGAAGGAAAGAGGCTCAGACATTCCAAAAACTCTTTTTATTTTGAAGATAAGGACTTGAACAACAACATCATTTCAAAAGGAGTCCTCCTCATAAAATTTTCCCATTTGAGAACGATTCGTGTCGCAGAATTTCTTCAGTTTTCTTCAACTTTCTTGCATAAATTACCTCATTATCGCTTATAACTTGCTTCAAAGCTGTTCTAATGACTTCAAATTTCTAAATAATTAACAATCTAAATAATTAAAAACCAATGCCTAAATAAATACTTGATAAATCTTTCTTTTTTATCTTTTTTTCTACGAATCAAATCATCTAAAATTGCATGAATCTTATTGTATTCTCCATTATTACCAGCTTGATAAGAACCTATGCTTAATCTTATGAATCCAATAGAGCATTAATATCAGAAGGTAGAATGATGGTTGGATTATCACTAATCGAACTACCTGATGTTTGTGAATTATTGACACTTTGACTACTTTGTTGTACTGGTTTAGCAACAAAATAATGTTCTTTAATGTATTTCCATTTTTTTCACTTGGATCAGAATTGTATCTTTTACTCGTTTTATCAAAACCTTGATACAAAGCATTAGAACAAATAAGGATTTGATGATAATCATGTTTATCTTGGGGTGTTATCTTACTCAAATCAGGAGATTTCTTAGTTAGTAACTCCATTAATCCTTCCGAAGCTTCATAATCTTCATCATTAATCGACAAAGTATTATCATCAAATATGACTTCTTTTATTTCCTATAGTATACTTTTTTTATCACTAGCATCGTATCTCAATGAATATCCTGCAGTACTTTTTGTCTCTAGGATCTTGTAGATAAGTTGCAATTAAGTTGGAAACTTTGATAGAAGGACTTTGACTTTTTGGTGTAGCTTGAATTTGTTTAGGAGTTTGCGGAGCTAGAATTTGTGGAGTACCTTGAATATTTGAAACACTTGATCTAAAATGAATTAAGAGTTTGAACTATCTTATTCTTCTCATCAATTATTTCTTCTTGAAGTTTTTTTGTTTGATTCTAAGATTGGTTTGAATACTTCTATACGATGATCTTCTACGTTTTCTAAATTGCTGCGCTCTTGAAGATTTTTAAGGTGATGGTCTTTTTCTATTCTTCAAGAATGATTTTATTATCTCATTCCTTTTTCTTGGGATCATAGATTTCTACCGAAGTTGGAGACATTTTTTTGAAAAAAAGTAATTTATTTAAATTCGAAGAATCCGGAGATTTACAATCTTTATAAAAAAATTATTGTACAGGGTGCGCAATAAGTATTGAAACGCGTTTGAAACGTTATAACTTTCTCGAAAAATCAACCAAACACCACCAAACTTGGAACAAATTTTATTCATACAATATAGAAACAAAAATTCAAGAATAGTTTTCAAAACGTCCTCCTTTAGCTTTGATAACGGCCTTCAGTCTCTTCGGATACGCATCGATCACGGCACGAGGGTAGTCGTCGTCGATTTCGTCCCATTTCTTGATGAGCGCGGTCTTCAGAGCTTTGATACTTGGGTAGTTCTTAGAAGAGACCTTCTCGGTCAGATATATCCACACGGCATAGTCCATCGGGTTGAGGTCAGGCAAGGAAGCAGGCCAATCAGCAGCCGAGATGAACTCGGAAAATTGGCGCGATACCACTCTTGAGTCCCTTTGGCTCGATGAGCGGAGGCATTGTCTTGCTGGAGGGTTCATGGTCGGTTTCCGTAGTGAGAATTGGCCCAGGGCAACACTTCCAACTTCAGAATCGTCTCCCTGTAATATACTTGGTTCACTTTGACTCCAGGATCCACAAAAATCAGCGGAGTTTTGCCGTCAGTGGTAATTCCGACAAAAACCATCACGGAAGCCGGATGCGAATTTTTATTCAGAATTTTTCCTTTTTCACTGGCACTCTGATAGTCAGTAGCGATGATCCGATGATTTTAGCCGCTCTTGTTCGCCTCCACAGTGAAGATTTTCTCGTCGGTAATTAGCGTCGTCAGTTGCGAGCCATCTTTCGTGCCAGCGAGCAGCTTTCGAGCCTTTTTCATCCGCAATGTCTTGTTTTTTTGATTGAGGAAGGCTCCTTTCTGCATACGGTAGGGAATCATCTTCAGCTTGTTCTTGACAATAGTTCTCATCGATCCTTGACTCATTTCATATTCTTTTGCCATCTTTCTCATGCTTCTTTCCGGAGTGCTTCTGATTTTCTCTCGAACGGCTTTGACTGCTTCTGGAGTCGTGACGGTGACTGGACGTCCCCTTCTTTGTATGTCATCTGAAGTACCGAGGCGCCGTCAGCGTTGTGCAGTTCGAAAAACGAGAACACGAGACACTTTCAGCTTTTTAACGATCTCTGATTTCGTCATTCCGCTTTTGACACAATAAATGATTGCGGTACGGTACGGAGATGGGGCCACCATTACCTGAAAACTGAAAAGTGTGAGCTGTAACTTCAAACACATGATAAGTGAGCATGAATGAACGAAATAAACAAAAAAAAATTCAAAGGCCAGTCCTTTGTGCAAAAAGCAGCGACCAAACAAAAAACGGTCTAGCAACACGACCAGACAGGGGTCAAAGCTATCACTCGTTCCGGGATAAGGGTGAGAGTGAACACTTTTGAGTTGATTGGTGTGGAAACGTCTGATGGATTCTCCCAAATCCACCTCAAATTTCACCTTACCAGCCTTTTTGAGGATTTGGCCGGGTCTCCAAATTCATGCGTTAGCCGTATGGCATTTTGCTAACACCGACTGGCCTGGGGAGAACATTCGGGTTTTCGCTCCATTCCGTTGGTCAAGCTGAATCTTAACTAATTCTGCGTTCCGCGTTTTTTTTTAACGTTCCGAAAAAATTAATTTAGTTCCGCATTCTGCAGAAAAAAAAATTTCGTTCCGCAGTAAAAAATTTCGTTCCGCGTTCCGCATTCTCAATTTTTACTTCCGTGCATCTCTGGCCCAAACGATGAAGAAAATGATCAGTTTGTGAAAATTCACGTCGAGTAGATATGTTATAAAACTTTGAAAGTAACTACCTGTCTTTTGGATTTTTCTTCGTGTCAGGCCAAACTTCGGTGCCCTAGGAGATGGCAGGGATAATCGACGCTTCGAAGATGTGAGCTCGCAGTTTCGGGTCTTTCAGCTGGCTGGTGACTTCTTTGATGGAGTTGAAGGCGGCCCATCCAGCGCGTTTGCTTCCTCCAGGGTGACTTTGCCTTGGTCGCTGAAGCGGTTTTTCATTCACTGCGTCTTCTTGACGTTCATCTTGAGGCCGATCTTCTTGCCGACTTCGTTCCAGGTCGTTCAGCATGGAGGACAGTTCGGTGGTGGGGCTGGAGAAGAGTACGATGTCGTCGGCGTAGCGAAGATTTGTGAGGACCTTTTCGTCGATGTTGATGCCTCTGACGTCTGTACCGTCTTCCCAGTCGTGCTCTTCGACGCGCGATCGGACAAGTTCGTAAAGAAAGGAGCGATTTGTGTTGCGGTAGCATAGAAAATAGGTCGAGCAGAAGAGCGGATATTTATTTTATATTGAAAAAAAGGTTGTGGTCCTTCGAGGGGTTTCTAGCCTTCCTAGTGATTCCAGAAGGAGTTTTTTTGCTGATTTTTTTCGGAAGCTTAAAAAAACGAGCACGGTCGGGCTTTTGTTAATTTTCTACTTGATATTAAATCAATCAATCAAATCAAAATTTTTTATTTTTTTCACACACAAGCACTAAAATTTACGAAATAGATGTAAAGCTTCTAAGCTTGAAACGGGACTTCCAGAATTAGAATCGAAAGAAAAACGAAGATAATAAGACAAATTACAAGTTGGGACCGTTTGAATGACCCTTGAAAAGTGGCTTACTGTATTGAGCGGAATGTTTATTTCGAGTTTTTGGTATGCCAGACTCTATCTTTGAGCAGCTTTTTCTTAAATCACTAAAGTTTCAACTCAATAGCAAAAAAGAGCTCCCTGAGTTTCTTACTCAGAAGTTCCCACGTACCAAAGTCCTTCCTTTCTTTTTTTTTATTTTCTTAATTCACTAAAGTTTCCACTTGATCGTAAGCAAGGGTTATCCCAGTTCCATAGTCAGAAGTTTCCACGATCTTACTATCCAAAGTTCTGTCTTCCTTTTTTAACTCATCTAAGCTAAAACACCATAAAATAGTGCGAATAAAAAACCAGGACGGATTTTCGGAGAATGTTTATCAAGCCGCGATTCGCGCAAAGTCTTGAAGAAATTGAACTTCAAAGAAAGACATGAAGGAGAAAATAATGAAGGAAACGAGTAAGGACGACGGAGGCTTTCCTGGACGCATCATTTCGTGTTCTGCAATTTGGTATTATATTCACAATATTCCTTTTTGAGACATACCATCTTGGTCGACTTTTTTTCTTCAGGGGCCTTCACATCCTGAGGGGCTGATGACTTATTCGTCTTACCTTGCGCAGAAGCCTTTTCGGACGCCTCCTGAATTTATTATTAAGATACATCAGGAAAGGCTCTTTCACCTCCATAAGATCGACGTCAGTGCCGATATCGTAGATTTCATTCAGTTTCTCATCGTAGTAAACTTTCTCTATGGTAATATTTTCCTCCTTCTCTTGCGCAACTTCAACCTTAAAAAAATCAAGTCGATGAGTTAGCAAGTTAAACCGCCAAAAAAGCGATTGAGAAACTTCAGAAATTTTTTTTGGCTGTAAGAGAAACTCAAAGATTTGCTCAAACGTTTCTCTTCCATTTTTTTTAAACTATAAGTCACGAAAAAGAACAAACTTCTCCACGGAACGAAGTCGGAATTTTAATCGGCCCCTTTTTGATAAACTTGTCCGATCGCGCGTCCTCCTTCTCTTGGCGCTGAGATATTAATTATTATTAATTTAAGGAGTCAGCGTTTTATTTTGAACCTTCCGCTTCACTATATAATCGCGATGAGCCGAAGTCAAAACTTCGGGTTTTCTTATCTTCCTTTGGCGTGGGATCTTCGCCTTTTCGGTTTTGGGGACGACTAACGTTTCAGGATGCGGATTCAACACTACCCTGTGAGTTTTCCCGATATCCGTTGGAAGGGCCGATTCTTTGCCGTTTGTGGCAAGCAGCTCTTTAAAGAAAAAATCAACTTTTAAAATAGACATGTCATGCGACTTCAAAGCTTGTCTGCGCTCTCTTTTCTCTCTCTCTGGCTTTTCCACAGCAAGAGAAAAGAGATCGCAGACAAGTAGCTTCATGGTCGCATTTGGAATGGTTGAAATTAAACTTGCGCCATTTTCTAAGCCCAACACTCTCTGACAAAGTCATGGGTGGTCGAGAGCAGAAAAAAAAAATTGGTTCTGTAATTTCGGCACTGCAGAAGTTAAGGTCAAATTTTTTTTCTGGCGAAGTTTAAGATCTTTGCGAGTGGAGAAAGGTCGAAAAAACAAACTTCTTCGAAGGTGCCAGATATAAATAATTGAAATCGTATTGGTCAACAAGAGGATCACAACAGCTACGGCCAGAAGGATTACTGGCCAATGGTTGAGTTTGGGACAATCGCTGAAATTTCCTTCTTAAAACGTACAACGACCTGTTTCGATAGGTTTTCGAGTGACCGCAAGTAAAAGATAGATGAAAAAAGCTGAGAGTAATAAACGCAGTTCGTTATCATATAATTTCTTTGGACTATGGATAAAGTTTTCCATGGCGTGTTAATTGGAAAAATGGATTATGCTTCGAAACGAAAAAACGTGTTCTCCGGCGCACCAAAGTTGCTCCAAAACAGTAGTAATTTTTGTTTTGGAGCAATTTTGTTGCGTTCCGGAACAACATTCATATTGTCCGATAAACAGGCCATAATCATTTTTCTAAGAATTTTGAAAATCTGGTTGATTAATAAACAAGTTTCTCGAACGAACCCGATATTGGCCAGTTTCTTCCGGCACTCCTTCTCCAAGATTGTCAACTCCTCAATTAGTTTATCTTTGCGAGGGTCCTGAAAAATCCTTCGTTTACTTTCAAGTAAGCTCGGAATCAAAATTAAATAATGAACAAACGCCGGAATCAATATGACTGGAGGTGATGGCATCTTTCGCGGGGCTTAGAACAAAAGTTGGGGACTTGGACGTTGTCGAGGGACCTTCAAGTTAGAAGGGTCAGTATATTAAGTAACACGTTCTTCTAGAGCCTTTGGGTTCATTCAAGTGGCAATTTCAATTTCAATTTTATTCAGACATCAGAGTAATCAAAAAGGCTCTGCTGAATCATGGTAGATTTGAAGAGCTCCTTGTTGTTGCGCGCAACGGTCGACCAATTCTCCCCAAGAACGCTTCGGAAGTCATCTCGCCAACGTGCTCGTGGTCGTCCAACAGATCTTTTCTTCTCCCAGGGCCGCCATTCTACGATCTTCTTTGCCCACGTTTCTCCTCCCGTCACGATTTTCTTTGCGAAGAACCATTTTCTTCTTGTTGCAACCATTCGAGCATCACGCATCTTCAATCTTTCGTGGAGCCAACTGTTTGATCTTCTATCCATTAGAGTCACACCAAGCATTCTTCTCATCATCTTCCTCTGTGCTGTGGCTAACATGTTCATCTCTGTTTTCTTGAGGGTCCAGCCTTCTGATCCGTATAAGAGCGCAGGTTCTATACAAGCTTGGTATATTTTGACTTTGTTCTTGAGAGGTGTTGTTTTCTTCGTCAGATATATAGAAAACTTGTGGAAAACTGCCCATGCAGATTGGATTCTGCGGAGTAGTTCCGTTTTGAAACCTTCCGCGAAATGAAGATGCGTTCCGAGATATGTGAACTGGTCAACATATGATACTTCTTTTCCGTCTACTTCCACTCTTCTCTTCGCTCGGTTTGACATGATATACGTTTTCGAGAAATTGATGATCAAGCCAGATTTCTTGCTCTCAGTGGCTAGTTGGTTTGCCATTTCTTCTAATTTCTTCGAACTTGAAGCGAACAAAACGATGTCGTCAGCAAAACGGAGGTGTGTGAGAGGCGTCCCGTTAACGGAGATCCCATGTTCACTCCAGTCGAGTCTTCGAAATACATGCTCAAGAGTAGGTTGGGCGAAATAGTGTCGCCTTGCCGCACGCCTCTTCCAATTTGTACTGGGACGTCGTGCCCGCGGATTCGGACAGACACTTTCGCTTCGTCGTAGATGTTCTTGAGCGTGTTAACTATTTTCGAATGAACGCCAAATTCGCTTAGAGCCGTCCAAAGGGATCCGAATTCCACGCTAACGAACGCCTTCTTATAATCGATGAACATCAAAAATAATGGGAAGCGATATTCGTGTGACTTCTGGATCATTTCGGAGACGACCAGTGTGTTTTCTGAGGTCGAGTATCCAGGTCGGAATCCCGTTTGTTCGATAGGTTGTGCTTCTTCCAGAGACCGTTCTGCCCGTCTTCTTAGGATGGAGGTGAAGATTTTGTGGATAGTCGACATCAAGGCTACAGGTCGGTAGTTTCCGATGTCAAGGCAGCTCCCTTTCTTGTGAAGTAGGCGGACTATTGAGTCTGACATCGAAGTCGGAGTTCTCTCGTTTTTGAGACATTCGTTGTAGATACTCGCAAGAATCGGGACTGCATTTTCTTCGGCAGCTAGGAGCATCTCCAGCGTTATGAAGTCAGGTCCAGGGGCTTTCCCTCGTTTTGCTTTGCGCAAAGCAGTACGAATCTCGCTCGGCAAATAGACGGAAGGTCATCTTGGGGTGGCGCGATGATTGCCGGAGAGCTTTGTTGTGCAGCATACAAAGAGTTGTAGAATGCTTGGACCGTCTTGGCAACATCTTCTTTTGAAGCGGCGATCGTTCCATCAACCCGCTGGAGTTGGGTCAAAGCGATCGAGCAAACTTTGGATTTCTCAATGCTTTTCGAACACTCCGATGTTTCTTGATTGCTTTATCGATCTTGTTATGTAGGTTCATCTCGGTGTCGTTCTTGATCGAAACCCGAAGGGCCTTGTTCGTCATGCAAAACTCGATCCGACCAGAAGGTGTATGAGTTTGCGACTGGAGTTCTTGACGCTTCAGAAAGAGTTTTTCAGTTCTTGCCGAAAACCGAGAAGGAATCGGCTCATAGGTAGTCGCGATGGTCGAAGCTTCACTAAAGACTTTCTTCAAACACTCGTAAGTTTCAGGAGAGTTTTGATTGAAGAGTCGTTCTACAGCATACGAAAATAGTGGCTTGTCGAAAACACGCTTTGAGGTTGCGCGTTTGTTGACGTGGCGGGAAACTATCTTCATTTTTGCTCGAACGAGACGATGGTCGGTGTCAAAATGAAGATTCGCGATGACATCCACGTCGTAGATAGGGCAACGACGATCCGCAATAACGTAATCAATGCAGTTCTTCGTGACGCCATCGGGAGATTTCCAAGTCCATTTTCTGGTTCCACGTTTTTTGAAGTACGTGTTCCAGATTCTCAATCCGTTTGCCTCACAGAAATCAACAAGTGTGTTACCACGATCATTACGGACTCCTATGCCATGGCTACCGAGAGAGGATTCGGTTGATGTTTTTGAGCCGACTTTGGCATTGAAGTCCCCTAGAGTCAAGGAATAAGAAGAATCCGCCCCCGGGTGCCGATCACGACGTTGGATTCGACTCAGAGCCTGCTCTAAGTCCTCTAGGCAGCTGGAAAAAGCCTCATCGGCGTAAGACGTGGTTGGCGCATACACTTGGATGACTCTTACCCGTTCCTTTTTGAGTTTAAGGTCTAGGTACGCAAGTCGATCGCTAACAGGAGTGAAATCGACGTTGGCTGCCAAGCTTTTATGAACGAGGAACCCTACACCGGCTTGAGATGCCGTCCCATGGTAGTAGAGGGTGTGCTGGGTGTCGTTAAGCACAAGGCTACCAGTACCAGCCCGGCGAACTTCGCAGAGGCCGATAATATCAAAATTCACTTCCCTGATTGCGTTTTCGAGTGCGGCGAGTCGTTCGTTGGTGAGAAGCGATCTGACGTTCAGCGTTCCAACGAGGAGAGTCTACTTTATAAACCGGAAAATATGAAGGAAAAAAAGTTGGAAAGTTCCCTAGCGATTTGAAAAAACCGGAAAAGTCGCCGTTCGAAAACTCGCTGGTTTTTTTCATACCACCGAAAAAATCCAGGAAGAGTTACAAAATTGATAATGATTATTCAGAGCGTTATCGCCACGTATTTGACCTAGTTGCAAAAGACCACGTAAATTAATGACTCATTTCTATCTTCTCTCTCTTCAAACGGCTGAAAAACGTCAAAGCCTCAAGAAGAAGAAGTTCGAGCTTGGTCAAGACGGTCAAGACGATCCTCATTCCGAAGAAGGGCGACCTCACCGACCTGAACAACTTCAGACCGATCTCCCTCTTATCGGTCGTCTACAAGTTGTTCACCAAGGTCATCGTCAACATACTAAAGAAGCAACTCGACAACTTCCAACCGTCTTCGCAGGCTGGCTTTCGACGTAACTACTCTTGCCTCGACCAAATCCACGCCTCGACCCAGGTGGTCGAACGGCACCGGGAGCACCAGATGCTACTCGCGCTGGCTTTCGACAGCGTGGAGATCAACGCTGTCTTAAATGCCCTTGTCTCCGCCGGAGTCGCCACGAAGTACGTCGAGCTGATCGCCAACAGCAACGAGGGAGCGTCCACGACCATCCAGCTGTTCGACAAGAAGCTCTCGATCCCCATCAGGAAAGGTATTCGCCAGGGAAATACCATCTCCCCAAGTTGTTCTCCACGACACTAGAAGACGCGATGCGCCAACTTGGATAAGACGAGGAGCACGACTGGGAAAACGGTACAGACGTCAGAGGCATCAACATCGACGGCAAGGTCCTCACAAACATTCGCTTCGCCGACGACATCGTACTCTTCTCCAGCTCCACCACCGAACTGTCCTCCATGCTGAAAGGTCTGGACAAAGTCGGCAAGAAGAACGGCCTCAGAAACAGAAGGATAATGATGATATTTTATTACAAAAAGTCAGCCGCAAAAAGAAAAGAAATAGCTGAATTTTTCCTCGTCATCAATAGCAGATGATGAGTCCGCCGCACCGTTTCTCACAGACTGTTGCACTAATGGCTCCTGTCCCGTCGGCTGCTCTGTGGACGACTCGAAGCTTGTCGTTGTCCCTTCTTTGTCAAGGTAGAAAGGGAGTCGAGGCGCTGAGAGTTGATATAATCACCGAAATTACTTTTTACATACCTCCTTAGACGAACTATTTCCATGATAAATGTTGAGTCCAGGGGTCGATTTCTTTGCAACTGAATCTTTGCTATTCGGAGCAAAATGGTTCTGTGCCTTCATTTCCATGGGGGTCTTCTTTCCTGTCGTTCCCTGAACGGAAGCGACGGTACTGCTTGCCGCCTGGAATCAGTGTTCTAATTAGGTTTATCAAAAGTTATCCTTTACTTCAATTTCGTCGATCTCCGTGCCTACTTCAAACTGCTCATTGTCCGACGGGTCATAGATGACTTTTTCTATGGGGTTATCTTTCTCTTCCACTTCTATTTGGACAAGCTTCAAAAGTCAGAGTTGTTATAAAAAGGGGGGCCTAATATATTTTTCACTATCTCGAAAATAAAAAAATAAAAAAATAATGGTACCTGGGAGACGGTAGGCGACTTCGGTATAACAATTGGCCCGCGTTTTTTTGAATTTTTCCTGACGAAGCGTCTTCTTTTTCAGCTCTCTAAAAAAATGAAAAAGATTATCATTTCGATTGTGTTAATCTTTCAAACTTGAATATTTTTTTAATGTATTCGAGGTGCTCTGGCGTCATTTTCTTTTTTTTACGTATACATCTTTTTTGGCCTCCTGGCTGACTGCGTTTTTTTAATTTTGTGGCTACGCGGTCGACACTGGCGGCTTTTTCGGTTATTTGCGGTGTTTTTGCCTCGGCGGCCGGCTCGTTCGGGGTCACGGCTTGAATACCTTCACGAAAAGAAAAAAAAAATTAAACTTGTGAAAGCAGGCAAGTCATTAAATTTCAAAGAAAGCATCGCTTGTCTGCGCTCTCTTTTCTGTCGCCGGCGTTTCTCCAGCAAGAGAAAAGAGATCGCAGACACAAAACTTCATAATCACAACTCTCTGAAAAAGCCATGGGCGGTGGGGTGCAAAGAAAAAAATTGTTTTGAAACTTTCGGCACTTCGACTTTTGTTTTTCTGGCAAAGTTCGTTCTTTGAAGTGGAAAAAAGATCAGAAAAAAACAAACTTCTTCTTATTTTTCCAGATGTATATCATTGAGGCGACGTTTGTTATCAGAAGAACTATTAGACTTGCGCTAAGAAGAATCATGGGCCAACGGTTGCCATCAGGACAAGTACTGGAATTTTTTTTTTAAACGTATTACGACCGGTTTCGATAGGTTTTCCGCGTTTGACTGCGAAAAGATAGATTTAAAAAAAGCTGAGAGTAATAAACGCAGTTCTTTATCATATAATTTCTTTGGACTGTGGATACAGTTTTTCATGGCTTCTTCATTGGACAAATGGAACATGCTTCGAAACGAAAAAACGTGTTCTTCGGCGCACCAAAGTTGCTCCAAAACAGTAGTAATTTTTTTTTTGGAGCAATTTCGTTTTGTCCGATGAACACGCCATAATCATTTTTCTAAGAATCTTGAAAATCTAGGTGTATAATAAACAAGTTTCTCGAACGAACCCGATATTGGCCAGTTTCTTCCGGCACTCCTTCTCCAAGATTGTCAGCTCCTCAATCAGTTTGTCCTTGCCAGGGTCCTGAAAAATCCCCCGTTTAACTTCAAGTTAGTTCGTTTACTGAATCAAAAGTAAATAATGAACAAACGCTGGAATCAACAGGGAGATTTGGGGTGACTTCTTTGGGGTGGCTTGTAACAAAAGGTGGGGACTTCGACGTTGTCGTGGCCTTTGTCGTGGGATCTTCAAGTTGGAAGGGTCAGTAAATTGAGTAACACGTTCTTCTAATGCTCTTGGGCCCATGTAAATAGTTAAAAACGGCTTCTGGGCTACTTCAAAAGTTTTTGTTTTTTTGCCAAAGTCTCTCGGATCGTTCTTGGATGAATGGGGCTCAGCCAAAAGGTTATCGATCGGTAACTGAGCTAAATTTTGTATTCTGAATTTTGCCATCTAACTATAGCTGATTCACGGCTGACTTGAAGAAAAAGGGTCCTGACACGATGAGAAAAGAGACAGTATCTGTTAGATGGAGAGCGCAGGCAGGCCACCCTTTTTTGCGTCCCAAGCTAGTGGATTGGCTATATGAACTTTGGACTTATTAAAAAAAATTTCAAGTGATCCGTGAGAGGTCAAAACTTTTTGAGCCAGAAAGTCATTTCACAAGGGAGGTTCTCGCGGTTGAGACTTTCCTAAAAACTGACCAGAACCTTCCTTAATGTACAAAAAGAAAATTATGAAAAACTCAAATTGCACAACTTCCTAGTTATTGAGAAAAACACGCTCAAGAAAAACCCTTAAAATCCATGAAAAAGGGGGCTGGGGGCTTCAAGCCCTTATTTCTCGAAAACGAGAAAGTTGTGCAGGTTGAGACTTCTAGAATCTTCTTCTGGTACATCAAGAAGTTTTCTGGCCGATTTCATGAAAAGTCCCAACGTCAAAGTGAACCTTTCCTGTTAGGAAAAGATTTTCTCAACCTCTGCCCTGCTTTATCCGATTTTGCTGTTTCGGACGGTTCAGGACTTTTGAACAAACTCGAGCTTTATAAAATAAATGCGTTATTTTTGCTTTCTTGATGGAAAAGTTGCCAATATTTCGAGAGAAAATTTTCCACAGTTGCTTAGACGCTGATTTTATCTATGTTTTTTCGTGTCAATAAAAGTTTTTTTTTTCACCAACCCATTGAACAAAAACCGATGCGAGGCTTCGGTGATCCCAACATGACTTTAATCGTGCGACAAGTGCCATGAGGGGAGCATTCGATGTCCGACGCGCATACTCGTTTCTCATTCTTCGCATCAACGAAAAAGTACTCGATTGGAACTGGAATTTAATCTCTTTTCTACTTTTATGTTGATATTTTTCTATCGCACCAGGATAACAGAAACGAAGAGCGGTTTTGTTATCTCCAGAGTCGTCTATGGCCCCCAGCCCATTGAAGATGTTCGTAGTTTTGTCACAAAACTCGGCGAAGCCGCAATTCTCACTGGTTACGCAACTTCTACCGGATCCCGTAGCATTGAAACCGCTTGGCAGTTTTCTGCTCTCCTCAATTTGAGCCCAGAACAAAGCGCTTGAAAATGGTGTCGCTGAAAATTGAAAAAGTTTCTCTCTGAGAAACTGTTTATTGGACATGTTGCAGAAACTTGAATATAAAAATGGCTTTTTGAAAAGCCCAAGAGCTTTGGAAATCAAACTAAGAAATCGCTCACTAGGTCTGTTCTGCACATATTGATACCCTAATGGCCAGACTACACTCACGGCAGCAAATGTCAATCGAGTTGCTGGTTTTCGCTTCGGCGTATCTGCCACAAAGCGCCTGACCATTGGACGAGAATTTCGGTTGAAAAGCTCTCAATCCCGTAGCACAAAACAGATTAGCTGTAAAAAAAAAGTTTCTTTCATTTCAAATTCGAATTTAATCAAACCTTGAAAGCAAACTCCCTTGCCAGCGGAAATAAATCCATTAGTAGAATTGAATCGTTTGCAAGTGATTCTGAAAATTGAAGTATTTCTTTATTTTTGTGTGAATGGTTTTTTTTTGAGAATAAAATTAATATTTCTTCGTGTATTTGATTTTGAAGTTTTGCGAAAAATATTTCTATGATAACTGAACTTAATTGGAGAGAATTGCATCTGTGTATTTTTTGTCAGTTTCATAATAATCTGTTGTTTTTTTTTCTAATCGTACGAGACCCACATTTCGTATTTCGCCATGTCTTTCTTGTTCTTTCTGAACTTTTTCTTCCGTACAGTCTGTTTGTTTTTTACAATGCTCTCCTTCTTGAGGAACCTTGGCTTCTCCATGAACTGCAAATTACGATTTGTGCAACATGAACTTCCAAAATTCAATAACTCTCTGTGCAAACGCCTGTGTGAAACTTGTTTTCCGTCGAATCGTAAACGTCTCGAGCAAGGGGCAAACAGATTTCGGGCTCGTCGCATTCTTTTAATGTAGAACAAACCTTCATACCGATCTTATCGACTCCTTTAATTTTCGGGTCCCCAACTATTTTGGGCACTGAAAACACAGTGTCAATTTTGAATAGAAAGGGAACACTGACTTGGGTAACAGAGTTGACGCCGCAGTTTGTTGTTAGTTAGGTAAGGCTTCGAATTCATTTTGTCCGTCATACTAAATACTGTATCGCAGAAGTGCGCCTGGTCGCAGTCTCCGTTCTTTAGGCAATCTTTCAACGGTTCTTCCGCAGTTATGTCTACGCCCGAACTTCCAGCCCACTTTTGAAAAGTGGAAGAAGCTGGACGGACTGAATTTCAAGGTATTTGATGAATTCACGCATTTTTTAAATTTGTGATAACAACTTTTTCAATGATGGTTTTCGAATTTTTTTTGTGTGAAGTGTCTATATCATCGGCGAGTTCAGAAAAACAAGAAAAAGTGATACTAAACACGAGATCGTCGCCAAAGAAGAAAAGCGAATAGAGTAATCGGAAAGTTCGGCAGATCTATACAAATACGTTGAAAAGCTGTAGACCGTTACGCGCCAAAGTTTCATGATTTTTTCCTCCGAGCTACAAAACTCTTGTCCTCGAAGCGCACGGCCTTTCTTTGTGCATGAATTCGCCTTCATAGGACGAAAATGGACACCCTACAGCACTCTTTTTTATATCGCAACGAGTCATACAATAATTTTTCTCTTCTTAACTTGTAACTTCTCAAACATTAAACATCAACTCACAAGTGCAGCACGTTTTGCCTTGGCATTTATGATCTTCACCTCTGCAAGCTGGTCCCGATGGATCGGTACAGCTATACAGGTTCGTGATATGAAAGTCGGGCTAGAAAAAAAAAACAAGATTGAAGAGAAATTGAGGGGCCACTTACTTGACATTCGTTAGCGGCTTGCGTCATCCGGGTGGTAGGAATAAGCAGGATGTAGGTAGAATTCATGATCGGAGGAAGGTGTTCCCTCGTGGTCTCCAATCAGAGCAATGACTGTGGTGTGATGGCTACTCGTTACGTAGGATTTTATTTTTTTATCTTTGTTTAGATCTGAAATCAGTTTATGTAGATTTAAATTAACTTTTTCGTTAAAATTTTGCGAAAAAGGGCACGTGTTGAAAAAAAACGGCTTTTATTCATTTCTCTTTTCATTCGCTTCAGTGTTCGAACAGGGGCATTTCTGACAGTCTGTAGCTTGAGAATAATCGAGTAAAAAAACCAAACACTTCGAGGTAAATCGCAAACCCTTACTCCCTGACTTCATCTCTATGACTGTATACATCCAGGTAACTCAACTCATTTAACCGGGATGCACACAGTTTTACTTCAACTCTGGAAAAATGAGGAAATGCTCATACAATCTCGATTTTCCTTCTTGGCGGAATTTTTTTCGAAACAAGCTCTCAAAAGTCAATAGAATCAAGTTTTTCCTGGAGGATCGACCGGTTTTTCAGTAAGGATTTCAATAGAAGATCTTTGTTAATTGAAATATTTTCCTTGGCAAAAAAAAAGAAGTTTCGAAAAATGAATTTCAAGTTTGCTCGATCTCGAGTTGACCGTGTTCTTCGGGAAAGTGGTCAACTAGATCACCCAAAAACTAGAGCTAGTGGTTATTTTTTCATACTCACAGGACCACAAGGCGTCGAATGAAGTACAAAAATTTCGTGCCCATCGTGGGATCTTGCCCTAGTGAAGCTCAAAAATTTGAAAAAGTCGTCATTTTTCAAGTTTTTTCAATTTTTTTAAACGGGAAGGAAATTTTTCTCAAGTTAACTTCAACACAAAAAAATGTTCAAAATGGCATGTTTTTTTGCGTTACAGTTAGTTTGAACAGATTTGCTACAGGAAAAAATGTTGCTTTTTACGGTATTTTCCTTACCATAACCATGAGAGTTGGCGAAGCTTCTCAAAAACCGGCGGTTTGATTTGAGAATGTTGTCTCATAGGCAAAGTCGGAAGGACCCTCCGAGGGTCCATAAAGGACCATAGAAATGTTCCTTTTAGGGTGATGAAGGCTCTCTTTTTGCTGCCTTTTTGCTCCATTTTCTCAGCCCTTATGCACCATTTTTGCTGCCTCTCCCTTTCTCCACCATTTCTCTAGCCTTTAAAATCCCAGAAAAAGGGAAGGCTCGTTAAAGGGAGTCTTTTTGCTGCCTTTCGCTGCCTTTTTGCTGCCGTTCGCTGCCTTTTTGCTGCCTTTCTGCGGCCTTTTCTGAGCCTCTCCCTTTTAGCAGCCATTATCCACCATTCCGACTTTGCCCGAGCTATTATCTGTGACATCAATACCAGGCTTCATGAACAAACTTGAGATTTTGTTACCAAGAGATTTTCGGAAATCTCAGGGAACGTGTGTTAAGAACTAAGCACCCACCTAATAAGAAAAGCAAGAACCGAAAATTTATTTGCAAAGAGAAGGCACAGCGCAAATGAAAAACCGTACAATATTCATGTCAACATCTTTAAAGTTAATATCATGCTTAAGAAGCAAAATTTGAAAGCGCTAAGGATCACAAAGGGGGCACTGAAGTTTTCCTCGTCATCAATAGCAGATGATGAGTCACCGGCACCGTTTCTCGCAGACTGTTGCACTGATGGCTCCTGTCCCGTCGGCTGCTCTGTGGACGACTCGAAGCTTGTTGTTGTCTCTTCTTTGTCAACGTAGAAAGGGAGTCGAGGCGCTGAGAGTTGATAGAAACACCGAAATAATTACTTAACTATTAAATAATTACGGGTATATTATATTTAACCCCAAAAAAAGTAAAAAATTTCATGATGTATAAGAATTAGTTTATTTCGTTTCGTTTTGGGAACGAACACGACTGCACTTTTTCAGAGGTTTTCAAAATATTTCACTCAATTTTTCACTTTTGATTACTTTCAACCTCAATAAGCTTTTATAAGCTTTTAGGTAGGGACCGAATCGCCACGCCCACTTCCCCTCCAAAAAAACGCGAAAATTTTTGTTGCAAAAACGTTTTTTTCCGCTTTTTATACGTAAAAAAAACGGAAAAATGTAGAAGCTTTCTTACTGACATATGTAATCGACATCGCTCAACAGATTTAAGCTACTTTTGGATCTCTATTTGTCTTTTTTGTGAGTCTTTAAGACGGATTTCCGAGTCCGAAATCACAAAAACGACGGTTTCTCAAGAACTATTAACGGATGCTTTTTTGATGGGTTATATAGTCTGTTCAGATTGTGAATGTCAAGCAGCTAACTCCACCCCCCAAGGCTACAATATATATATATTTCGCGTCAATGTTTTATCTACAGATGACGATGGCCTTTTAATAAGGCTGCATTTTTGACTTCTTTTCCTATCTTTTAGATCAAAAAAGATCAAAATTAGTCCCGCGCGATAAAACATCGACGTGAAAGGGTACCGTCTCAGCAGGGCGGAGTTTGCTGGTTGATATTTAAAATCTGAACAGACTATATAGCTGTGGTATCTCTCACAGGCGATTCGAGCAAAAAAGGGTATCGCGAGACCCTCTGAGGTATATCGCAGGCTCTGAAGTCTCACGATGGTACCTCGAAGATACCTCTGAGGATTTTGAGCAAAATGAGAGGGACTCTGAAGTACCTTCGAGATGGCTCAGATACAGCTAGAAGGTATGCCCGAGGTCTCTAGATGGACACATTTCGGGGTCTTCACGATCCATTTTGAGAGGTGCCTTTCTCGACACATTATGGTGCCCTCTCGATTTGCCTGTGCTGTTTTGAGACAAAAAATGAAAAAGTTGGCTGCGCCCCGAAGAAATCAAAGGGTCAACCTCACCAACATGAGAGATGAAAAACTATACAAAATACTGCTTTCAGCTGAAACCCCGTTTGTTACAGTTTTCGTTAAATCGCAAACCGCTACTCCCTGACATCATTTCATGACATCATTCGTAACACAAGAAATAAGCGTAATCGAAATATTTGGCTATATATTCATTTTATTTACGTGAACATGATTCAGCAGATTATTATTATCTCATTTCATCACGTCGACTGGTCGGTCTCATTGCCGCTCTCGCATGGGATAATATTCCGACGCCCGTCAGCCCTGGACAAGCTGGGCTCCGTACTGTTCCATTATGGTGAAGCAGTTCATTCGCTGGTACTACCCGCGGTCCCACATTGTTTCCCAACGATAGCTGTCACTCCGGGACGTATTGGACAACGATTGTGGACCGTAACCCGCGCCGACGACTAACTCTTCGATTATACCATGATTCAGCAGAGATTTTCTTCATCTTACTCTGAAGACTGAATAAATTGAATTGAAATTGAAATTGAAAATTGAAGAATGGGAAGAGCCTGAATTGCGCCTTTTGCATTAAAAACTGCGCCTACAGGTTCATGCATTACTTAAGAAAAATAGGCTTAGTTTTTAAGGCTTCAAACGGAGGCGGAGCGCGCATAGCGCGAAGCCGACTGTGGCTCGCTTCGAAAAAAACTCAGCCACAGTGAAAAAAATTCGTCAAATAAATGAATACTTGACATAAAAAGGCATTTAGTTTCAAAACGTGGACACTAATAACACTATCAGGTCGCTCTAAACGATTTGCAAACTTGATACGCGTGGCGAAAAAAATCTTTGAAATGTATTTCCCAAAAGAATAAAGGAGCATACTGTGCGTAAGCGTGGGCCTCGACGCCTAGGATTATTCCAAACCTTTAAAAAGGTTTCTAAAAAAAGTGAGAAAAAGTTTCCAATCAAAAGGGGATTTTCAAGTGTGATAACTTTCTGTTTCTCATGTGACCGGAAAAAAGTTTTCACGTCGAATCTAATTTTTATAAATTGGAACGTAAAAAAATGAATAAAATGATATGGCTGCGTGTGCGAATTTTTGCAAATGAAGATGATGTCATAGGGATGACGTCAGGGAGTAGCGGTTTGCGATTTAACGCGAAGTGTTTGTTACTGCCCCTATGCCTTCAATTCATTTTAAGCAATTCTGGACCGTTTTTTTCAATCGGTTTTCTGTTGTTAAACTTAAAATAGACTGTGCTGAACATAATTGCAACTTCATTTCATAACTTCCACATAAAAATAAATACAAAAATTGAAATTAAGCTTCCAAAAAAATCTTGAAAGTGACAGGTAAAAAAATATTAACGTTTTGAAACGTGATCCGCGAATATTATTGCTGGAAATATTTTTTTGAGGCAAAAAGTGAATTGCGTGACTTTTTTTATAAATTCTTTCCTTTTTTTGAAACACTATTTCCGACCAAATTTTTTTAAAGTTTTCTCATTCGATGTGTTTACTAATTTTATAACAAATAAAAAAACATAGGCATGTCGCTGAAAATTTTTTTCGCAAACCGACTGTGAAGTTTTGGGAAATTTTGTGAGCATCGATTTTTCAGGACGCAGCCAACTTTATTTAATTTTTTTCGTCACAAAAACAGAGATACCACAGCTATATAACATATAAAACACAGCACGCCTGAAAGTGGGCGGAGCTTATCAAAGCCTGTTGCGAAATATTCAGAAGATCGTATAGTATCAGCTACAGTGAGGAGAACTCTCAGCAACAAAGATGAAATTTTTGTACCAAGCCTTTTTCGCCACTCTCGGAGAACGTGTGTTTAATAGACACGGCGTTCCAAAAGGGAACCTCGCAACGGAGAAAAATGAGGCAGAAAGTACCGCGCCTCAATTGCAGAAAACTGCGTGGTTTAGTTTTGTGTTGGGGATTCAAAACCCTATTACTTTATACATGTTCGTTTCTGGGTGTTTCTGTGTTTATATTGCTCCTCAGCTTTGACTTCATATAAATTGGTTGTATCATGTCGCTTCTTGGCCGTTTACCGCTTTAGTTGAAGAAAAACGAAAAATGATAATTCGTGAGTTTTTAATTAATATGCCATGTATTCGACGTCTTTCTGCTCGATTCATATGCAGAATGGGTTTTTTTAACAACCTCAAACTGTTCAAAAAAATCTTTGTCGGCAAAAAAATAATTTTTAAACTGAATTTCATGAAATCTTGTCAATTTTTGGGTGTTCCGCGCGAAAGACTAAAACTTTGAGGTATGTCGGTCAATCTTTTCTTTTTGATAGCAAAAAAATGTTCACACAGGTTCATTCAAAAAGAATTTGGTTGATTAGAATATTAGAAAAAAATTTTTTTAGAGAATACCTGCGAAGATCGCAGAATTACGTAAAAAATGTGTTACTCCTTCTACATTCGATTTTGATTTTTGTTAAAACTTCTCAAAAAAATATTCATTGAATTATTTTCGTTTTTACGTTTTCCTATAATTTTTTTCACCTTCTAAACAATGAAAACCATAGGTTTGTATAGTCAATTTTTTTCGAGACTTGAAAGGCGAGGGAAGCGTGGCATGGGCGGGACGCGTAGCGCGTGCGTTCGCGGTTCTTGCCACGTGTTCAATTCAACCGCCATCTACTCTTTGAAAAACCCCTGTTTTTTTGCTTTTTCATTCCTTTTTTTCAATTATTTATTGATTATATCCATGTGTGCATCAAAAAATAGTAGAAAGCATTGAAAAAGAGCGGTTGCCGAGCTTTTTAAATAGTCGGCGACAATTGAATTGAACTCGTGCCAAGGACCGCAACGCACACGCTACGCGTCCCGCCCCTTTGCCTGCCTCCTCTGCCTTTCAAGTCGGGAAAAATTGACTATAGCTGAAACTTTTTCGTAAAACCGTTTTGAAGGCTGAGAAGCAATTATACGGATAATTTCCAGTTAAACTTCATCGAACTGCTTCTTTATGTATTGAAAGCTTCCACGGACATAAAGAAAATCACAAAAAAACACTACATTCAATCGAAACGTCTCAGAAAAAGTCAAAAACGAATTTTTAAGAAATCGTGAATTTTCAAAAACTGTTGCGCAAGTACGCTCCAACGAACGCAAGGGCGCGGTTAAAAAGACACGCCTCATCGGCTCGCTTGCGAGTTCCCTTTTGGAAAGCCGTGTAGACTATACATCCTTTTTTTTTTTGAAACAAACCTTTTGCGCAAAACGCAACGAGAGGTCTTGGGGAATATTCAACCAGCTTTTCACAAACGCTGCCCCGACCACATTCGGCGTTTTTTACACAAAACTTCTTCTCATTATTTTCGTAGGTAATAAAATTTTCGATGGGAACTGAAATAAATTTCGAGATAGGATACCATCTTTTTCTACTCGTTAGACCTTTGTAACAAAACCGCAACGGAGTGCCGTTGGGTCCCGAGTCGTCCTTGACACCAGGTCCATTGTAATAGTTGGCAGAGTTGTCGCAAAATTCGTCTGCCTTGCACGATTGGCTGTTGTCGCAGAAACTGCTCGCGCGCATTTTGTCATAACCTCGGGGAATCTTTTCTTCAAAGTCCACGGAAGAATAGTATAGTGTGACTGAGACCGGTGGTGCTGAAAAACGCCTCAAGTTTCAAACTCTCAGTAAAAAAAGTAAAATATGAGCAGTCAACATTGCCACAGTATTTTTTGAAAAAAATAAGTTTATTTCTATTTTTTTACTTCATTGTTACTACTTGCTATCTTTCTTTTAAGCGGGCGCGCCGTAGCGCAACAGGTTTGTGTCTGTATAAAGTCCAAGAATCAGAAGTGCGTTTTATTGAATAACTACTTCTATAAGTTATTTTCTCCTCCTTTTTATCTTCATTATTCAGTACTTTGCAGTGAAATTTCGAACCTCTTTCTCTGAATACTTCTCTTATTGATCTATACTCACCACAACAGACCAATCCGATGTCACTGTTCTTTACTTCATCGGCTTCCCCATTACAATGGCGATAGTCTTTGTCTTCCGGTTGACCCGCTCTCAACTTGCTCGGACACAGTACAAGTACTGGAAAAAATGATTTTCACCAACAATTTTTGCTACAACTTCGAAGGCAGACTCCTCGGTCTTTCGAGAGAAAAACGCTTGCTTCGAACTTTTTACAGCCCCTTCTGGAATTTGAATCATTCTTGATTGCATAAATATATGATAAGTTAGGATGCCTTTTCGAACTTCACCGGTTGGGACTCACACTCCGTGATTTGTCTTGCTCTCTCTGAATTGGGCTTCCGTGCAGGCATTTGGCTTTTCACAAGGCTCTCCCAGGATTTCTTCAGGATCCTCAGTGACAACAACTGTAAAAAGCAATCTTGAGCGAAGCTTTCGCTGAAAGATCAACTACTTTTCGAACAAACGCCCTTGAAAAGGTTATTTGTCGCGGGGTCATGAACTTCTTGGGCCAGAGGGTAGCAGGCATCAGGCTCGTCACAATCCTTCAGCGAAGAACAAAGTTTCAAGCCTATCCCGATTGCCGCACCAATTTTAACCTCACCGACTATAGCGGGTACTGAAAGAGCTCTCTGATCTCAAAAAGAGAGTGTAGACTAACCGTTGAAACACCGTTGACGTTGCTCTTTTTTTCCATTGGCAAAGACAAAGTCGCAGAATTGATTCTGGCCACAATCTCCATTCGTTGTGCATCCTTTCGAAGGTTCGACCGCAGAGATTTCCGCGTCTGCCTTTCCAACCCATTCTTGGAATGTCGCCTGAGAAAATTATCAAAAAGAAGTTCATAAATAACTCACTGGATAATCTTTCTGGGCTCCAGCAATCTGGGTGGCTATCAAGAGCCATAATACGACAGCTTTCATGACCAGAAAGATTTCTTTCAGCGAAAGAAATGTCTGACTGAGCTCTTTAACTGGCTCATTTTTCGAATCTTTACGTGAAATGAGTTCATGGGTTTAAGCAAAGAAAGGGACATGATACCGTTTCTTGAGCACGGCAAGTTTTTTTAAAGCTTTTCAATTTCAAATTTGAATGGACTTTTCAAGTTTCCATGATTAGGGAGGACTGTGGATGTGGAAAGATTACAGTTTCGTCTTAGGCGCCTGCCGAATGGTTTTTTTCTTTTCTCGATGAACTTTTTTTTCCTCAAAACGACTTGGGACTTGGGATAACCTGATGACTGACATTGAGTTTGTGTAACAAAGCTCATAGGATTTTTCAATTTGTTCAGATATCTTTTTTGTCGAACAGGCTCGCTTCCTAATTGGTTTGGCGGAGATTGAGAGATGACTCGACATTCATAATTTGAACATACTTTAGAAGAACTGTATGCTTTACTGAACAGTATTTCATTTCGACCTCTGATAGTATTGTTCCTGGAAAGTTCAGTTAATCACCGTTTCAAAAATCATCAAACATTGAAAAAACTTCGAGGACATCTTACCTGAAGTCATATACAATGATGAATGAATGAATGAAATGAATGTTTATTTCGCTCACAGATGATGACCCCATTGTCTTTTCAAAAGTACGTTAGAGCCCAACTAGGCAGCGCACCGTAGCGCAACAGGTTGTGTGCTTTTTCACGGTCTAAAAGGTCACGAGTTCGATCCCCGTCGCGACCAAGGGGTTGAGGAAATGGTGGTAGTCGAAAACCACAAGCTGACGCGGTTCAAAAAAGGAAGAAGAGAGAAGTTATAGCCATACATGAACAGGCCATTTTTTTATTATTATTATTATTATTATTATTATTATTATTATTATTATCTCATTTCTACCACCCGAGTGGTCGGTCTTCATTTCCGCTCTCGTCTGAGATTTAATCCGACGCCCGTCAGCCCTGGACAAACTGGGCGCCGTACGGTTCCTACATGGAGAAGCAGTGATCGTCGGAAACGCTCGAAAGTCGTCTACTACTATCACAAGAAAGACGAGATGCTCTACGCGCCGTCTACGTTTGATTAACGACAGTTTCGCAAACCGACAAACAACTCTTCAAATATTCCATGATTCAGCAGAGTACCTTCTCTGAAGACTGAATAAAGTTTCAAAGTTTCAAATGAACAGGCCATTCTTAAAGGCCGTCGACCCATCCTCCCAAGTTTTATAGCTGATTCACGGCTAGCTTGGGACGCTAAGGGGCTTGGTCTCTCCGCACTCTTCACGATCCAGGCACTATCTCGTGCATTATCGTGTCAGGACCCTTTTTTTGATGGCTCAAGCCAGCCGTGAATCAGCTATACCACCTCACTGAGGTTGTATCATTTTGGCCGAAACTACCTCCCAGAGGTTGAAACTTTGTTATATTCCCGATTTTTCGAAATATTTTTGTGAACCAACCCCTCCTCTCGGCCAGAAAGAGTTCTGTACTTGCCTATCTATGGCTATAAAAAACTGTTTATTGCATCTTCAATGTGAGAATACATGTGCAATCGACTTTTATTGATTTAACTGTGTTTTAAACGGCGGCAGGAGCTGTGGCTATAGCCCAACTATCTTTTTCAAAAAGGGATTTCATTCGAAAAAAATAAAATAAAATTCAACGTTTATTCCCAAAACTGTGTAGTAGATATCATGATTAATAAGCATAACTTGGAAAAGTTTGAAAAACAAGCGGTAGCGGTGAGATCGTCCTCGTCAATTAAATCCTCCAGATCGTTTTCCTCTGAGCTTGTTGGCTCTTCTTCTGTTGTCGGTTCGAAAGCCGGCGGTAAGCGTTTGTCTTCAAATTTATCGTGATTGAAAACGATGTGATGAATCGTTCAAATCGAAAAATTCTTTCAGTTTTTTCGAAGCTACGGAAAGTTGATTCAGAAAAGATTGAACGAAACATCAACCCCTTTTTCAAAATAGGGGAAATTAGGACATTATCATGTGATGTAAAAAAAAAAAATCTAGGAAACAATTTTTGAACTAGATCATGTTCTGACATGCTCGGATTACACTGGACTGTCTCTAAAACTTTTAAGGCGTTCTCTCATGTTTCTCCTTTTTCCTAATCAGGGAACTTTTTTTACTTGAACTTTTGCTCTTTGCTGAAGTGTTCTTCAGGACCCTCTGATTGCAGATCAAGAAAAAAAAATTCTCGCAATAGATCTTGTTTCCGAGTTATGGAGCTTCAAAGTCCGCAAAATACGCAAGTTAGGCCAAAAAAAGTGCTATTTCGGGATTTTGAAGTGTCCTAACTCGAAAACGAGATCTATTGCGAGAGATTTTTTCCATGTTCTGGAATCAGGGGCTCCTAAAGTACACTTCAGCAAAGTTTCAGCAAAAGTTCAACCGGGGAGGTAAAAAAACGTTTCCTAGTGAGATCGTGCGTTTTTGTTTTTTGAAGAACCTTCCACGCAAAATCCAAGGAATGGCTTCGGGGAATCATCGTGCAAGGCAATCTCTTCACACATAGCGCCACGACCACAGTCGTCGTGGCTCGAACAAAACTTCTTTTCATTATTTTCATACGTAAAGAAGTGTTTGAATGGAACTGAAATCGTAGTGAGTAGTAAATTCTCATTTTTATCGTTCAACCTGAGTAACAAAAACGCAACGGATCTCTGTTGGGTCCAGAAGTATCCTTGGCTTCAACACCGTTCAAAAAGTTCAAAGAGTCGTCGCAAAATTCGTCGGCTTTGCAAGATTCGCTCTTCTCGCAGAGCCTGCCGGTGCCGTTATTTTCTTCGTATCCTCGCGGAATCTTATTTGAGCGACCAACGTCACCCCAGTATACGGTATCTGAGAACGGAATAGCTGAAAAAAAAGTTGAAACTTCGAATTTTCCAGGTTATACTCACGACAACAAATTGTTCCCACATCACTGTTTTCTGTTATTTCGGATTCCTTGATACAAATTTCGTACTCATTATAGTACGGTTGACCCGCCCTCAGTTTGCTCGGACAATAAACCTGTGCTGCAAAACAATAATGTTCAAGAAGAAATCTCTTCTTCAACCTTGAAGACATACTCCTCGGCCTTGGGAGATGAAAACGTTTGCGTCGAACTTTTTACAGCCTCTACTGAAATTTGAATCGTTCGTTTCAGATTATAGATTGGGGCGCGCCGTAGCGCAACAGGCTGTGTGCCTGCCTACGGTCCACAGGGTCACAAGTTCGATCCCCGCCCCGACCCAACCAAGGGGTTTAAGAAATGTTGGTAGTGGGAAACCACGGCTTCATAATCATCAGCCGTCACACACAAGGACGGATATGTCACTGGAGCCAGTCCACTGATATCAGGATAGGACCTCGGCTAATCGACTTGGGGCGCCGAAGCCGCTCAAGCGGTACAAAGGCGTAAGAAAAAGAAGAAGATTTCAGATTATAGATTATTTATAGTCTGTGTACCACGACTTGGAATTTCACGGAACGACATTCCGCGGCGCGCCTTTGCGAACCTTGGTCGCGCTTTCAATTTTCAATTTTTCTTTGATCAAGGTACTCTACTTTCATGTGCTCCCACAGCAATAAAAACCTATTGAAAGCGTGACCTAGATTGGAAAGACGCTTCGCGAACACACGGAATGTCGTTCGGTGAAATTTCAAGTCGTGGCACGCAGACTATATCATGTGGAATAGTCAGTTTTCCTGACTTGAAAGGCGACGCGAGGGGCGGGACGCGTAGCGTGTGCGTACGCGGTTCAACCGCCAGCGACTATTTCGAGAGCTCGTTTATCGCTCTTTTCATTTCTTTTTTGATTATTCATTGATTTTTTTTTTCATGTGTGCATTGAAGAATGATAAAACATATATAAGACAGAGCGGTGACGGAGCTTTTTGAATAGTCAGTGCGCTTGAATTGGACTCGTGCCAAGAACCGCGTACGCACACGCTACGCGTCTCGTCTCTCTCGCATTTCAAGTCTCATTTTACTTTGTGTTTGGGAATTTCCTGGAAATTGGCCAGAACACTTCTTGAATCTTTGAAGTACCAGAAAAAGATCCTGAGAGTCTCAACTTGCAAAACTTCCTAGTTTTCGAGAAATAAGAGCTCAAGTCCTCAATATATCCTATTTTTATGGATTTTGAGTCGTCTTTTCTCAAAAACGAGGAATTTGTGCTGGTTGAGACTTCCAGAATCTCCTTCTGGTACATCAAGAAGTGCTCTAGCCAAGTTTGAGAAAATTCCCAACCGCAAACTAAAACGGCAGTTTGACAAATTTATGAGGGTTCTCTTCAAACAGTGATTGAATTTTGTCAGCTTCTTCTTCTTTCTTCTCGAAAATGATTCACTGAATTGATTTCTGTCTTCTCGGACATCAGAGACTCACACTCCGTAATTCATTCTGTACTCTCTGAATTGGTCTTCCGTGCAGGCATTTGGCTTTTCACAAGGCTCTCCCAGGATTTCTCCAGGATCCTCAGTGACAACAACTGGAAAAGCAATCTTGAGTACAGTTTTTGCTGAAAGATACTACTTTTCGAACAAACGCCCTTGAAAAGGTTGTTTGTCGCGGGGTCATGAACTTCTTGGGCCAGAGGGTAGCAGGCATCAGGCTTGTCACAATCCTTCAGCGAAGAACAAAGTTTCAAGCCTATCCCGATTGCCGCACCAATTTTAACCTCACCGACTATAGCGGGTACTGAAAAATCTCTCTGATTGCAAAAAGAGAGTGAAGACTGACCGTTGAAACACCGTTGACGTTGCTCTTTTATTCCATTGGCAAAGACAAAATCGCAGAACTGATTCTGGCCACACTCTCCATTCGTTTTGCATCCTTTCGAAGGTTCGACCGCAGAGATTTCCGCGTCTGCCTTTCCAACCCAATTTCGAAATGTCGCCTGAGAAAATTATCAAAAAGAAGTTCATAAATAACTCACTGGATAGTCTTTCTGGGCTCCAGCAATCTGGATGGCTATCAAGAGCCATAATACGACAGCTTTCATGACCAGAAAGATTTCTTTCGGCGAAAGAAATGTCTGACTGAAATCTTTTACTGGCTTCATTTTTCGAATCATTACGTGAAATGAGTTCGAATCTTTAATAATACCTTTTTCCTTTTTTTGGGTGGATCGACAAAATCATCCAGTTTTTTTTTCCTTCGGAAAACCGGATTGGGCTTGCGCAGTTCCTTTTTTCGTGGATGAAAGCCGGTAATTACTGTGGTTTCTTACCAGGGAATAGTCTCCGGTCGCATTGGAACCCCTGAATGAGACCAAGTTTCCTAGATGTAGTTTTTCATGCTGATTTCAAATCTAGTCTCAAAAACAGCCGAAGAGGTTTGTGAAAAAAGTTATGGACCCTCAAAAGTCGATTATTCCAATGTCTCCGATCCATCTCATTTCGGATACCATCCCAAAATGAGCTCGATCGGAGATTATGATATTTTCGACTTTTGAGGATCCATAACCTTTTTCGAAGACGCCCTCAGCAATTTTTGAGATCAGATTTGGAATCAGCGTGAAAAACTACATCTAGCAAACTTCATCTCATTGAGAGGTCCCACTGCGACCGGATACTATCCCCTAGTTAGATTTTATGAACAACTTCAGGAGCTACTTCAGAATTTTTTTTTTCAGAACCAAAAGTCGATAGAGCTTTTTACGGCTTCGAAATCGAGCGCAACCTTCCCAAGTCGACAAGAAGAGACCCTTGGTTTGTTTTCGTTCCGACAGGAGCCAATGAAAGACGTGTTCAGGCTGAACTCTTTCGAGAAGAAACTGAAGGAGTTTTGCCGAAAATTCTCATCCGAAATCCGTCATCGGAGTACTGTCTTTCTCCATAGGCAAAGTCGGAAGGACCCTCCGGGGTCATAAAGGCTACTGGAAGACTCCATAGAAATGTTCCTTTTTGCTCCCTTTTTGCTGCACTTTCTCATCCCTTATGCACCATTTTTGCTGCCTCTCCCTTTTTCCACCATTTCTTGAGCTTTAAAAATCCCAGAAAAATGGAAGGCTCGATAAAGGGACTCTCTTTGATGCCTTTCTGCTGCCTTTTTGCTGCCATTTTGCGGCCTTTTTGCTGCCATTATCTACCATTCCGACTTTGGCCGAGTCGTTGGCTCATTCTTCCGTTGTCTTCTTATAGCCTATTCCGCCCCAGCTTTTCACGTTCATTTCCCGCCCCATACCAAATTAGATCAAAATCGAGCATCTTCGCTTCAAGACCTTTTTTGTTGTCTTTTTTTGCAATTTCAAAGAGCAAAATTTTGAATTTACGGTAATTTTTTTTTGCTTTTCTCTTCTTTTGAAACGTGATTATCTCGCGCGGAACTCACTATATTTAAAATTTAATCAAAATAAAACTTTTATTTACAATTTTTATGTTGTTTTCAAACTTGATTGTGAATATTATACCAATTTGAAATCATTTTCTCAAATTTTGAACCATCTTTCCTCGTTTCGGAAGGTTGCTTTAGACATGACAAGGTGAATTTGATTTTGCGGATTTGGTTGAGTCAAGTCGGAGTTTTGTTATCCTTTTCTGAATCGTGCTGGTTTGATCTTTCAAGTCCTGAAATTTCGTCTTTTCGTAATTTTTTGGATACTGTATCCCGCTCGGCTGTGAACCCCGCGTCATTGCGGAAAACACATTTTATTTCACGCGCAGCTCTTGTAGATTTACGGAATGCTTCCAAAATTGCGTTTTTTCAATCTTTGGAGTAGCTTTAAGGATAAATAAGCAAATATTAACTGTTTATCTTCAAAAAGTGCTTTCTCTACTTTGAACTTATAAAAAATGTCGGCAGTATTCAAAGGTGCGTACACAATAAACAACATATTCGACGACATTTTTGAGGCGGAGACATTGATTTGGGGGCCATTTCAGGAAAAAAGCTGCGCGTGAGATGAAATACTTCCTCCGTAATGACGCGGTGTTCACAGCCTAACGGGTTACAGTACTCCAAGCAATTGGAAAATTCCGATTTTTTTTTAAACAAATTTTTCATGGCGGAATCGGACAATTCACACACAACCGACTTTATTTCCCCAGCAAAAAATTACAGAGAAAAAGGGCAAAATATAATGATAGTGTTCGACAAGCTTCAAAAAAAAAAACCGGGACGTTGAATTTTATATAATTGATGGTGGTGAAAAATGAGGGTTTTCCACCAAAATACGATCAAAAAAGCACGTGTTACGTGTTCTAAAAATTATCCTAGAAAGCTTTTTTGAATTTAAGCTAAAATGAATTTTTGTTTTAAAGAAAAAATCAAGCATGAGATGATAAATAAACGAAATTTCGAAAAACTATTGCGAAGGGATCTCTTAAGTGGTTACATCTTCATGGGAGTCTCCTGAAACTTTTTTTTTTCTAGGGCCACTTAAGTGATCCCCAATGACAACCATTCATTTTTTCTGAAATTAGAGCAGCAAAGTGGAATTTTTCGAAAGATCACTGCCATAAAAGCTCAAAAATCGGCTTATTAACCGCAACTTGGAACTGTCTGGCTTCTCTGATCTCTCTCGTTTTTGGGAGCTATTTCTCAAGTTCCAGGAAGAGGGCAGACTTTTCCAGGTGGCGGCAAACGGAAAACGATGCCAGATTTTAAAAATCGGCCAAGAAGAAGTGTGAATAATATGATAGCGTTCCATGGAAGGGCGCTGTGCGCGTGGGGTGAATAAAAAACGAACAAATTTTTGTAGTTTTCAACTTTTTTGCAAAACAAAACAAATATAAAGAAACACCAAACAAGGAACAAACTTTGATAAAACGTTACAATTAAGCCGATAAAGCCGGGTATATTGTGTGTGTGTGTGGGGGGATGGTTTGGTGGTGTTGGATTACACAAAGAATAATACAATCACAGGAGGGTAATTATCTTTCAAGCAATACGGTAGGGGGGTTCAAGAACAAAATAATGAAAAAATTCACCGGGAATGGATCAAAACCGGAGGGTTCTATGTATATAAATGTATATATTATAAAACTCTTAAAAGCATATCTCAAGATGAAATGAAAGAAATGAACGAAAAAAATAAAGACCAAGAGGCAGGTGGCGGTTGTATGGGTTGGGATTTCGTTGAGAGAGGTACGAACGGTTGTATAAGAAAGGTTACGCGCTGAGGTTCCTTTGGGCGATTCACATTGAATTTAATCAACAAGAAGTGGAAGGAAGAAGCCAACGAGGCGAATGTTGGATTTGTATGAAAAAAGGGCTTGAAAAGGGCTAGGATCTTACCGGAAAAAAGTCAAATTTGAAGCTTGAAAAAGGCTTGAAAAGCTCAAAAATCATTTCAGGACAAAAATAGCCAATTCTGGAAAGTATAGGAATCCTAGGATTCTACTAAAAATCAAATTTGAAGCTTGAAAAAGGCTTGAAAAGCTCAAAAATCATTTCAGAACAAAAATAGAACTCAAGACCATTTTTAAGCCTAAGAGCCCTAGGATCCGACTAAAAATCGAATTTGAAGCTTGAAAAGCTCAAAAATTGAGCAATTCTCTCGAAAATCCTTTTTTAGAAAGTCTAAGAACCCTAGGATCCTACTAACATCCTAAATCAAGCCAAAGAAAAATCCAACATTCCCCTCGTAAATCACAAAAACCCCCATGATAAAAAGCGATAAAAAAAACAAACAAGATGCGGTAAAAAGTCAAAAAATAAACACTACTCGATTGGTTTCTCCCGTCGGAGGAAAACCCTAACACGTATTACAAAAAAGGGGTATACGGAGACGAATCTCTTTGCATAAATAGCTGAATCTAGGGTAGAATAAATATCTATGAACAGAGCAGATAGAAAAAAAAAAGGAACAGATCATTATAAAACGGTGTGATTTAACATGAAAAATGCACAGGAAACGAGAGATTTTCTGGGATTTGGGGGGGGAGAATTCTGGGAGAAATGGACGCTTGGGCGTCTCGAAAAAAAACAACTATTGTTGTTCAGAACAACACTTCTTCTAAGAAGCATTACCGATTACGTGGGACTTTTTTGGGAGGGATCAAGCGGAAGGAGAATGTAGCAGATCAGATCCAACAGGGAAAAACAGACCAACATCGCCGAGAGAATCTCAAAGATTTTCAGCGATATCGCACGACTTTTTTTTTTGTTTCGATCGAAAACGGTGTTTCGTATGTACACACAACTTCAGGCATTACACAAGGTCAGGGGGTCCGCAGGGTTTTACACATTAGATGCCACCAATTTTACAGAATTATGCATACATAACATGGGGAGTGCGGCCCGACCAGGTTGGATGGATGAAGGAGGACGATTGGATGCTAATAAAATACAAGGATTCAAGATGAACAAGAAGAAGATGATGAAGCTGAAGATGAAGAAGAAGAAGAAGAAGCCCGAGCGTCCGAATCTGCCCAGAATCCCCCGAGAAGCGATCGTCGTCTTAAAAGACGCGGATGCAGTTGTTGCCAAAGTCGACGACGTAGATCCGGCCATCGGGTCCGACGGCCAAGTCTGTGGGTCGGTCGAGGATCGGCCGGGCGCTTGGCGTCACCGGCGTCGGTGTCGTGAAGCCTGGGGCTCCGAATGGACCGCCGATCGCCTGAAAAAGGAAAAAGGGATCACTTTAGGGGATTTCTTTGAGGGAGAAGCTTCAGATGGATAAAATTGTCTTGACGGTTAAAAAATACATTATGCAGGGAGAAAATGATCGCCTAGACCTAATAAATCTTCAGGGGGAATAAAACTGGCCTGAAAGCTAGAAGCTCTGAAAAAAACCGTAATCCAGGTGAAATGGATCACCTAGAACTCATCAATTTTTTTGAGTATTCGAGGAAAAGCTTGAGCCGGGGGGGCTAAGGCTTCATTCCCCCTCAAATCTTAAAGGCAAAACTTTCCCCCTTGCCTGGAATTCAAATCTTGAAGACAAAACTCCCCCCCACCCCTCGTCTCAAATTTAAATCTAGAAGGCGAAAACCCCCCCTTGCCTGGAATTCAAATCTTGAAGACAAAACTCCCCCACCCCTCGTCTCAGAATTTCAAATCTAGAAGACAAAACCCCCCCCTTCTCCTAGAACCTATACGTTGCAAATTGAACTGAGTATTCAACGGCACGTACTCCCCATTTGGCTGCGTACTTGAGGTTTCAAATTTCGCGCCAAAAAATTTTTTTTGGGAATTCCGTGCATTTTTAGAAGACTGACCACTAAATTAAGCTCAAATCTCTACAAATCGCCCTAGAAACGACTTCAGTTTACCTGGAATGGAGTGGGCAGTTCGGCGGGCATCTGGAAGCCGGGAGAAGCTGGCGCGAGGCCAAACGAGCCGATGAATCGCATGTCATCCGCGGCGAAGACCTTCAAAAGGTTCTTATTCAATTCGATTCACGCATGCTCCATTTTCACCTGGATCCGGTTGTTTCTCGAGTCGCAGACCAGGATATTGCCTTCGGAGTCGGTCTTGACGCCCTGGGGCCGGACGAACATCCCGTCGGCGTCGCCCTCGCTACCGTACACCTTCATTTCGGACGAGTTTCGTGGCGCGAGCACGGCCAGACGGTGATTGTTGAAGTCCCTGGAAGAGGGGGAAAATTGGCTTTTTCGTTCAGAAACTTCTTAAAAATACGTGATGAGAAGCTGCCCGTCGGGCAGGTAGCACAGGCCGCGTGGCGAGTCGAGGTTCTTGAAGAAGTAGGCCGAGTCGAAGCCGCACTTCCGGATGAATTGGCCTTGGGGCGAGAAGATCTGCAAAGTTAATTTTTTTTGAAGAAGTATCATTAACCTACTCGGACCTTGGTAACGCGCAATCGGACGTGTCGGGGCATTTCTAGTGGCTACTTTAGTAGCCTTAACGCTCTTAAGTGATCCCTAGAAATGCCCCGACATGTCCGGAGCACGTCCGTTTCGCGTTGCCAATGTCCGAGTACGTATAGAGATGAGAAAAAAATTCATTAAAGTGAAAAAAGGCAGGATTTCAATGTCTTCTCGCATGAGCATTTCTAGTGACCACTTTAGTAGCGTCAGCTCCCTTGAGTGATCCTAGAATCGCTCAAAAAAGTCCGGGTTTCTTTAGCGCTCGGACACAGGTAATCCGAAACGGACGTGCTCCGGTCGATTCTAGGGATCACTTAAGAGTTCTGAGGCTACTAAAGCGGTCACTAGGAATGCCCCGACTTTTTTTTGCGTCTAACTCGGACCTTGGTAACGCGAACGGGACGCGAATCGGACGTGTCGGGGCATTTCTAGTGACCCCTTCAGTAGCGTCAGCACCCTTAAGTGACCCCTAAAATCGCTCAGAAAAGTCCGGGTTTCTTTCCCCCGCTCGGACATTGGCAACGCGAAACAGACGTGCTCCGGGCGATTCTAGGGATCACTTAAGAGTTCTGAGGCTACTAAAGTGGTCACTAGAAATGCCCCGACACGTCCGATTCGTGTCCCGTTTGCGTTACCGAGGTCCGAGCGAGATAGGAGGATAAAACAACTGGCAAAATTTTTAGTGGCCACTATAGGGTTTTGACATTTTAGTGACCACTATAGGGTTTTGACATTTTAGTGACCACTATTGGGTTTTGACGTTTTAGTGGCCACTATAGGGTTTTGACGTTTTTGTGGCTACTGTAAGTCTTTGACGTTTTAGTGACCACTATAGGGTTTTGACGTTAAAGTGGCCACTGTAAGTCTTTGACGTTTTAGTGACCACTATAGGGTTTTGACATTTTAGTGACCACTATTGGGTTTTGACGTTTTAGTGGCCACTATAGGGTTTTGACGTTAAAGTGGCCACTATAGCAGTAAAATTAGTAGCCAATTAAGGGGTTAAAAGTTAGTGGCCACTATAGAGGTCTAAGTGCTACTTTAGTGAAGTTGCGCGCGCTACCAGTGCCCTAGATCAAGTGGCCCCTTGAGTGACCTCTTAGCCACCCACGTCTCAACTACTCTATACCTGAACGCGATGGTTCCTCGTGTCGGAGACGGCGATGAAGTTGTTGGTGTTGCAGGCGACGCCCCACGGGTAGTTGAACATGCCGACGGTGCGTCCGCGCTCGCCGAACTTGAGGACGAAGTTGCCGTTCTCGTCGAAGACCTGGACCCTATGGTTGTCCTTGTCGGCCACGATGATGTTGTTCAGGGAGTTGGTCGTGATGCCGGCAGGTCGGTCGAATTGTCCTGGGCGGTTGCCACTCGTGCCGAACTTCGATAGGAAGTTGCCGTCCTTGTCAAAGACCTGGAAGGTTTTTTTTTTAGAAAATGTAAAAATTCAAGTTCAAGCAGAAGCTTTTCCATTGGAGATGCTCATAAAACCGTCGAAAATTGGAATTTTTATTATCATGATTGTACAGGAAAATTCAAAGGCTATTTTTCCTAACTAAATCCGTTGCGGCTACAGTCTCGCGGCTATTTTTCGGAAGCTCAAAAGCAGGGCTATTTTTCAAGGCTCAATTTTCGCAGCTCTTTTTCTGCGGCTCACTTTTGTCAAAACACAACCTGAAAGCTACTATTTGCTTTAGAATCATGTTTAATCTACACGGCTAATTTTTAAAAGCTCAAAAACAGGGCTATTTCTTCACGGCTCAATTTTTGCCGCTTTTTCTCGGCGGCTCAATTTTCTCAAAACTCAATCTGAAGACTAATCTTCGCGTTTGTATGATGTTAGATCTACATGGTTATTTTTCGGAAGCTCAAAAACAGGGCTATTTCTTCACGGCTCAATTTACACAGCTTTTTTTTCTGCGTCTCCTTTTCTAAAACTTGACTTGAACGATATTCTTCGCTTCTGTGAGATGTAAGATCTACACGGCTATTTTTCGGAAGCTCAAAAGCAGGGCTATTTTTTTCAGGGCTAAATGCTCCTAGCTCTTTTTCTACGGCTCAATTTTCGCAGTTCTTCTTCTGCAGTTCAGTTTTTTCAAAACTCAACCTAAAGGCTATCCGTCGCTTTTGTATGATGTTAGATCTACACGGCTATTTTTCGGAAGCTCAACAGCAAAGCTATTTCTTCGCGGCTCAGTTATCCCAGCTGTCATTTTCTCAAAACTCAGCCTAAACACTGTTCTTCGCTTTTGTAACAAAACACGGCTATTTTTCGGAAGCTCAAAAGCAGGGCTATTTTCTCAAAACTCAACCTGAACGCGATTGTTGCTCCGATCGGCGACTAGGACGCGACCTCGAAGGTCGACGCAGATGCCCCAGGGACGGCAAAGCTCGCCGTCGCCGAATCCCTCGCGACCGAAGGTGAACAGGGGGCCGTTGTTGGCGACGTCGTCGTAGTTCCTTCCACGGCGGACGTCGATCGTCGTCGGGCAGCCACTAGAAGATACGTTAAAAGTGAGTTTTTGAGGAGGTTGAGCTTACGCGATGGGGACTCCTCGGATGAGGACGTTCAAAGTGTGGGTTCCTTCCAGAGCCGGGTAGTAGCAGACCTCCAGGATGCCGTTGTCTCGTTGTCTGAAAATTATTCCCGGTATGATCTTTGTAGAAAAATCAGTACTCGGACATTGGTGACGCGGCTTTTTCCTGTGCAATTCTAGGGATCCCTTAAGGGTTATCGCCGCTAAAGTGATCACTAAAAACGTCCAGAGCACGCCCGTTACCAATGTCCGAGTACGTTTTAGAATTCAGAGCTGTTCCAGCTCCTCCTAGAAGAACTGAGCTTCACCAGAGTTCAGAAACTCCCTTCACTTCTCAAAAACCAATTTCAAAGATTTCGAGAGAATATTCAAAAGCTCGTCCAGCTCCTCCTTATCATAACTAGAACTTGCTCAGCCAATTTGATCTTCAAAATTCAAAAAAGTGCTCTATAGAGCTGCTCCGACTCTTCCTGCTCATGAAAAAACGTTTTTTTTTTCAATTTTTGACGTCCTGATCTTCACAAAATAATCTGAACATTTTTTCTTCTAACAGAGCTTCTCCAGCTCCTACCTAAGCTCTTCCTAATCTTATTAAATCTATGGAATCTCGACAGGAATCGCTTATCCAGATCTAGTTTTAAAAAAACGCTTCTTACAACTGCTCCAGCTACTCCTACAACCTGATAAGCTTCACTATGATGTTAGTAATTTTAATCTAGAGGCGGTCAGAGCTGCTCCAGCTTCTCCTCATCCAAACGGAGCTGTCTTCTCTAATTGTGGTATTTTTCCCTGAATCTCAGAGCGATTCGAACCCTCTGAGCTGCTCCAGCTCCTCCTACAACCTTCTAGGTTTCACTATAATGTTGGTAATCTGAGTCTAGAGGCGATCAGAGCTGCTCCAGCTTCTCCTTAGCCAAACTGAGCTTTCTCCTCTAATTGTGTGACTCTTCCCAGAATCTCAGAGCGATTCCGAGCTGCTCCAGCTCCTCCCGGAACTCACTTGGTCGACGTGATCTCAACCGGAGTCGCGTTTGGCGAGTATATCGAGACGAGGATGTCACGTCCGAGGAACATGCCGGCGTTGGGGACAACCTCGCCACAGGCGTCACGAACTTGCAGCAGCACCGAGGAAGCTCGACCAGCCACAGATCTGAAAATCGAGCATTTCCTTTGAAATTTCTAGATTTGTGTACCTTTTAAAGTTCTCCCCGCTCAAGACGCTGGTCTTGGCGCAGGGGCCGCTCTCCAGATCGCCGAAATGACGGACCCTGGAATCCAATTATTCAGAATATTCCGAAGCCAGTGTCAGACTTGGTGAGAAGGTTGACGTCGGGCCCGTGGAACTTGAGCAGGTCGTTTTCGTTGAGTTGGAACGTCATCGTGTTCTCGTGGACCTTGAAGTTGACGAGCTGCTCGAAGATCTCCTTCAGCTTGACGTCGTCGTCTCCGGCGTCCATCGACGAGTCGACCAGCTTGAGCATCTAAGAAAGGGCGGTGGGAATTGGTCAGGATAGTGAGAAGTTCGGAAATCATAGAATAGGAATGATCTCTGACTATAGGTGATTCACGGCTGACTTGAGCCATCGAAAAAGGGTCTTGGCACGATTGAAAAAAAAAGAGAGAGTGTATGGTTCGTGGAGAGCGCAGACAGGCCACGCCTCCTTAGCCAAGCTAACCGTGGATCGGCTATATTATTGTTTTCCTTAACATCTAAGGGACATTCTCATATTGCTAGAAACACTTTGAGCCTACTCAATAAATTTGAAAATAATTATATTTTTGGTTAACTTTTTAATGAATAGTTCTTGGTCTAGTTTATCATTCTTGAGATAAAAATACGGATTTTTTTAAGGTCTTCTAGCGCAAAAAAATCGATAAAAAAATTAAAATGATAAAAAAATAGCCGGACAAGCCAAAAACAACCATTCCGGTTCACACAAAAATTTCCCGGAAAAGGCCATTTTTTGTGAGCAAGATTGCTCCAGCGCTAAAAATCTCTCGTTCTAGGCAAGCTCCAAGTTCAGACAGTTTTCCTGGTTAAACAAGCAAAACAAGGCCTTTCGAACTATAAAGAAATCGAAAAATATCGAAAAACAGCCGGATAAGCCGAAAAAACAACGATTCCGGTTCGCACAAAATTTTCCCTGGAGAGGCTATTTTTTGTGAGCAAGATTGCTCCAGCGCTAAAAATCTCTCGTTCTAGGCAAGCTCCAAGTTCAGACAGTTTTCCTGGTTAAACAAGCAAAACAAGGCCTTTCGAACTATAAAGAAATCGAAAAATATCGAAAAACAGCCGGATAAGCCGAAAAAACAACGATTCCGGTTCGCACAAAATTTTCCCTGGAGAGGCTATTTTTTGTGAGCAAGATTGCTTCATCGCAAAAAGACTTCTCACACTATTCAAGCTCAATTTTTTTACAGGTTTCCTTATGAAACATGCAAAACGAGGTCTAATAAACTAATAGAAAGCTAAAATTAAAAAAACAAAAACCTTTAAAGTTCCTATGATATCTTTTAAGATCAAATTGATCTCATAAAAAAGATTAGATGAAATAAAAACCAACTTCAAATGTCACGGACAGTGAATTTATAGGAAAACCCGCTTCATAAATTCTTTCTCACGAGTTTTTTTTTCTCCTAGAATCAATATTATTCGCTGCGTGCACCCCAGCGTGAAATTACATGAAGCCCGACATTTCTCATTTTTTCACAAGTCTTATGGACCTTATTTCTACATGGAAAAAGTGAAAAGACATGAAAATAATTGAAAATTTGCCGTGAGACTTCAAAAAAACCAAAAAAATCTTTATAGAAAATGCCTCTCCGGCCAAGTGTAGGACTTTCATTATCCAGAAAAATCCAAATTTTTCAAAAAAATCTAAGTGAATTTTCTAATGAAAATCTTTCAATATTCTGAGAATCTGTGATTCTGATTTGCTTGAAAAAAAGCCTAGAAGCTTCAAAAAAATCTATTTTTTTGACCTTGAAAAATTGAAATTTTTTTCATAAATTTTCGTCAATTTTTCTTCTACTCGACCCTCTCCCAAGGCCATTTCTCTATGCCTAATTCAGAAATTAGGTTTTTTTTTCAGTTTCAAAACTGCGAAATTCTCTTTTTTATACCTGTTGCAGGGAGCTCCTTTTGCTGAGGATCCTCTCGGCCTGAGCCTGAAGAATGGCGAGCTTGACTTGTCGGATCGTGTCGACTCTCGAGAGCAGGTCCCGCTTCCGGTCTTCCAAAGCGCTCATGTAGGCAAAGATGGCCGCGCAAATTTCCGCTTCGGCCGCCTAGAAAAAGACCTTGAAAAGCTAAGAAATCTTAAGTTAATGGTGAATGAACTATATTCCAAAAACATCAAGTGTGGACAAATTTTGGTCCATTTTTTCAAGTCAATAGTGGTAGAGCTGCAACTGAAGAACAATATTGGCTCAGATATCTTGCCTACTAAAAATGGAGGCCTCTCCGCCTCAAAAACCCTATTAAAGGCCTAAAAGTCCGTATGCCAAGGGTGAATGAACTATATTCCCAAAACTCCAAAGACGGCCAAATTTTGGCCCATTTTTTCAAGTCGATAATGATAGAGCTGCAACTGAAGAACAGTATTGGCTCAGATCTCTTGCCTACTCAAAAATGAACAACTCTTAGCCTCAAAAAGCCTATTAAAGAGCCAAAAATTCTCAAGTCAATGGTGAATGAACTATCTTCCCAACACTCCAAATTCAGGCGAAATTTTCAGATGTCTAGGATTCTGGAGCACATCATCTCAAGCCAATAATGACAAGGCTCAGATCTCTTGCCTTCAACAAAATTAACGGCCCTCAAAAACCCAACAAGACCTCAAGTCAATGATAAATAAACTATCTTCCCTGAACTCCAGATAAGGAAAAACTTCTGACATGTGTGGCGTTCTGAACGCGTTCGCTCATGTTCCGGACGCCTTCGAGTGTCATCTCGCAGGCTCTGTCGCACATCCTCGACTCGTTCGCCAGCTCGCTGATCGCCAACCGTACGTCTCCTGAAGCAAAATATTTTTTTTTCCAGGAATTTGTATGACGTTTCCGGCCAGATCGACACGTATTCCCTCCCTTAAAACAGTTTACCAAATTTCGCTTCGAGACCATTTTTGAAAGCCTTCGATTGGGTCTACCCAGATTGAAGCCAGTACGTCCTCCTTGAGATTCAAACTTGATAGCTTTTCTAGTGACCACTTAAGAGTACTGACCCTACTAAAGTGGTCCCTAGAAATGACCGATTTAGCGTTACCAAGGCCAGAGAGGTCGCCATCTACTCCTGGACCAATCATGTGTTTTTGCAATCTTTTTTGAAGGGTCTTGGAGCGAAAATGGCATGAAAAGCTGAAATTACGGAAACTTTTCTCAGCTTTTTGGTAACCACTCAAGAGTTGTGGCCCTACTTAAGTGGTCACTAGAGATGTCCGGACACGTCCGATTTAGCGTTACCAAGGTTCAAGAAGTCGTCACCTACTACCGGACCAAAGAGTTTGTGTTTTTCAAACGGTCTCGAAGCGAAAATGGCATGAAAGCCTCTGGCTACTGTAGATTTTATCAGCTGTTTGGCAACCATTCAAGAGCTTTGACCCTACTAAAGTGATCCCTAGAATTGTCCGGACATGTCCTATTTCTCGTTACCTAGGGTCTCGAAACGAAACGCGCATGATAGGCTGTGGTTACGGTAAGCTGCTCTTAAACTTGACTGCTGCCAAAAGTTAGATGTGCAATTACCAATTGGAGTCAGATGATGGGCGGCCGGATGTCCAGTGATGCAGCTGGCGCAGAGGCCGACGCTGTCGCAGCCGTCGCAGACGCAGACGATCCGCGCCTCGTGGAACTCGCAGACGGAGGCGGCTCGCGGCGACGACTCGCCAGAGTTGTCGTCGCCGCCGCCGCTGCGATTCACGCTGCTCGTGTCGCCGATCGAGTGTTCGCGCTGCGATCCGAGAACGCCGAAGCCACCGCCGCCGTTGGTCAGCAAGGCATCCTTCAAAGTCTTGGGATTTGGTTAGGAATAATGATATTATAAAATATTGATCTTTTTTGGAGTTTAGTGAGCTCGGACATCAGTACCGCGAAACGGACATGCTCCGGAAGTTTCCGGGCGATTCTAGGGATCCCTTAAGAGTGCTGAAGCTACTAAAGTGGTCACTTGAAATGTCTGGGCAGTCCTAGAGATCACTTAAGAGTTCTGACGGTACTAAAGTGGTCACTTGAAATGTCTGGGCAGTCCTAGGGATCACTCAAGAGTTCTGACGCTACTAAAGTGGTCACTTGAAATGCCTGGGCAGTCCTAGGGATCACTTAAGAGTGCTGACGCTACTAAAGTGGTCCCCAGAAATGTCCGGAGCACGTCTGTTTCGCGTTAGAAATGTCCTAGAGCTCGAAAAGAGCAATTTTTGAAGCCCTAGAGCCATCTATTCTCTAAAAAGTCACCTTAAAACCCAAAAAGCCTCCTAAAAAGCCTACAAGATCAGGTCTCACCAGGTGAGCGAAAAACTGCTGGATCGTCACAAATTTGTGGTGTTTGGTGGCGCGGACACGCTGATGAGCCTGCACGCAGCCGGGGCAGAGGAACTCCTTGCACTGGACACAGAAGGCTTCAGATCTGTAGATGATCTTTCAGATGCTTCCAGCAGAGGAGTGGTACCGTTCGCCGTCGGCGCAGCCCTGGCAGAGCGACGTCGGGAACGGCGCCGAGTTGGGCGGCGGCGGCAGAAGCATCGTCATGTTGTTGCTCGGCGGGCTCAGCGGCGAAAAGACGGGAGCGTCGTCGACCTGAAAATTGACTCTGGCAAGAGAAAAATTGCTCTTAAGTGATCCCTAGAACCCTGAAGTGATCCCTAGAGTTCTTAAGCGATCCCTAGAGTTCTTGAGTGATCCCTAGAGTTCTAAAAGGATTCCTGAAGTTCTCGAAAGATCCCTAGAGTTCTTAAGTGATCCCTATAGTTCTTGAGTGATCCCTAGAGTACTTAAGTGATTTCTAGATATCTCAAGTGATCCCTAAGGTTCTTAAGTGCTTCCTAGAGCTCTTAATTGATCCCTAGAATCCTGAAGTGCTCCCTAGAGCTTTTAATTAATCCCTATAGTCCTCAAGTGACCCCTAGAGCTCCTAAGTGATCCCTAGAGTTCTTAACTGATCCCTAGAGTTTTTAACTGATCCCTAGGATTCTTAAGTGATCCCTAGAGCCCTTAAGTGGTCCCTAGAGCTCTTAAGTGTTTCCTAGAGTCCTTAAATGATCCCTAGAGTGTTTGAGTGATCCCTAGAGTTCTAAAGTAATTCCTAGAGCTCTTAAGTGATCCCTAGAGTCCTTAAGTGATCCCTAGAGTCATTAGGTGATCCCTAGAGTCATTAGGTGATTCCTAGAGTTATTAAGTGATCCCTAGAGCCCTTAAGTGATCCCTAGAGCATCATTCACCCCCCAAACCAACCATATTGAGCGACTCGAAAGTGTCGTGAGCCGGCGAAGACGTCCCGATGTTGGCGATGCTGGTGTTCCACATGTTCAGGGGCTCGATGGGGTTCGCTCCATTGAACTCGCTGAGGATGTTGCCGAATTGATGACGGCCGTTCTTCGTCAGATCGTTGCCGTTGGTCTTGGCGAACGAGGCCGACAAGGAGCGGCTGGCCACGGAATTGAGCGCTTTCTGGCTGAGAATCGAGCCGTCGCGGTAGTCTGCAGAGAACGTTTTTTGTGGAGATTTTATGAAAAATCGGTGATTTAAAGGTAGGAGAGTCTTTGAGCATATGAAAAGTTTTCATGTGAAAAAATAGTCCATTTACAGCTGCCTTTAGAATTTTGGATAGTCCAAGAAAAGTACAGGGTTTTTTAGGGCTCCTTCTGTCAAAAGTATTGGAAAAAACCATCCATTTACCGCCAGGTCGGTCTTTCTTGAAGTGAAAAGCTTTCATGGGGAAAAATAGTCCATTTACAGCTGTCTCTAGAAATTTTTGATAGTCTGCGAAATATATTGATTTTTCTAGGGCTCCTTCTGTCAAAATTGTTGGAAAAACCCGTTAGGTCCGTCTTTCTCCAGGTGAAGAGCTTTCATATGGAAAAAAAAGTGGTTCATTTTAATCTGACTCCATAGAAATATTTAAAATGAGCAAGTCTTTTGATAACTTCAGCTCGAGTTCACTGGAGCACACTTGCAAAAAAATCTTTGAGCCATTATGCGGCAGATTTTTTTCGTGATAGCTAAATAACAATTTTTTTGAAGTCGTTAATTAGGAAATAATTCAATAACCGTATTATTTTTTTAATAAGAAACCTAAAAAAATCTCCGCGGTATTCATTTCAACTTTTTCGGGTTATTCTGGTCATTCAGTACTCTCTCCAAGCCTTCTTTCAAAAATGTCCCCTTTTCAGTACCTGACGTCAAGTTGTCGGCGGTCCTAGGCGCGTCGTGCTGCGAGAACTGCGACGGCGAGAAGAAGACGGTCGGCGGGAAGTTGGTCGGGATGGCCGGACCGGCTCCGCAGACGCCGCAACGGATCTCGACGTTCGACGTCGTCGAAGACTTGCCACGGACGTTGCTGCTCTGCTGCGAGGCGCACGAGTTGCAGGTCCTGGAAGTGGATGATTTATTTTGAAGGCTTATTTGGAGTGTAACTGTAGGTCCCAGAAACTGATATTTTATCCACTAAATCGTGTTCGGAATCAATCTTCAGGTTGCAGAAATCAAAATCGATACTTTCTTTTGAAAAATTGTTTGGAATAAAATTTTACATCTAGAAATGGAAATTCTATTTTCTATATCTTGTTCGGAGTGAGACTGTAGGTCCTAAAAATCGATATTTTCTTTCAAAAATCCATTGGAATCAAATTTTAGGCACTAGAAATCGTAATTTTCTTTCAAAAATCCATTGGAATCAAATTTTAGGCACTAGAAATCGATATTTTCTTTCAAAACCCCAATTGAAATCAAATTTTAGGTCCTAGAAATGGGAATTTTATCCTCTAACCGTGTTCGGAATGAAATCGGAGGCCCCCATAAATCAATATTCCCTTTTAAAGGTTTTAAAAATCAAATTTTGAGCTCTAGAAATGGAAATCTTATTCTCCAATGTGTTCGGAATTAAACTACAGACCCTAGAAATCGATATTTTTCATTACAAAATGCAATCCACATCGTTTTGACCACTTTTTTTTTGTGGATATTCGGAAAATTGAAAGAAAATCCAAAATCAAGGAATCAAAGTCGATTAAGTAAGAAATGAACCAAAAAATCACAATTTTCGAGAGGATCAATGGTAGTTTAGTTTTATAAAACCGGAAAAATTAGAATTTTTCAATAGTTCATTAAACTAAAGCCCCAAAATATTGATTTCTTGACTTTCCATTCCCTAGAAATATTTTTTCATATCTATAACATCAAAAACGTCAAAAATGGTCCTAGGAATTTTTTCAAAAGCTTTTTCTGTACATTCTTATCACTTTGAGACCTCCTAAATTCCCAAAAATCAATTTTTTGAGCTTCAAACTCATCAAAGACCCTGGAAAAGCCCCTGAAACCGTACCTATGGGAGCAGTTGAAATGCAGAGAAAGTTGACCAGTTTTACTGCACGACGCACAGCGTCCAGTTGACGTTCCACGGCCTGGGATTTCAAAATTATATGAGGAAAAACTGGATTTTCAATTAATGAATTTTCAAATCAAAATTATGAGAAACAAACCCATTAGAGTAGCGCTTGGCGAGAACATTTCATATTGTGGCGAATTGACCAGCGATTCCGGTGTGTCGAAAAGTGTTGTTGACTGAAAGATATTGATCAAAATGGCTTTTATATCTTTCTAATTGGTTTCAAGAAGCTATGGCCGCGCTTGGAATGGCTCTGGAGCTTATGGGTTGCTTGGTAAAGCGCCCGACTCAAAACGGCTTTCGCGAAGAGATATCGGAAAGCATTAATGGATCCAAATTGCGATCAGAAGAATTTAATTTCACTTAAAACTTCATTATAACTATCTCTGGAGCTTCTCGATTGCTTGGGAAAGCGCCCGACTTAAAACGGCTCTCGCAAAAAGATATAGAAAAACATTAAGCGGCCCCAACTGCGACCAGAAGACTTCAACTTCGCTTTCCAACTTCCCTTTATTCATGATCTGTCCACTGGGGGTATAAGAAGCCATGACCGCACTTGGAATGGCTCTAGAGCTCCTGTAGTGCTTGGGAAAGCGCCCGACTAGAAACGACTTTCGCGAGAGTTTTTGGAAAGCATAGAATGAGCCTAAGTGCGACCAGAAAAATTCAAGTTCGTTACTAAATTTCCCATCTAGTTATGTCCACTAAGACATGAAAAACCCATGGTCCGAATGACTCTAAAGTGTCACTGTTGCTTCAAAACGCGCCCGACTTGAAACGACTTTCGCACGGAGGTATCAAAACGCTTTAGTGTCTGCCGCGATCGAAAAGAATCAAGCTACTCTACCTTCTACTAGAAAAATTCTGATTCGAATTGAATTTTTATTCTATTTTCAGTTTCAAGAATCCATGGTCGCACTTGGAATGGCTCCGAACCAGTCCGGTTTCTTCTGAAACGCGCCCGACTTGAAACGGCTTCCGCTGGGAGATGTCAAAAAGAGTTTAAGCCAGAGACAATTTTTTAAAGTCGTTTTTTCTGTTTTCTATAGGAGATCAAGAAGCCAAGGTGGCACTTGGAATGGCTTTAAATTTCAAAACGCAGCCGATCTGAAGCTACTTGGGCGCAGTAGGATAGAACAGCTTCCAGAAGACCTAGCTGACCTAAAACCGCGACGCGACCGCAACACAGCGAGCCATTCCAAACTCAGGACAATTTTCAGTCTTTTTTCCTCATTTTCATTGTGAGTTTGATGATTTGCGTGGAAAACGGACCCGAAAACCGGGATGTGGAGTGCAAAAATCGCCAATATTCGTCGTGGCGGGACTGGTAAAGGTCGCCGCGCCCAGCGAAACTCCATAGTTGTTGCCCAGGGAGGTCGTCACGATGTGATCGCCTGAAAAAGCCCATATTCAGAAAGTCCCAAAGTACGGAAATACCTCACTTCTACTTCTAAAAGTACTAGCCGGAAAGTACAAAACTCAAAAAATGGGAGAAAATCCACGTTTACAATGATAATTTTCGATTTACCATAAGGATAAGACCTCAAAAAACATAGTTATTTCACGTCAGAACTACTGAAATCAAAAGAAATCGTTTATAGGTCAAAAATTTGCATCAAAACGCTTCTTTTCAACAGAAACTTCTATTAAAACTTCACAAAAACTTCAACCTTTCGACCAGATTTTTTTCCCAGGCATAATTTCATATTTTCCAGTTTCAGTACTTCAAAGAAAATTTGTTTCTAACTTCCCTAAAAAAATTTCCAAAAAAGCCACTTTTTATATATCCCACTATCACCTATGAGCCAAGAAAAGCTGAAAAAACCGTCCAAATTTTTTTTTTCTTCCGAAAATGCACTTCTAACCTGGAGAGCTTCTAAATAGACAAGATTTCATATTTCCCATATTCAGTACTTGAAAAAAATGACTAACTTGCCTAAAAATCTCCAAAAACGAAAAAAATCGCTTACACTATCACCTACAGCCAGGAAAAGCTGAAAAAACGGCTATAAATATATATATTTTTTTGTGGTCCAAAATGACCAGGAAAGCTCTAAAAATCTCAATTTAATCTTCAAAATAGGGCTTTAAAATGAAAAAGGGGCATTTTTCTCACTAGAACTCCCTAAAAACTCTGAAAATGCCTCATTAAAATCTCAAAAAATGGGAAAAAACCCACGTTTACAATGAGGAGTCTGACCCTAGAGAGCTTCAAAATAGACAATATTTCATATTTTCCAATTTCAGTACTTTAAAAAATGACTCTAAATTCCCCTAAAAATCTCCAAAAACGAAAAAAATCGCTCACACTATCACCTCCAGCCAGGAAAAGCTGAAAAAACCGTCCAAAGTTTTTTTTTCGTGGTTCAAAATGCTCTTCTAACCTGCAGAGCTTGCAAAAAACTCAATGACATTTTCAAAAATTTCCCTAAAACTGCCTAAGAATCCCAAAAAAATCCTCACTCCCACTGCCAGCCGAGCCGTGTTCGTTGCCCGAATCGCTGCACCGCGAGTCGAATCTTTCAACAATTTCTGCCGCCGTCGACATCTTCTTTCAGCTTTTTTTCCTTTTCTTGTTTTTTTCGTACGTTGTACGGATATTTCAGATCTGAAAGCGAACCCTTATTTTTCGATTTTCAGGCTTTTTCTGGTTCAGATACTTCAAAAGGGCACTTGAAAATGAAGAGAACTTCAAATTTTTTCAAAAAACCTAACATTTCCTTCAGATTTTCACATTATGAGAGATCAACAGCGCCCTGAAGAGACTCCAGAGAAACTAGAGTTCTCTAACTTCTCTGACGTCTCTTCAGGCCACCACAGATCTCTAACCAAAGCTTTTTAAAAGTCGACTTTTGATTAAAAATCAATAAAATCCACCAAAAAATGCATATTATCAAAAAGGTGACAATTTTCAGTGATCAAAATGATGAAAATTTTCAAAATATAATATTCTTCCTTTCGATTTCGAGATTCAAGTGATCTGAAGAGACGCCAGAGAAAGAAAAAATCTCTCATTTCTCTGGCGTCTCTTCCGTATACCGTTGATCTCACGATAAAAATTTAAAAGGCTTAATTTTCAACTAAAAAAAAATCGAAAGTCTCGGAATTTCAAATTTAAAGTATTTCACAGTTTTTTATGCATGAATCGACTAATTTCTTCTCAAAATACAAATTCCAGAAAAAAATCAGAGTTTGAGAGATCAACGACAAGCTGAAGAGACGCCAGAGAAACGAGACTGTCTAACTCTCTGGCGTCTCTTCAGGACCCCCTGATCTCTCGCTTTTGTCTCAAATTTTTCGTTTTGAGGCCAAATCTTTTCGATTTACTTTGAAAGATGAAATATACATTATTTCAATAGTTCTACTGCTGAAAAGGGCTCAAATTTTTTATTCTGAGCCAAAAATTTCCCTTTCCGTCTTAAAATACGCAGCTTTTTCCACAGTCTCTCATCTCAAAAAGCTAATTTTCATTGTTTTCAAGCCAAATATTCTCAATTCTATTCGAAAACCCACCTATTACAGGTGTGAAAAAGTCGAGTCGCTTAAAGCATAACCCTCCTTCCAGCCCACGTGTTACCCGCACCAAATAACTTCTTCTTTCCGTCCCTTTTTTCGGCCAAGAACCTTCCTTCTATCCTTTTTTCGTCGCGAGTATGTACCCGTTGACCGCGACGGTCTGGAAAAAATTGAAAAATTAATTTTCAGAGTTAAAATTTCATAAAATCGATTGAACAAAAATGAACATAAAAATAGTGAAAATCGAAAAAAAAAATCCTGAGAAGATTTATGTGGGCGTGGCCTAATGTGCAAGTTGCGAAACGGTTTTTGATTGATTAATGCTTGGAAAAATAAGAAAACGTCAAAAAAGGACATGAAAAATGATGAAAAACGAAAAAATCCTGAAAAGATTTATGTGGGCGTGGCCTAATGTGCAAGTTGCGGCACGGTTTTTGATTGATGCTTGGAAAAAAAAAACTTCAAAAAGGGGCATGAAATAATCAATTTTGAGCGGAAAATGAGCATAAATTTGAAAAAAATCTGAAAAATTTGATCTCAAAAAAATTTGAAAAATAACCAAAAAAATCTTGGTATAAATCAGAAAAAAAGCTATGAAATCTTTTTTTCAAAGTGAGAAAAAAATTCTCATTACATCAACTTTTTAACGAAATAATCTCAGACTAATTGAGAGAGCATTAATTCGCAATTAACCTCGTCAGACATTCCGGAAAATCGTACAAAAAATGTTCGGAAAAAGCGTCTCAAAGAGCGAAATAATATAAGTCGCTTTAGCAACACGTTTTCATTTCCGAAAAAGGGAGGAGGAGAAAAATCGTAGGAAAGGGCATTTTCAAAAAAAAAGGCCGAAAAAAACGGCCGTCGACCCACAAAACCATTTTTTTTTCCATCAAATCGTGAGGCTGTGTGAGCGAAAGTTTCGTGGCCAAAAAAAAAGCTTGCAAAAAAAGTCATGTGTTCCCTCAGAGTCAACTCTTCCAACGTTCTGCGTTTCGAAAAAAAAATCGAAGAGGGCAAAAAAGTTCAAGATTTCATACATAACGTTTAAAAAATTCTTAATATGCCGAACTTCTCTGCACCAAATTCAAATTTGATCTAGTAAAGCGAAAAACTCATATTAAAAATAAACGAAAACCATGGAATTTAAAAATATGAGTACTGTTGGCCTAAAGTGTGCATACACCGACAAGGAACACTAAACACCAGATTTCACGCCTAATCTAATTTTCAACTTTTTTTCCCAAATTTTCATCAGCATTTTGATCTTTTATGAATTTTTGCATTGAATTTATGGCAGAAAATTTTTTTCAGTGATGAATTTATACACCTTTCTTCGAAAAATCCTGCGAAATTCTCAACTTTTCCTACCCTCTCGAAAAAAAAGCACTTCTCATGCCGATAATTTCTTTGTTTCCTACCAAAATATATTCTCCCTTGACTTTCCATTAAAAATTTGTTCCCAGATGCATCTTGTACAAAGAAAGGGAAAAAGACTTCTTTGTGGTGGGGGGAAAAATCGGGCGTTCCGTTCGTTTTTTATGGACGTCGCTACCCCCAGAGGTGCGCCGACGGCCAGCCGCTCAATGATGGAAAAGCCCGAGGGTAGCGCAAAACGACTGCAAGACGAACGGACGAGAAAAAAAAAAGAGAAAAAGAGGAAGGAAGGAAAAAAAAAAGTGCTCTCGGCTGCCGCCAGCCGCTGCTGTAGCGAGCAGAGTTGGACGAGGAAAAAAAAAATCAGCACGAAATGACTCGAAAAAGTTCGAAGGGGGTACTTTAGTGGTTTTTCAGATGCTTTTTCTCCTTTTTCGGATGATCAAAAGTCCAAGTGATCCCTAAAGGAGCTGAGAAGTTAATTGAGTCAAAGAAAAAGGTCAAAGCAACCACTTAAGTGGTTTTTAAGATGATTTCTCTCCTCAAACTTCGAATCAAAAGTTCAAGTGACCCCTTAAGGAGCTGAGAAGTTAATTGAGTCAAAGAAAAAGGTCAAAGAAGCCACTTAAGTGGTTTTTAAGATGATTTTCTCTTCAATTTTTGTGAAGAAGAGTTCAAGGGGTCCCTGAAGGAGCTGAGATGTTGATTAAGAAAAACAAATCAGCACGAAATGACTCGGAAAAGTTCTAAGAAGCTACTTTAGTGATTTTTCTCTTCGAATTTCGTATCAAAAGTTCAAGTGATCCCTTAAAAAGCTGAGAAGTTAATTGAGTCAAAGAAAAAGGTCAAAGAAGCCACTTAAGTGGTCTCTAAGATGATTTTCTCTTTAATTTTTGTGATGAAGAGTTCAAGTGGTCCCTACAAGGGCTCAAAAAAATTGAATCAGAAAATAAAATCGGCAAAAAATAATGTAACAAAAATTCAAAAAAGCCTAGTGGTCTTTTAAGGGATTTTCTTTTCAAACGTTGAAAAATGTTTTTTTGTCTAAATTTCTTAATAAATATCCTACTCGAAGCCTTATGAATAAAATATGAAAAGCTTAAGTGATCCCTGAAGTGGTTAAAAAGCAAAAGAGGCCACTTGGGGGTTTTGGAAGAAGTTTTTGGCTACATGAAAATCTGAAAAATTTTGAAAACGATTTTTAAACATTCCCCTTCTCATTTTTACCACCATGAAGGGAAAAAAATACAAAAACTAAAAAAGATGAAAAATTCAGCTTTATATACGTTTTTATCCCAAATAAGACGGTTCTTCCAAAATTTATGTTCCTCAATTTATTTTTCGCCAAAAATGCTCAAAAATCTTCCATAAAACACCCAAACCAACGATTAAAAAAATCGTATCTCACATAAATTAAAAAGCATCGTTGTATTGAAAAAAATTACACGATATGTTCAATAAATTCTCCTTGAACCTCAAATCAATCGGGAAAAAGCTTACATAAATAAAAAAAGGTACCGTAGAATTTGAAAAATTGAGGCTTTGAAATGCTGTCTCATAGAAATAAAAAAATAGCCTCTGGGAAAAATTTGAAAAATGAAAAAAATCCTCAATATATTAATTCTGAACCACGAACTGAACAAAAAAACGCTCTGATAGTTCAAAAAAAAAAACCGTCTCAACAAAAAATGGAAATGAAAATGCAGATATTTAAATTTTTTCGTAAAAAAGTATGGTCCTCAGGAAAAGGGCATTACATCTTAAAAACCAAATTACAAACCCCTAAAAATGATACGATTACAAAAAAGGCTTGAAAAACCCTCAGATTCTTATAAAAAATTCAATAAAGGAAACACGCCCTAGAAAAGACGCCCTGGCGCTCAACTACCCTATAAAAATTTTCCGTTCTTTTCAAAATTTTTAATAGATTTTATTTACACCTATTCGAATCTTGTTATTATAGTTTTGACAATCTAACAAAGAGTTTTCTAGTTGACCTGTGGGTCCTTTAAACACGCACTGGCGCACAACAATCCATCTTTCAAACACGCTCTAACGCACAACAAACTATCTTTAAAAAAGCTTAGAAAAGTCTATAGTTCAATTTGGATAGTTTTAAAAACGTTCAAATGCTCAAAAAGGGCTAAAATGAAAACCAGGCCTTCTAAATATCATTCCCATAGTCCTAAAAAGCCCTAAAACCACAATTCACCTCATAAACCTACTGTTCTCAACCCTAAACAACAAAAACGTCAGATAAAGGTTGAAAAAAAAAGTCCGCGCGGCCCAAATACGGAACCAAACACAGGGGTGTAGAAAAAAGGCCAAGGAGTATGGGAGAATCGCGAAAAAACTGTCTGGCGGGTCGCTGAGAACGGGGAAAATTGCGCCCCCTCCCATCCTAGCCTCGGCGCTTTTTAAGGTCATTCCGTGACATTGAGAGAAAAAAAAAGAAGCGTGTTGCGTTGAAAAAAATGTTGCATTTTCATAATTTTTCTTAAATTTGAAGCTGATAAAAATTTAAAAAAATCATGGGTTTTTTTCACTTTTTAGGTGCTCATTGAGGTCTTTTTCATGACATTTTATTTAAAAAAAGCATTTTGGTTTGAAAAAAATATGTTACAATTCATTAAAAAAATCATTTGCATTGAAAAAAATGTTGCAATTTGATAATTTTCCCAGTTTTTAAGCTGATAAAAGTTAAAAAAATCATGGGTTTTTCACTTTTTAGGTGCTCATTGAAGTCATTTCGTGACATTTTGTTCGAAAAAAATAGCATTTTACGTTGAAAAAAATGTGCTAAAAATCATCACTTTCTGAGTTGAAAGCTAGTAAAATTTGAAAAAAATCATCGGATTTTTCGCTTTATGAGTGCATAATCTACTTATTTCTTATGCATAATTTTTAAAAAAAGCTTGATTCTTCGAAAAAAATCTTGTGAATCGATAAATTTGTAGCTTTAGAGCTGATAAAAAAATCAAAAAAATCATGATTTTTTTGCCTTCTGAGCGTTTTTTTAAAAGCCACTTCAGGACTTTATATTCAAAAAAAAATGTTACCAATCATCATTTTCAATGTTTAAAACTGATAAAACTCAAAAAAATCATGGTTTGTCGTCATATGATCCCTTTTTAAAGTCATCCCACTCAAATACGTTTCAAAAAACTGTTGCGAATCGAAATTTCCCTAGTTTCGAAGCTGATAAAAGCTAGAAACTTATGGGATTTACGCCTTATGATTCATTAGGATTAAGGAATCGACGACAAAAAATTCATTCCTTGCTCAAATTTTCATTGACATCTTGTCTTCTTTTTTTATACCCCTTTTTCTCAAATTCGAAAAAAATTCTTCAATACTTTTTTTCTTTTCGATAATTGTTATCTTACTGTCTACAATTTACATAGTATCAAAAAAATTATTCTTCGTTATACAAATTTCAAAAAAATAAGATATCAAAAATGATAAAAAAACTATTAGAATGCTCTGAAACGCGAAAAAAAAGCTACAAAAAAATCGAAAATATGCAAAAAAGCTTCAGAATGGAAAAATTCACCTAAACCCCAACTTGGAAAGAAAAGTTTCAAAAGGTCAAAAAATCATCCAAAACCACCAAATACCTCATCAGACTGATAAAAAGAAAAAAAGGATTTTTTTTTTCCAAAAATTGCTCAAAAGATGCATCTTTAGAGTACGTATAGCCTCAATTTTCCGAAAAGCTTCCGAAAAATTCTCAAAAGGCTTAGAAATCTTGAAATTTTCATGTCCTAACTGTCCACGGAATCCATCCAAAAATCGAGAAAAATCCCAAAATTCTCTCGAAAAAGGTCAAAAAGGCACTTTTAACTCTAATTGATCTAAAGAAGGAACACCTAGGAACTTACAATCTATTTCAGGTCCAGTAGGATCTTCAAAAATTCCAAAAAGTGCTCAGGAATGTCTTTCTCCAAATACTAGAAGCCAAAATAATAGCCTTGAAAACTTCGAATAAAGATTTAAAACTGTTCAAAGTTACACAAAATCCTCATTCAGCTCCAAAAATTGACTTATCCAATCTCAAAAAGGGGTAGAAAACAGTCAAAAAGTCTCTCTAACCTTTAAAAATCTACTCAGACTCTTGAGGACTAACAGCTGAAGTCAAAGAAGGCCAAAAAATCAACTTATCTAGGAATTTCTATCATTCAACAAGTCGCGGAGGCTCCAAAAAAGTCAAAAAGTCCCTTTAAACCTAGAAAAATCTACTCAGGCTGTTAAGGACTACTAGCTGAAGTCAAAGAGGGCCAAAAAATCAACTTATCTAGGAATTTTTATCATCTAATAAGTAGAAGATCATCTAACATCTGGAGAAAGTTGAAGCTCGAAAAAAGTCAAAAAGTCACCCAAAAGGCTAATCAGACCTAGGGAACCAAAAAATGTACACATGGATCAATGTCAGGTTCGAGTTTGGATCGACAAAACGACGCAGAGAGGAGGAGAATATCCTGGGGGTGGCCGCCGAGAAGTCGTCGGCGGCGGCAGAGCGGCAGCAGCGCCGGCGCTCTCTCTCTCCCCTAGGAATGGATAGAGAGGGGGAGGACAAAAAAAGTCGAGGCGACGAGGGTGGTGGCCGCGGTTCGAGAGGAGACTCTCTGGGGGTAGAGACGCAGCGAGGGGGACCGACTCAAAGGAGACAGACGAAAGAAAAAAAAAAAAGAGGTGACCGTGGAGGACGGGAAAAAAGCGCAAAGAGAACGTGAGTGTTTCATCGCTCTCACAGCGGCCACCGACGAGAGATAAAGCCGCCTGTGGAGGCGCCGAGGGGCGTAGAGAATCGGGCCCGAGAAACAAAAAGAAAAAAAGAAAAACAATCACGTGGCTGAATGATAGTTACTTTACTGTATGGTTTTTCCAGAAAAATTATTAACTGATAAACTTTCGATTAGAGCGGGGGGAAGGATCTTGATTTTTTTGACTAGATTCCGAAAAATCTTCAAGTAATCACTAACCAACCTTTCTTCGTTTGGTTTATTATGAACCCAATAAGTTTTAAATTACGTTCAAATTCGGCATTTTTAAAACTCCTAACTGCAAAAAAATTCCCTTAAAAAAATTTTTTTGAAAAAAAGAAATCCAAAAAAATCGACAAGCAATGGTTCTAAACCAACTAACCAACTGAAAAAAAAATCGAAAAAAAAAATTTTTTTTAGAAAATATTACCATAAAATTTCAATTGATCCGATCAACAATTTTCTCCAAAAATCCATTTTTCCGAAGAAAGTTTAGTAGTTCCTAGCTACAACAACCTCACTAAAAATGTTTTCAAATCCAAAAAAGCTGAAAAAAGACACGGAAACCAGGATAAACTAAGCCACTTACAAAAAGGGAACCTCTCTTCTGAAAAAGGACGTTACAGTAACCTTAAGTTCGAATAAAAAAAGCTCCATTATATTTTTAAAAAAAGTAAAATCTATCTATTAATCTTGAACATGAATTTTTCCATTTCTCGGCTACAGTAACCCTACAGTAAGCTGAGAAATTGTAGAGACTTCAAAGCCAAGCCAAGCTTTTCAGAAAGCATAGCATCTGTTCAAACTTTGGAAAAAGGCTACAGTAATCCCGGAACTGTAGCTCAAAATCGGAGCTGGCTCTATACCTACAGTAACCCTACAGTAAGCTGAAAAACTGTAGAAACTTTATTCATAGCCAAGCAACTTTTTGGAAGGCACGGCATCGGTTCAAACTTCAAGAAAACCTACAGTAATCCTAAGTTTAGTATAAAACATGTACCGAGTAGATCTACAGTAAAACTACAGCACCCTACAGTTGCACAGTAATAATCAGTCCAGAATCGTAAACTTGAAAGGCATAGGACGAGTTCAACCCAAAATACAGTAACTTTACAGCATAAAACTACAGTAATCCACATCTATATCAACCCTACAGTAATCTAGAAAGCCAGATTCGTGAATTTGGGTGGCCTATCTTGAGTTCAACCAAAAATACAGTAACCTTACGACATTAAACTACAGTATCCACAAAACAACCTAGCATTACGGTAAGAAAGAATATTCTGAAAATATTAGTACAGTAACCAAAAGGTACAGTCGGTCAAAGCTGTAATTTCTAAAAAAATCCACGAAAAAAGAAAATTCTGAGGCTCAAGTTCCGATCTGACATACAGTACCCTTAAAAAAAAACTACAGTACCTCTAAAAAAAAGGTTTAATGAAAAGTCTTGTGCAAAGTCAACTACATGGGCAGTATTACATTTCGATTTATTATTGAGAAGTTACAGTAACCAAAGATATGGTCGGTTAGAAAGCTGGAAACTTTTGAAAAACCCAAAAAAATGAGGATTTCAAGGGTTCAGTTCCGATCTGACATACAGTACCCTTAAAAAAACTACAGTAACCCTAAAAAATCAAAAGGTTTAATGAAAGTTTCTGTGCAAAGTTAAATACATGGACAATTTTCTTTTCCGATTTCTTATTTTTTTTTAAAAAGCTACAGTAACCCAACGGTACGGTCAAAAAGAAAACTTCAAAAAACAAGAGTGAATATTTAGAAGGAACAGGCCTCAACTGACCGTACCGCCAATATATTTTTGGGTATACCTATATCGAAGAGCTGTCGTTGATCAGAAGACGTTGGAATCAGAAGGCGTTGAGCGATGGCGTGGACGTAGACGAGAAGAACGCGTCGACGACCAAGTTGATGTTGAATTGAAGGAAAAGGAAGAGGAACGGCTGACGAGGCCAAAGTGGCGCCAAGTTCGGCTGCCGCCATCGCTGCCCTAGGTCAAAATTTGAGGCGGGCGAGCCTAATTTTCGTCTTCTCTACCATTGTAAAAATTATTGAAATCACTTTTTCGTTATTATTTTTTTCAAAATTCATTTAAAACAAGAGGAAAAGGTTCTTCTTTTGAAATATAAGGTAGAAAACGTAGAAAAGCCATCCTAGGTCAAAAATTTGAGGCGGGCAAGCCTAATTTTTCGTCTTCTCTACCATTGTAAAAATTTATTGAAATCACTTTTGTGTTAGCTTTTCTTTCAAAATCCATTTTAAAAACAAAGAGGAAAAATGTTCTTCTTTTCGAAACATAAGGTAGAAAAACGAAAAAAATTGCCGTTTTAGGTCAAAAATTTGAGGCGGGCGAGCCTAATTTTCATCTTCTCTACCATTGTAAAAAAATTCTTGAAATCATTTTTTTCGTTATTATTTCTTTCAACATTCGTTTAAAAACAAGAGAAAAAGGTTCTTCTTCTCGAAAAATATGCGTAGAAAAACGTAAAAAAATGCCGCTTTTAGGTCAAAATTTGAATCGGGGCAAGCCTAATTTTCATCTTCTCTACCATTGTAAAAATTATTGAAATCATTTTTTTGTTATTATTTTTTTCAAAATTCATTTAAAACAAGAGGAAAATGTTCTTCTTTTGAAACATAAGGTAGAAAAACATAGAAAAAAGCGGTCCTAGGTCAAAAATTTGAGGGCAGGGCAAGCCTAATTTTCGTCTTCTCTACCATTATAAAAAAATTATTGAAAATCATTTTTTTCATTATTATTTCTTTCAAAATTCATTTAAAAACAAGAGGAAAAAGGTTCTTCTTACGAAACATAAGGTAGAAAACGAAAAAAATTGCCGTTTCTAGGTCAAAATTTGAGGCGGGCGAGCCTAATTTTCGTCTTCTCTACCATTGTAAAAAAATTATTGAAATCAATTTTTTTGTTAGTTTTTTTCTTTCAAAATTCAGTTAAAACAAGATGGAAAAAGGTTCTTCCTTTTCGAAAATCGAAGGTAGAAAAACGTAGAAAAAGCCGTTTAGGATCAAAATTTGAGGTCGGCGAGCCCTAATTTTTCATCTTCTCTACCATTATAAAAAAATTATTGAAAATCATTTTTTTGTTAGTTTTTTTCTTTCAAAATTCATTTAAAAACAAGAGGAAAAGGTTCTTCTTTTGAAATTGAAGGTAGTCACAACTTCTGTAAGAAATTATTCTCTGAAATGGCTTTTTTGTCAGTTTTCAAACAGATAAGTTCATTGAAAATGAATAAAAAAGTTTTTATCCAAATTTTGAGCCCAGCGAACCAATTTTCATCGTTTTTTATTTGAAAAAAAACTCAACGCAAATCAAAGTTGCGCAACCACAGAAATGTAATTGAAAAAAAAAGTTTTCTGTTGCTAAACGTAAAGAATACTGTGCTGAACATAATTGCTAGATTTTTTTAAAACTGTTATATAGAATAAATTCAAAAATTGAAATAAACCTTCTAAAAAGCCTAAAAATTTTTTTTTTTAACGTTATTCTTTTAAACTTCTCCAAAGTAGTTTCCAACAACGACATAAACCAGAAAAACAAAAACTTACTTCGATGTATTTTAGAAAAACAGAAAAAAACCGATGAATTGAATTAAAAATTTTTCGAAAAATTTTTGAGGTTAAAACGCGCCCAACAACAGAATGACGCAATGTTACACCCAGACGCGCAAAATTTAATTCGAAAAAAATAAGAAAAATTTGCTTGTGGCGCAGCCAGAATTCTCTTATTTTTTTAGAACTTCAACAGGACAGGTAAAAAAACTTTTTAAAAAAATTTTAAAACGTGATCCGTGGAAATTTTGGAGGGAAATATTTTTTTCAAGTAAAAAAATTGAATTGCGTGACTCGAGTCAGTACTCGTTTCTAAATTCGTGTTTCACTTTTTCAAAGCACTATCTCCGGTCCCTAAATAGAGAAAACTTTAATTTTTTTTTCAATTTTTCTTCGCAATTTTTTTTCTTGATTCTAGCGATTTAAAGCAGTGTTGATGTACCAAATTTTGAAAAAAATGACCACCAATATAAGAACAAATAATCATAAAGATTCACAAGAAAATGAGCCGAAAACATTGAAAACGACATAGAAAAAAATTATTTAATCATCCAACTAGCAACATGAAAAAAATAAAAGTACAGGAAAAAGTGACAGGAATAAGTGAGAAACGAAGTTAATTATCACAGGACGAAAAAGGGTTCATTATTCTCTACAAAGGGTGCAGAAAAAGGGGTGATTTTTATATATAGTGAGTAACAAAAAAATTTTTTTGAAAAATGGGAAAAATCAATTTTTTTGGTAATGTTGAGAATGACCTCGCGGACAATGCTGGCCACGGTTTCCAGGGTGCATTTTTCGCTGAAAATTCATTTTTTCCATTTTCATCCCAGCTTTAACAGTATTAAGATAGCAAAAAGGTCTCCAAAAACTCGAAAAAATCGAATTTTATTAATTTTTACTGTAAGTTTTTATCAATATAGGACCAAAAAACCAACTCAAAAGCTGGGACATGGATGAAAAGCGCCTTGCCGACGTCCTGGTTCAACGACAAGAAGTAGGAAAATCCGCAAAGGTATCTGGAAACGCGAAAACTGAATAGGAAAACGAGCTTCAGAGGAATTTAGAAATCCCAAAGTGGTCCCTATAGGGGTCGAAAAATTTGTCCCTATATGGCTAAAATTGGTTGTTCCTATAGGGGTTCAGGGTTTGATTCCTTAGCAGCTAAAGTGGTCCCTATAGGGGTCTTTAAATTCCTCTCAAAAAACGCATTCTAGGAAAATTTTTAGTGGCCACTATAGGGTTTTGAAGTTTCAGTTGCCACTATGGTAGTCAAATTAATAGCCACTTAAGAGGTTAAAAATTAGCGGCCACTTAAGAGGTCTAAGTGCTACTACTGGACCACTAAAAATTTTAGTGGCCACTTTAGGGGTCAATGGAACAACATAACTGGTCCAATCTGTTTGTTTTAAAATTATCAGAGTTACTGGAAGGAATACTGGATGAAAAACTACTAAAGTGGTCACTAAATATAGAACCTTTATAGTGGCCACTAAAACGGAAAATAGCGGCCACTATAGAGGTGGGTTTAGTGGCCACTTTAGTGTCCTCTCCAAGTAGTCCTTGCGAGCCTCTATAGTGGCCACTTAAAATTTACCTGGTCGCTTAGGGTTCATGGGCCTTTTTTGCAAGCGTAAGTGGTCCCTATAGGGGTTGTAAAATTGGTTCCTAGAGGGGACCCTCCAAGGACCTCTATAGGGACCACTCTGGAGTCCCTAAGTGTGGAGCCTTTTTTATGTATTTAGAACTTTAAGAAAAATTTCAAACAGGTTATGAAGATTTTCTATAAGCCATTTAGAAAAAAACAGTTTTACTCAATGATTGAATAAAAATTGCAAACAAGATCGCAATTTTACAAAAATCGGCTTCTTTTTAACGTTTTGAAAACCTTATATAGCCCATTCTGCGCGAGCTTGTCACATTTTTTTGAGACCGTATACCAAAGTTGGCCTTTTCGCTTCAAGACCTCTATTTTTCGCTGTTAAGCATTTTTCAATAGAAAAAGTTTGTAACTTTTTTTTTCGTCTGTTCAATTAAACGTGACCGTCCGAAACGCACGAAAAATCCAAAACCTTCCAGGATCCTCGGACTTCTCCAACTTGACGTCGGCGAGCTTGAGTTTCTCGGAAACTTGCTGCGCGACGCGAGCGCAGTCGATTGTGGTGATCAACGACGGGACGTCCGTCGCGCAGCACGTCGAGTTGTTCAAAGGCACCGAGCCGTTGACGTCATATCTACAGTACCCGTGGGCAAAAGCCTGTTGTTCCAGCTTTACAGTACGCTCGACTGGGTGGGCCCCAATGTGAACGACCAGCTGGAAAATTATTTACCATAATCCTGGATTTGAAAGGTAGATTTTATTAAGTCAGGAAAAGCTTATTGATTCAAAAAAACAAATTAATAAACCAACCCTAAGGTAACAGCAAGTCTTAAGGACTTGAAAAGAAAAAAATGTTCAAAACTATAAAAAAGCGAACTCAAAGTTCCAAAATAAAACTAGCACAACATATAACAAATTATATACTTTCAAAAAACTTCTTCCTTTTTCAAACCACTGACATCTGGCTTATGTTCTTGCCACAACGCAGGGACCGTTTCACCCACTTCAGAATAAACCACGCTTATTTTTCGTAAAACTAGGTTCAATCCTGAAACGAAAAACCAATTATACCGAAACACTTATACTCAAAACCTTCGATTCCTTCTTTCTCTAGAAGATCGACAATGTCCGAGGATGGATTTCTGCTGAAATTCCCGAAAGGTCCAAAGCCAGTTACCACGACGGTTTTAGCAGCAGTTTGCGTCATACTGAAACAATTTTTTTAAAATGGAAACTACCATATCAAAACGCGCAACTAATTTTAACGCTTTGTTCAAAATAATTTCCGCGAAAATAATTTTTTCCTCTCCAAAATCAAGTTTTCTTTTTTTGACGACTATTTTGCACACTTTAAAAGCGGCATGAAGTTCGAATAGTGCTAAAACTACAGTTATTAAGGTCAAACAACAAAAATTTTGAAAAAAAAAATTAAAAAATTAAAAAAACTTCACGACCGTGTTTGCGGACCCGGCAGCATACCCAACGCGCAATACCGCAAATGACACGCGACGCGTCTGTTTTTCATTTTTTATTTCCTTTTTTCACTTTTGAAAAACTTTGTGCTTCTAAATAATTTTTCAAATCTTTTCGCTTTACTGAAAAGGTAACTACTCTTTTGATGTCTTTACAATAGATTGCAACTTTTCCTACAGTTCTTGAAAAAAAAAAGCAGCGGTTGTCAAGTCAGGTTTTCAGCCAAAAAACATGAAAATTGAGAGGAATAGTAATTTTAGACTCATATTCTTTTCAATGAATGTTGAATTTTAAAAAAAGCAAATGAAATTATTTTCTTCATTATCTTATACGTGAATATTTTTTCAATAACATTGCTTTTCAGGCTTGTGAAACGTTTTGCGGTCGAAGGTACGTTTCAAGATATCTTGTGGAAATTCGCAAATCTCATTTACAAAAGAAAACGTGGACAGTGACAGGAGCGAAGGGAAAAATACGTTCAAAGACATGGTCAGTTAACCATTTTTTTCGATAAAAAAATATATAAACGATAGAAAAAAATTTATTTACATGAGGCAAAAAAAGTTTTATGAATTGAAGTAGTGCGTTGAAAAACGGAAGATTCTTCGACGTATCATCAATTTTCCAGCTTTTCGGACTTTGTGCCTAGAATTTACTGATTATTTCATGTTTTTAGAAGAAAATTGAATGCGAATGAATCATTTAGCTAGAGTTATCAGTACAGAGAAAAATTTAGGCTAAAAAAATCAAATTTTTTCTTGTTTTCTTGAACTTCTGTATTAAATTCGTATTGTGAAAAATCTCCTCAAGCGTTTTTGAAATCAATTTTTTTTTTCATTTCACTATATCTGAAATCAATTTATGTTCATTTTCAACATGAGCCTGAATATATAGGATTTTAGAAATCACCCAAGTGGCCACTTCAGTTTTTCCCCTGTTTATATATAACTATGGAACTTTCCAAAGTAATATCTCAATTTCAAAATTAACGAGGACGAGTTGGACCACTTCTTAAAGCGAAATTGAGCTGGACGAGCAGAAAAACGACCGGATGTGGTAAATTCGCGAGGGAAAACGATAAAAAAACTGTTTCTTTGTCCAAAGTTTGTATAATTTCAATAAAAATAAAGATTTTTCTTCTTTATGGCGTATTTTTTTAATGGAAAAAGGTACCTATTTTGACCTCGTTATTTATATTGAAGAAATTAATATGAAATAACTGCAGGTTTTTTTTTTTCAAACTTGAATATTCTGGGAAAATAGTGGCCACTATAGAGGCTCGTCAAGGACTACTTGGAGAGGAAACTAAAGTGGCCACTATTTTCCGTTTTAGTGGCCACTCCAGTAGTTTTTCATCCAGTATTCCTTCCTGTAACTCTGATAACTTTAAAACAAACAGATTGGACAAGTTATGTTGATCCATTGACCCCTAAAGTGGCCACTAAGTGGTCTATTAATAGCACTTAGACCTCAATAGTGGCCACGAATTGTTAACCCCTTAAGTGGCCACTATACTGACTACTAATGTGGCCACTAAAAACGTCGAAAACCCTATAGTGGCCACTAAAAAAATTTTTCCCAGTTTCGAAAAACAATAAAAAAAGAAAGAAAAACTGAAACTTTTATTCAAATAAGACGCAGGTTTTTTTCTGCTCTCCTCAAAAAAATCCTAATAAATCATTTTTATATATTTAAAAAAACCTTCAGAGTTTCAAATCCATGTGTCCGTTGTGAATCAGGGCCTTCCCGAAAAAATAAAGAAAAAGTCATTTTTTTGTTGAAATTTAACACACAAAAGTGTCATATTTCTGAAAAAAATCCAAGCTTTTTCCAGCACCTCACGATTTTTTTCAGGCTCTGATCATTAAAGGAGCTAATTTTGCTCCGGAAAATCCCAGAAAAAGGTACTTTTAAGCTTAAATTTCGTGAAAAAAATATTAATTTTTTTCAGGGAAGACAAAAAAATGAATTATCAATTGATGACCCTAAAGCACAGAGTGTTATTTGAAGTCATGGTGAGTTCAAAATATTTATTTTTTTGAAACAAAAAAATTTAGAATACTTACTTACTTTGATGCTTTGATGGTCCATCTTCGCTGATGTTCTCAGCGTGGACCACACGTTCTCCAGGCGGCTCGGTCTTGCGCGACGGTCATCCAGTGGCGGCCTGGCTGACTGATGTTCTTGCGGAAGTAGTCCGTCCATCTGGTCGGTGGGCGCTTGATGTTTCTCGGAATCCAGTGTGTTAATCTCGTGGACCAGCGGTCGTCTTGTCTGCGGATGACGTGACCACCCCAACGACGTTTCCCGCGCTGTATGTGCTCTTCTAGATCCCGGATTTGGGACAATTGACGGAGGTCTGTGCCCTCTGTTCTTTTTTCCACTGCTCGAAGCGAGTGGTGCCGATGAGAGCACGTTCCAGTGCGCGGTAGGAAGTTCGTAGGGCGGTTGCATTTTTCTTCGTGTCAGGCCAAACTTCGGTACCGTAGGAGATGGCAGGGATTATCGACGCTTCGAAGATGTGAGCTCGCAGTTTCGGGTCTTTCAGCTGACTGGTGACTTCTTTGATGGAGTTGAAGGCGGCCCATCCAGCGCGTTTGCGTCTGCCGATCTCTGCTTGCAGTTCGTTCACCATGTTTACTTCCCGGCCAAGGTAGATGTAGGATGTGACCTCCTGAAGGTCGCGGCCCTCAAGGGTGACTTTGCCTTGGTCGCAGAAGCGGTTCTTCATCCACTGCGTCTTCTTGACGTTCATCTTAAGGCCGATCTTCTTGCCGACTTCGTCCAGATCGTTCAGCATGGAGGACAGTTCGGTGGTGGAGCTTGAGAAGAGTACGATGTCGTCGGCGAAGCGGAGGTTTGCACTAGAAGACGCGATGCGCCAACTTGGATGGGACGAAGAGCACGACTGGGAAGACAGTACAGACATCAGAGGCATCAACATCGACGGCAAGGTCCTCACAAATTTAGAATATTTTCAAATAATCGTCATTTTTAGATTTAACACGCTGTCTCTGTAATAAAAAACAGCGGGAACAGAAAAAAAATTTTTTTTTTGATTTTGGTGAAATTTCAAGCAGTGTTATCATATGACATCAGGATTGTGGAAATAACTTTTTGAGCCATTCCCTCTTACTGTAGCCGGGTTACGGTAGGCGGCTGAACAATTTACGAGTTTTTTTTTTACTAGGAAAGTTGTATATTATTCGATAGGTAAAGCAATTTTAGGATTTTACAGATGACCATACCGTAACCCGGCTACGGTCAGAGGGAATGGCTCAAAAAGTTGTGTCCGCAATCCTGACGTCATATGATAACGCTGGTAGAAATTTAATCAAAATCAAAAAAAATTTTTTTTTTCTGTACCCGCTGTTTTTGAGAAAATTCTGAGAACTACTTTTTCTCCGTGAAGTGTCGTGTGTCGTGTGCATGCACTGCGCCGCTTTCGCGCAGAAAATTGTGTTTATGTCGAGAAATTTCGATTCGTCATAAAGACCTCTGGCAACACGGTGGCTTGCGCCTTTAATAAGCCCTTTTATTTAAGCTTTTAAAGCCGAAATGCCTGACATCACGTGGGAACGGCGAATATTTTGACTCCGCCCACCGTGTTTTTGGTTTCTCATTCTCTTCCACTAACAAAAACGCCGTGGCGTGTTAAAAAACTGAAAAATCCTTGAAAGGATAGATTTTTTTCCAACTGAAAGCTCTTACAGATAAAAATCCGAGACGAGGCAGAGAGTCCGAAACGAAGAAAGTCTTGGCCGTTTTTCAAGCCGGTTTTCACGTTCATCCACTCGGATTTGGACTATTTCGTGCTCAAGTACTTCCAAGACTTTTACGATTGGACGGAGCTCTGTCAGAGAAGGCCTGTCGACTGGAGAAGCAAATTCCGAGCGGCTAAGACTTTCGCCGAGGAAAATGACAACTTGTGCAGGAAGCTGACGGTTCTCACGTACATGACGATTACACGGGGGAATCGGCTCGATTTCTGGCCAGTTATCGAGGAAAAGTGGAAGGACAAGAAGCTGAATTCGGTGATTCCTGACCTCATCCGAAGCTACCCGCTGACTGCTGTCGGTTCTGAAGACGTCTATGGAACTACCGTCCTAGAATTCCAAAGAGTTCACGGATTCCGTGTGGTTGCCCAGTTCCGATGCGCCGATTATAATAAATTGGAGCAGTCCTGGCTTCTGACGTCCCACGGGCTACTGACCGCCATTTCCGTCTTGGAAAAATCCGCCGCCATGAAATTTCTGACCCTTCACCTGGTCGCTCTGAGGAACGCCACCCACGGCTATTATGCAACCCTGAGCGATGAAAACGAGGCGAAATACGCGGCCGAACGAGATCGACAGGACGAGATGTGCGAGAGGGCCACGAGGACCGGCCTTTTCTACAAGAACCTTCTGGAGACGGCCATCGAGCTCGCCGAGTCCTTTGAGGTGGGTCCTGAGGCGAAAAAAAAAATTAGCTCTGCGCCATCTGATTTGGAAAAAAGGGGCTTCCGAGAAATGTTTCCTCTATAGCTGATTCACGGCTAGCTTAGGATGCTAAGGGGGCGTGTCCTGTCTGCGCTCTCCACGAGCCAGGCAATATCTCGTGCGTTATCGTGTCAGGACTCTTTTTTTAGATGGCTCAAACCAGCCGTGAATCAGCTATATCATTTGTCATTTTTAAACATTTCTAGAGCTTTTTTCAATAATTTTCTGCTGGGAAGGAATTTCTAAAGATGGGTCATACGGTAGCTCAAAAGATTACGGTAAAAAGCTTCGAAAATTCATATCTCGGCAAAAAATCAACAGATCTCAACCAAATCTTGTCACAAGGTGTAAGATGATTATATTCAATTTTTAAAAATTTAGAAACTCATTTTTGCTCGCTATTGCTCATACTATAGAAAAAAACCAGTATATAATTTTTAAAAAAATCAAAACTCATGCTTGCTCGATATTGCTCATAATAGAGAAAAACCAGCATTTTTTTTTACTGAGTTCTTTCAAAAACACAAAAATTACGCTATCTATCGAGCAAACTTGAATTAGGTGATTTTTTTGTATTTTTTTAAAAACTTCTGGTCTATTTCTGATGGATTTTAGGTAGAAACACCTTTTTTTTTATTCGGACTCTCATTTTGCTCTTGATGACTAGAAAAAAATTCCTAATAATATATATTTTTTTGAGATGCTGGAACCTCTGATGGCGCGATTCGCCTGGGAACCGAGCATTTTCGTCAAATGGCACGAAAATGGTTACTTCGAGGGAACACCCGAGCTGGACGAGCTCTGGAACTCCCGCGAGGTGGAAGATCTCCAGGATCCTTTGGCCGATCGGCTCGTGGAAATCTACGCAGATCGTCTCCCACAGTACCCAATGATCACCAATCCAAGCGCACAAGTTGGCCAGTTGGGGGAGATTGTCGGGTGTAGGGTGGAACAACGGAAGGCGTTCCAACGCCGGTCCGGAATCAAGAAGATGTTGGCTCTCGACGGCGAAGAGCTCATCGAGCAGACCAAGGTAAAATTCGAGTGTTAATTTCACTCAAGTTGTCACTTTTTCAGCTCTTTAAGAAGAGACTAGAGGTGTCAGCTCTTTTTTCGCATAGTTAAAACGAATAATAAGTTTCTGACTGACTAGCATCCAATGAAAAGACCGTAAAATCCCGTTTTTCATGTACGAATGCAAGGACCTCTTGCTGAATTTTAGAGTGGTCCCTATAGTGGTTAGGATGATAAACAGCCCCTATAAGGGCTTAAAAATTGTCCCCATAGGGTTAAAATCAAGGCGGTCCCTATAGGGGTTTAGAGTCTGACCCCTTAGCCCCTGAATCTTAAGTGGTCCCTATAGTGTTTAGGGAGATAAACAGCCCCTATAGAGGCCGAAAAAGTGGTCCCTATAGGGGTTTAAGGTCTGACTCCTTAGCTCCTAAAGCTCAATTTGTCCCTACAGACTAAACTGAGCTGAGGAAATTTGAAGTGTTTACTTGAGGGGTGAAGTCAAATAAATCTTTAAAATATTTGTTCAAGTGACCACTTTAGCAAATTTTCAAGAACCACTCCAACTAAACTTGGGCGAAAATATCACAGTAAAAAATAAATAATCGTCTATTTCGAAACTAAAATTGAAAGTGGTGTTTTTATCAAGCTCCTAACTTCAAAAATGACCAGAAAGCAGCTCCAAATGCAATTTTCAAACAGTTTTTGATCAATATTTAGCCTAATAAGCTTAGGAACTCCAGAGAGGTCCCTACAGGGGCCCTTGGAGGGTCCCTTTCACTTTACCAACCCGTACAGGGTATACTAAACCTTGCAAAAGTGGTCCCTAGAGGGGTTTCAGTTAGTACCATCTCGATTTTACCCTTATAAGGACTACTTTTTCGGTCTATGGAGTTATTTGGGAATTTCGGAGAAGTAGTTCTTGAAAAAATTTCTTACCAAATTCGTAAATGCAGTCATTGAAAAAAAAATTAGAGTAGGAGAATTTTTTTTTTGTTTCAGAAAATTTTTAGGGTTCACTTAACTCTCTATTTTTGTACTTTGATAAATGAAATTATCAAAAAAACGCCGTTTAAGGCAAGTAAAGTTGGGAGGGTACTTTAAAGAAATTTGAAAAAAATCTGATTTTTAGTAGAAGATTCTTCAAAATTCCTCTGACATAAAAATCCGAATTTTCAGTTTTTTTCTTCCGAAAAGGAGGTTTTTTTCAGCCTTTATAGGATTTTTTGAACTTTTTTTATTTGTTTTTACATTTTCACAAAGGAAGCGCTCAAAAACGCGCTAGGAAGCTCTTTCAATGACCTAAGTGTTACCTAGAGTGATCACTTAATCCCTTAAGTCGTCACTTGATCATCTAAACCGTCACTTAAACATCTGAATCCTCACTTAACTTCCCTAAAGTCGTCACTTATTTCCCCTGAAGCCTTCACTTAACCGCCCTAGTGGCCACTTAATCAGTTACAGCTAGAAAATCCTTAAGGGACCACTTCATAACCCTTCAGCTCAAATAAATGTACAAGTTCAAGGTCTACGAGGACGAGTTCGACGACTTCCAGTTTGAAATGGAGCTGGACGAGCTCGAGGAAGAGTGGATCTCTAATATTCGCGACAAAGTCAAGGCCTATCAAAAGTCCCAAAGTCAAGGAAAATAATGATCTGATTATCTGAAAATTGTATTGTTATTATATCAATATTGCCCTTTTTATGATTTTTTGAAATAAAGTTTAAAAATTATTTTCTTCCAAGTTTTTTTAAAAAGGTACTTGAATACCTTCTATATTTGCTTTTTTTCGATTTTTTTGAAGGGTTTTTTTGAAAAATTGAATAGTTGAATTTCACCTGGGAAAGTCAAATTTTTCGAAAAATTTAAATTTTCAGATTTTAAAGCTCAAAAAAATACATATTTTCAAGGGATTTTCCGATAGAAAAAGGTGATTTTAAAGCACAAATTACAAAAAAATGAAATAAATTTTTTTAGAGTGAGAAAAAAATGAGCATTCATGTGATGGCGATCCAGCACAGAGCATTATTTGAAATCATGGTAGGTTTTTCAAAAAAATAAAGTCGTTAATTATTTTATTTATACATTCTAGGGGGCACTTATTTGAATATAGTCGTAGCTTTTCAATAAAGGATTTTTTTTTTCCTTATTAGGATCTTCAGAGTGGTCCCTTTAGGGGTAAAAAGCCATTATAGGGACCGAACAAGTGGTCCCTATAAGGGTAAAATCAAGGTGGTTCCTAAAGGGGTTTAGGATCTGATTCTTAGCCCCTAAAGCTCAAGTGGTCCCTATAGGGGTTTAGGATCTGATTCTTAGCCCCTAAAGCTCAAGTGGTCCCTATAGAGATGACGAAAAAATACAGCCCCTATATGGGTCGAAAAAGTGGTCCCTATAAGGGTTAGGGGTCGACTCCTGGACCCCTAAAACTCAAGTGGCCCCTATAGGGGTCGTTCAATTTTATTCAAAAAATGCTTATTTGTTTAGTTTTTTGGGAAATTTTTTAGATGGCCACTATTGGGTTTTGACGTTTTAGTGACCACTATAGTAGTCAAGTTAGTGGCCACTCAAGGGGTTAAAAATTGTGGTCACTGTAGAGGTCTAAGTGCTACTAATAGACCACTAAGTGGCCACTTTAAGGGTCAATAGATCAACATAACTGGTCCAATCTGTTTGTTTTAAAATTATCAGAGTTACGTAAAGGATACTGGATGAAAAACTACTGAAGTGGCCACTAAATGAAGAACCTCTATAGTGGCCACTAAACGGAAAATAGTGGCCATTATAAAGGTGGGTTTAGTGGCCACTTTAGTGTCCTTGGCGAGTCTCTATAGTGGCCACTAAATTTTCCCAGTTTCGCATAGAGTTCATGAAAATTGCAGGCTAGCATTTCCCCTATAGGGGCCACTTCTGCAAGCTTCAGTGGCCCCTATAGTGGACTCTCCAAGAGCCCCTAAATTTGCGCCTATAGGGACCATTATGGAGCTCCTAAATAGGCGCAAAATAATAATTTTTCATTTTATTGAAAATCTTCGCTATTTCTATACATGTTTCATAGTCCCTAGTTGATTTTTTTTTCCAATAATTTTCAATACCTTTAGTGGCGTCTAAAAAGTCCTGTTACAGATGAGATTGCAAGACAAAGTATTGGATGAGAGCCAAAGGAAGTCCTGGTCGGACATCACGTCGGTTTTCGCGTTCATCCACTCCGACTTGAACTCCTTCTTGGACTTCTACTTCCAAGACGTTTACGACTGGACGGAGTTTTGCCAAAAACGAGCCGCCGTCGACTGGAAAAGGAAATTCCATGAGGCCAAGTTGTTCATGGACGAGAACGACGACATGAACCGGAAGCTGACGGTTCTCACATATTTGACGATCACAAGAAGGAATCGACTCGATTTCTGGCCCGTTCGGGAGAATGACGACGACGACAAGAAGCTGAATTCAATTATCCCTGACCTCATCCGAAGCTACCATCTTGTTTCTGTCGACTCTGGAGACGTCGATGGAACCACCGTCCTTCAATTCCAAAGAGTTCACGGCTTCCGGCTGATCGGACAACTCCGATGCGCTAGTCCCAAAAAGTTGGAACACTCCTGGCTTCTGACGTCCCACGGGCTTCTGACCGCCATTTCCGTCTTGGAAAAATCCGCCGCCCTGAAACTTCTCACTCTTCACATGGTCGCCCTCAAAAACGACACCACAAACTTTTATGCAACCCTGAGTGAGGAGGACGAAGAAAAGTACGAAAGTGAACGGGATCGACAGGAAGAGATGTGCGAAAGGGCCACCCGGACCGGCCTGTTCTACAAGAACATCCTGGAGACGGCCATCGAGCTCGCCGAGTCGTTTGAGGTCGTTTTGTGTATTTTTTTTTGCTTTTTCGTTGTACTTTTTGACCGAAAGGCAAACGTTAAAAAACACATCGGAAGGGGTCGGAAAATGCTCCTTAGAAATTTTCCTTTTTACTGCCTTTTTGCGCCTTTTCATCGGCCATTTTGCAGCTTTTTTGCTCCCTTTTTTTACCTTGAGTCTTTGAAATTCTAGAAAAGTTATAAGGCTCGAAAAAGGGACCCTTTTTGCTCCCTTTCTGCAGCCTTTTTTCCCTGTCAGTTCCACTACAAAAAATGTCCATAGATGAACTTAATTTGTATTGAAGATGGTTTGGACCGATTCACTTCACTGAAAAAAAGAGATTGGTTATTACGGTGTTTTTCTACAGTAGGCCGGAAAATGGGCGGAGCCTGGTTCTAACTATTCAGGAAGTTGTTTACTATACGTAATAGTAAGGAGAGCTCTCAGGAACAGTAAGAAATTGAATTAAACTAAAAGAAAAACAGTCTTTTCAGGGGCCTGAAAAGTGTTCCCTATAGGGGTTTAGGGTCTGACCCCTTAGCCCCTGAAGCTCAAGTGGTCCCTATAGGGATCTTTCATTTTCATTCAAAAAACGCTTATCAGTTTTTCGCATGGAACTTCTTTTTCACCTTTTTGCGGCCTTTTTGCGGCCTTTTTTGAGCCTCTTCCTTTTTCCACCATTTCTCGAACCTTCAAGTTTTAGAAAAGTTATAAAGTTCGAAAAAGGGACCCTTTTTGCAGCCTTTTTTGAGCCCTTCTCTTTTAGCGGCCATTCTCCACCGTTCCGACTCTGCCCAAGTGAAAGGTCCACAAAGAAATTTTAAATTTTCAAAATATGCGTTTTCCTTCTTATCAATTCATCAGAGCTTTATTCTACTTTTATATCGATAAGAAAAATGATGAATTTTATGTAGAAAGACACATTCCAGGTCCTCGAACCCATGATGGTTCGATTCGCCTGGGACCCGAGTATCTTCGTCAAATGGCACAAAAAAGGCTACTACAAGGGGACGCCGGAGCTGGACGAGCTCTGGAACACGCGAGAGGTCGAGGAGCTCCACGATCCGCTCGCCGAACGACTCGTGGAAGTCTACGCGGATCGTCTTCCACGCTATCCGCTGATCACGAATCGAGGCACGCCGAGTGGCAACTTGGGGGAAATGATCGGAAGCAAGCCGGAGCAACTCAAGGCGTTCCATCGCCGGTCCGGAATCAAGAAGATGTTGGCTCTCGACGGCGAAGAGCTCATCGAGCAGACCAAGGTAGAATTCGAGTGTTAATTTCACTCAAGTTGTCACTTTTTCACCTCTTTAAGGAGAGGCTAGAGGTGTGAGCTCTTTTTTCGCATATTTAAAACGAATAATAAATTTCTGATTGAACAGGCCGTAAAATCCCGTTTTTCATGTACGAATTTTCAATGACCTCTTGCCTAGGATTTTTAGAGTGATCCCTATAGTGGTTAGGAGGATAAAAAACTTCTATATGAGCCGAAAATTTTTTTTTCAAATAGAAATTGAAATGGATAAAATGATGTTCCTCGGCATCATTCCATTCTTCCTTTGGGAGCAAGCCCGACTCGGCATATAAGTCTTTATTCCGTAGCGCACGCTAGCAGTGCGCTACGTCAGAGTGATGTTGTAAAGAAAGTTGGGGCGAACGCCCACAGGCATTCGTCACTCAAGAGCACATGTTCACTTAACACAATGAGATATAAACAACAATTACATCCCCTCCGATTACGGAAGATGCTTCGTCCCCGAAGCAAAGAAAAAAAATGTAGGATATTAAGAGCGAATAAAAAAATTTAGGGAGAGACAGAAGAAAAGAATGATAAAAGAGAGATGCTTAACATTTCAACACTATTGAGAAATATAGAAGAGGACTATCACATCCCCCCCTTCGCCGAAAGTCTCGTCCCGAGACTTCATTGAAGTGAGAGAATGGTTGTCGAAGTGAACATGTGAAATAAAGACAAGATGGAATAAATGCCGGACTCTGAATGCCTGAGTTCGGTGCTCAACAATTGATTCGCTACTTCGACTTGAAAAGGATAGAAATTAAAATTTTGAGTGGAAAAATCTCTGATAGAGGTCTTACAAAATACAACTTCTTAGTGATAAGAATTCATACTTTAACAGACCACACTAACTGTCAAAATGCAAATTAATCAACAACATCCGAAATTCTTATTTGAACAGCCATGCTTACTGAACAATTAATAAACCATTACATCACACCACAAATGTAATAAGTTTGAGAATCATGTATTGTTGTTTGTGTATCACTAGAAAACGAATTAAAAAATAAGGCACATAATAGATATGGAAAAAAACAGAAAAAGTTTTACCAGCGAACCGCAAGACAGTTGTTCTTCATCTGCTCGAGTGCTACTTCGTAGAGGTCTCGCAATAAGCCACAGAAGAACGAGCGACAGTTAATATCATCGAAGTAGTTGTTGAATGGACTGGTAGCGAATCAAGGAGTAGAGGTAGCTTTCTTAGATGGAATATGAGGAAGACTGGAGTAGATCTTCCGCCGGATGGTACATGGCGGAAGTTTCCGGGATCTCCATGAAATGGATAAAATGATGTTCCTCGGCATCATTCCATTCTTCCTTTGGGAGCAAGCCCGACTCGGCATATAAGTCTTTATTCCGTAGCGCACGCTAGCAGTGCGCTACGTCAGAGTGATGTTGTAAAGAAAGTTGGGGCGAACGCCCACAGGCATTCGTCACTCAAGAGCACATGTTCACTTAACACAATGAGATATAAACAACCATTACAAAATCATTAATTATCTCCCTTATACACTCTCGGGAGCACTCATTCAAATATAGTCATAGCTTTTCATAAATTGTTCCCTTCCTACGGACTCCAGAGTAGTCCCTATAGCGGTTAGGAGAAAAAACAGCCCTTATAGGAGCCGAAAAAGTGGACCTATAGACTTTGAAACCCTGTAGGGACAACCTTGATGGAGTAAAATCAAGGTGGTCTCTATAGGGGTTCAGGGTCTCATCTCTTAGCCCCTAAAGCTCAAGTGGACCCTAGAGGGGTCTTTCAATCTCATTCAAAAACGCTTATTTATTCAGTTTTTCGCGTGGCTTCTTTGCATATAAAAATTATCCAATAGCATTACCCCTATAGTGACCACTTTTGCAAGCTTTAGTGACCCTTATACGTGTTTTCCCTTAGTTTGCCCCTATAGGGACCACTCTGGAGCTCCTAAGTGAAGATCTTGAAAACTATATCATCATGAAGGGGATGCAAAAAAGTTTTTTTCGGGTTAGCAAGGATTTTTCTCGACTCATCTTAAAAAATTCCTTCCCAGTAGAAAATTATTGAAAAAGGCTCTAGAAATGTTCAAAAATGACAAATGATATAGCTGATTCACGGCTGGTTTGAGCCAGCGAAAAAAGGGTCCTGACACGATAACGCACGAGATATTGCCTGGATCGTGGAGAGCGCAGACAGAACACGCCCCCTTAGCGTCCCAAGCTAGCCGTGAATCAGCTATACCTAGAGCCTTCCTGAAAACAGAACTAAAAATACTTAAGTGACCACTTCACAAAATGAGTATATTCCAGGTCTACGAGGACGAGTTCGACGACTTCAAAACGGAAATTGAGCTGGACGACGACGAGGAGCAATGGTACTGGGATATCCGCGAAAAAAAGTCAAGGCCTATCAAAAGTCCACAAACCAAGAAACTTGATTCCTAAACTATCTTGAAACTTTGTTGTTATTTTACAAACTTTATTTTTCTGTGAAAAGTTATCTCTGCCTCATCTGTTACGCTTTCTGTTTCTTCATGTTTTTTTCGAAAAAGATTTATTATCATTTTTTTGTCCATGTGGTATTAAAAAGGTAATTGAATACCTTCTATATCTGGGTCTTTGACGATATTGTAGAAGCTTCAGAGAAGATTAAAAAAATCTATTTTTAGTAGTAATTTTGGAAAACCGGAAATTCAAAAAAAAAAAATTGGTAGGGTTTGATTAATTTTTAGACTTCATACGAAAAAAAATTTTTTTTCTCGTTTTTGTGTCAAATTTGAACAATTTTTCCTAAAAAAGGCGTTTTTTCGACGATTTTTTTCTTTGACTTTTTTTCGTAATGCCGTGTTCAAAGTAATTTCGGGGAATCGAAAAATAAAAATAACGATTTTCTCGTTTAATTTGAAAAAAACCCGAAATCCTGAAAATTGGCATTTCGAGGGGCCGCGACGCGCCTGCTACGCGGGTGCTGCAGCATTGGGTCTCGCAACGATCAAACGCGGAAAAAAAGGAAATTTTCAAAAATTTTCGCAATTAATTTTTTTGTTTTTTTGTTGACTTGATTATTGTTTTTCATTATGGCGCGTTCAGGAGCAAAACGCGAAATTTTTTTCGAAATTCAAAAAGAGCGTTCACGGCGATACTTCGAAATTAGCGAATTTCGATTTTTTTGAGATAATTTCGAGATAATTTTTTTCTTCTTTTTTTCTGTTTTAGATGTTTCTTCGTAAAGTGTCATGTGTCGTGTGCATGCACTGCGCCGCTTTCGCGCAGAAATTTGCGCTTTTGTAGAGAGAATTCTATTCGTGTCAAAGACCTCTTGTGATGCGGCCGCCTGCGCCTTTAATATGCCCCGTTATTTACGCTCTTATTGCCGTGTTCAAAGTAATTTCGGGGAATCGAAAAATAAAAAAAAGTAACGATTTTCTCGTTTAATTTGAAAACCCGAAATCCTGAAAATTGGCATTTCGAGGGGCCGCGACGCGCCTGCTACGCGGGTGCTGCAGCATTGGGTCTCGCAACGATCAAACGCGGAAAAAAAGGAAATTTTCAAAAATTTTTCGCAATTAATTTTTTTGTATTTGTTGATTTGATTATTGTTTTCATTATGGCGCGTTCAGGAGCAAAACGCGAAATTTTTTTCGAAATTCAAAAGAGCGTTCACGGCGATACTTCGAAATTAGCGAATTTCGATTTTTGAGATAATTTCGAGATAATTTTTTTCTTCTTTTTTTCTTTTTTTTAGATAATTTTTTTCTTTTTATTTTTTTCAATTTTCAACCCGTTCAAATTTATTGATTTTAGAAATAGTACGAATGAAAGCCTTAAGTTAATTTTTTTCGACTGTCTGAACTTAAAAAAAGTTCAATTTTTTTCTCAAATTTCGAATTTATCGTGTTCATCCAACGGATGTATCAGAGTGTTTGAAGTTGCAGGTCTCTAAACTATGGCGGGTATTGGATTACCGAAAGTGCTAAAGTTGAAAAAAAGGTAATTTTCATTCAAAAAAACTTTTTTTCGCAGTTATTTTTTTACAAATTTTGATTCTTTTTCACAAAAAAATTTTTAGACTCGTTAGGGGAGGCACGAGCGGCTCGTGTGAAGGTAACGCAAAAATTTTTCGTCTCTACAGTCAAGCATAAATTCGTGAGTTCTCTTATTCTTCGATGTTATTTTTCTTTCATTTTCAATATGTCTTGTCAATATGTCTTGTTCAGTTGTAAACGAAAAAAATGAATACCACGGTTCAACCGATGGTATGAAAAAAAGAACAGCAAAAGTTCGAACGACCACTTCTCCGATTATTTCATATCGCTAGGGAACTTTCCGACCAATCTTTTATCGAATTTTTCTTCTCAATAAACTTTTTCGTTTTAAATATCCCTATATAAAGTAGGCAAGTTATTCATGTTTAAAAACACAAAAAAATAGGAAAAAAATATGTTGATAGATGTTTTATAAACCGAAAAAAATATAAGGGAAAAAAAGTCGGAAAGGGATCCGTCGGAGAGGTGGCCGTCGGAAAGTTCCCTAGCGATATGAAAAAAATTCGGAAAAAGGGCGAATTTTTGTTTGAATTTCTGCTTGTGTTTTTTTCATACCACCGTTCAACCAGCTTTTCCTTTCTGGAAAAAAATTTCTTCTGCTTACAGACCTAGACGAACGGTTTACGAAGGACACGCCGAAAGACTACACGTGAAACTTGGATCTTTCCTTATGGAACTTTTTTTCTAATAAAAAAATTTCATTGTTTTCTTCTGCCTTTCAGAAACATCTCATCACAAAAACAGTTTCTGTTGTTAGGTTTTTTTAATTTGATTAACTAAGCAGCTTGTTTTTTTACATTAATTTTTTTCAAGAAGGTAATGCTCATCATCTTTATTCAAACAAATGATAGAGAAAAATAAACGCGTAATAAAAACAAAAACAAAAATCATTGAAAGAGAAGTTAAAAGCTGTGTATTTGACAAAAATCGAGACATGGTAAATTCCAAATTTATCCGGCTGGCCACAAACAACAATGTCTTGTTCGAATGAGCTGAAAAAAATTCAATACTTTTTCTTTTTAATGAAATGAACCAGTTATTGAAAAATTGTATAGATAAAAAAACCTTCCATTTTCTTCTTGACCGTTGCGTCGAAAAATCACGGATTTATGCTTGACTGTAGAGACGAAAAATTTTGCGTTACCTTCACACGAGCCGCTCGTGCCTCCCTAACGAGTCTAAAAATTTTTTTGTGAAAAGAATCAAAAATTTGTAAAAAAATAACTGCGAAAAAAAGTTTTTTTGAATGAAAAATTACCTTTTTTTCAACTTTAGCACTTTCGGTAATCCAATACCCGCCATAGTTTAGAGACCTGCAACTTCAAACACTCTGATACATCCGTTGGAAAAATAAACACGATAAATTCGAAATTTGAGAAAAAATTGAACTTTTTTTAAGTTCAGACAGTCGAAAAAAATTAACTTAAGGCTTTCATTCGTACTATTTCTAAAAATCAATAAATTTGAACGGGTTGAAAAATTGAAAAAAATAAAAAGAAAAAAATTATCTAAAAAAAGAAAAAAAGAAGAAAAAAATTATCTCGAAATTATCTCAAAAAATCGAAATTCGCTAATTTCGAAGTATCGCCGTGAACGCTCTTTTGAATTTCGAAAAAAATTTCGCGTTTTGCTCCTGAACGCGCCATAATGAAAAACAATAATCAAATCAACAAATACAAAAAAATTAATTGCGAAAAATTTTGAAAAATTTCCTTTTTTTCCGCGTTTGATCGTTGCGAGACCCAATGCTGCAGCACCCGCGTAGCAGGCGCGTCGCGGCCCCTCGAAATGCCAATTTTCAGGATTTCGGGTTTTCAAATTAAACGAGAAAATCGTTACTTTTTTTTATTTTTCGATTCCCCGAAATTACTTTGAACACGGCATATGCCTTGTTCAATTTGATTCCGCGAAATGCAAAATTATCTCTGACCCTCCAAAATTTAGTTATCTTTTTCTTTCTCTGACGGCAATTTTGCATTTTGCGGAAACACGGCATTAGACTAACAAGGAGTTCATTTTATTTGCGGTTGGGGAATTTTTCAGGAAAGTCTCAACCGCAAAGTAAATCTGTAAGAGCGTAGAAAACAGCATATTAAAGGCGCAGGCGGCCGCATCGCCAGAGGCCTTAGAGCCGAAATCTCTGTCGTTCCCATGACGTCACGTGGGAACGGCAAAAGTTTTGACTTGACGTGTTTTTATTTTCGCATATTCTTTCACTAAAAGAAACTTACGTTCAATGATGAAGTCACAGTTTTATCTCAGTATAAATTTAAAATTATTCAGGAGTATTATTTGTCATACTCGTCTCGAAAAACGCTATCCATGAAATTTACGATTTTTAAAACGTAATCATTAAACTTTTTATAATGAAAACAAGGTGGTATGAAAAAAAGACCAGCGAGAGTTCGAACGGCGACTTTTCCGATTTTTTAATATCGCTAGGGAACTTTCCGACGAAATCTTTTCCGACTTTTTTTTCTCGATAAATTCTTCGTGTTCAATCTTCCTATATAAAGTAGGTAGTTGCATGATTAAAACACAAAGGAATATGGAACAAAAATGTTAATAGATGTTTTATAAACCGGAAAATATAAGGGAAAAAAGTCGAAATGGGATCCCTAGCGATACGAAAAAAGCGGAAAAGTCGCCGTTCGAAAATTCGCTGGCTTTCGTTTTCTTACCACCGAAAACAACGTTTCAATCTTTTCGAAGTCTATTTTTTCAGGCACTTGGATTGGAATAACATTGATCTTCGTCAATTTTGAGGTAAGTTCAAGTCGAAAAATGAGAAAAAAGAACTTCTCATTCACAGGAAAATGAAGAAACGCGAGGAACAAGCGAAAGCTCTGCGAAAAGATAAAAACATGGTCAGTTAAGCATTTTATGAAATAAAATTGAAAAAAACAGCATTTCTTTGTTAGGATTTTGAAGTGAGAAAGGCTTGCCGTATAATTTTTTTTTAATATTTTAGGGCATTCATTTCAAAATTAGTCCACATGGGAATCTTTTCAAACAATTCTCGGGAGAAGAATGATATTTCAAAGATGCTTTTCAGTTGAAAGCACTCGGGCACAATTTGACGAAAGAGCAACAGAAAGCCTCGCCAAGCATCGACTACTACTTGTCTCTCCTGAAGCCGGACATGGAGACTTTCATGAACAAACACCGGGTCGAGTGCTTCGACTGGACTGAGTACTGTATCAAAAGGCCGATCGATTGGAAGAAAAAGTTCAAATTTGTTCGAACCTGCAACGCCTATCAGGACGAATTATCCGCCAAAGTCGTTCTTTGCCTTTATTTCTGTGTTCTCCGGGGAAACCGGCTGACTTATTGGGCTCTTCCGGAAAAATTCGAAGATGACTTCGACAACTATGTGCTTGAGGAACTTCTCTTGGCTTACAGGTAGGATTAAAAAAAAGTTGAAGGGCTTTTTTCAAAGCCGATTAACTTGAAAAGTGGCGATTACTGTTCTCAATTTTATTATTTTCTTCAAGGAACCTTCTTAAATTCGCAATTTGAACTTATGTCGTGTTCAAAGGGATTCCGCGAAATTTAAAATAGAAAGTGATGCCGTGTTCAATTTAATTACGCGAAATGCAAAATACCCGTTAGAGAAAGGAAAAGATAACTAAATTTTGGAGAGTCAGACATGGTTTTGAATTTTGCGGAAATCACTTTGAACACGGCAAAAAATTTCGACTAAAGTTTTTTTTTAAATATAAAATTTCGTTTTTTCACGTTCTCTAATATATTTCGTTTTTGATTACCAGTTTCTTTTTAAACTCCTCGAAAATGCTGAAATATGTTTATAGCTGATTCACGGCCAGCTTGGGACGCTCAGAGGACGTGTCCTGTGTGCGCTCTCCACGAGCTAGGCACTGTCTCGTGCATTATCGTCTCAGGACCTTTTATTCAATGGCTCAAGCCAGCCCACGGCGTTCCCAAACGGGGTGGCAAGACGTCAAAAAAATTTTGGCGCGAAATTTGAAATCTACATTACTTCAGCCGAAGGCGATCGAACAAACAAGTTATTAACGTTGAATACTCAGTTTAATTTGTGACGTAGAATGACGTCATTTCATCCGTAGCGCGCACAAAATTTTTTCTGTAAATCTAGAAACTTTGACGCCTCGCTCACCCCCACTAGGAACGCCGTGCAGCCGTGAACAGCTATATGCCGTGTTCAAAGTAATTTCCGCGAAATGCAAAATGATCTCTGACTCTCCAAAATTTAGTGATCTTTTCCTTTCTCTAACGGGTATTTTGCATTTCGCGGAAATTACTTTGAACACGGCAATAATACAAGATCAAAATTCGAGGTTTTACGCGCATTTTTCATAGACCATTCCGCGCTAGCTTGTCACGTTTTTCTTTCCGCCAAAAGGCTAGGTCAAATTTAACCAACTTTCGCTCCAAGACCTTTGTTTCTTGCCGTTATAAAAGCAGAAATTTGATCTAATTTGGTATACGGTCTTTTTGGCGATAAGAAAAACCTGACAAGCTGGCGCGGAATAGGCTATAAGCATGCTGGAAAAGGTCGCTTTTTTGTGCCTATTTTCTGAATTTCGAGAAGTTTTTTGGGCTTTCTTAAGGTGTTAACAGTTTTAAAGCGCTTATTCCTTCAGTTTTCAAAAAGTTTGGTTATTAAAATTACAAAAAGTTCACTTTTTTTTGGGTTTTTGTATTTTCGGCAAGAATTTTCGCCGGCGGGCGGACTATAAATTATACTAGAATGGACTAAAAAACTTCGAAAATGGAACAAAAAAATGGTCACTTCGAAAAAGCGACCGACTTTTCCAGAATCGCTTTTTTTACGATTTTTTTGAAAATATTTTTGTTTTTAGATTGACCCCGGTGGATGTTTTTCACGAATACAAGCCGACCGTGCTGGAATTCATGCGAATCCACGGATTCCGCGTGATTTTCCACCATCGGGCCAGCGCTCTCCGGACCAAATTGGAGCATTCTTGGCTCCTCTCCTCGCATGGTCTTCTGACCGCCATTTTGGCCTTGGAAAGAGGCGCCGCCATCAAATTCCTCACACTTCACATGTCGGCCATGAGGAACGCGACGAAGTTGTGGAAACTCGACGACGACGAAGATTACTTCGACGTGCGACAGATGCAGAAAATCATGTGTTATCATGCACAGAGATGCGGGCTCTTCTACAAGAATATCATCGATACGGCGGTTTATTTTAAGTTCATTTGGCCCCATATGTCGGCTGGATCCCACCCGGGCTATTTCAGTACATTTTCAAAAAAAATTTTTTCGCGCGTAAGCGGCTGGGGTGGGATTCAGCCATGTATTTTAGGCTCATAAAAAAATGTGGGCACTTTTTTTAAAAAATTCTTCTGTCTTTCATTGCCAGCTCAATAGAATAATAAACTTATTAGACAACTTTTCACCCCCCACGAAACTTTGCTGAATGGTACCTTATGCCCTTCTTATTGCAGAGCAAGAATCTCTTTCAAATTAACGCTTTTTTTGACTGAATTCGAGCATTGTGGAGTTTTTAATAAAAAATATTCACCAAAAGTTCAACCGGGGGGTAAAAACGTTCCCTAGTCAGGAATTTATACGCTCCGCAAACCTCACTAATGATCTTTTATCTGATTTTTTCCTGATTTTGAAGATTACTATCAAGAAATTAAAACTCTAAAGTTGAAAGATCATCCAAAACATCGAAATTTGGACTTTCTAGAGCTTTTTTCAATCTTTCAACGTTTTTTTTTTTTGAAATGTATTTCGATCATTTCTTCCGATCCATTAAATCCTACGTTTTGCCAACTTCATTATTATTTTTTTCTATTCGATGTTCTCCAGTTTTGAAAAAAACAATAAAATGAAAAAAATAAAAAAATCAAGAAATTAAAAAAATTAAAAAAATACTCGATATCAGTCAAAAAGCGTTAGAAAAACGTTCAATTACGATTTTTGTTGACTTTTTTTCAAAAAAATCTAATAAGAAGTTTTTGGCAATATTCCAGCTCAAATTCGACTCTTTTTATACCCGAAATTGACCTTAAAAAAATTGAGCTGTTTTTTTGAATTTGGGGAATTTTAAAAAAATTACGTTTTTTTGAAAAATTTTTTTATATGAAGTTTTATTGTGAAAAAAACTAATTTTTTTCATTTTCCCTCCTTTTTAATAGTCATGGTTGGAAAAACTTCTTCACCGAATTCACTGATAGGTATAAATAAATTCGAAGAAATGAGAAAAAAAAAACATGGACATTTTTACAGCACTAATGGCCTTTTTCAGATCGATCTGGCCCGTTCGTTCGACTTATGGGAAGACGAAATGGTCCATTTCGCCTGGGCGCCGAGCATTTTCGTCGAATGGAGCAACCGCGGCTACTACGTCGGGACTCCCGCGTTGGAGGCTCTTTGGAATACGCGACACGTCGAAGATCTCCACGATCCCCTGGCCGAACGTCTCGTGGAGACTTCCATGAACCGTCTTCCACAGTATCCGCTCATCGTGAAGCCGGGACCTCCCAGGGTTCACGACTTCGTGCTGACCGGCGTCTCTCGAGGACGCGCTCAACAACTGACTGCGTTCAATCGTCGCTCCGAAATCAAGGTTCTCTATATAGTCCGTCCACAGCGAATTGACAGTTCTTGGGTGTCTGCGTCTCTCTGGTCCCTCACCGGCGAGGTCAGAGAAACATGAAAATAGCACGTAAACATGAGAGGATTGCCGAGAGACGAGGAGGGCGCAGAGAAGTCCTTTCAAGTCGCAAAAAATGGACTATAGTTGACCTCGCTCAAAAACGCCGTTTAAGCCTCAAATCAAAGCTTGAGCTTTTCAAACTCAAATAACTTTCCGGCGATTTAAAAGCTTCATTTTCCCCAGCGTTTTTTTGACGACGCTTTCCGTAAAGTGTGGTGTGTTGTGTGCATGCACTGCGGCGCTCTCGCACATACCGTGAATCGTTTCTGAATTTCCGAAATTCAATTGTTTTTTCTAGGACTTTTGGAAAGAGAAAAAACTATATAATTGATGCTTTCAATAGAAGAGGTCTTTATTGAAGTGTTCTGCCTTTTCTTGGGCAAGATTTTCGAGAAGTCTTGTAACATAGCCGAATTTGGAAGGACCCTTCAAGGGCGCTTGTTATGGATCAAAAGGTTTCCATTATATGTTCCTAAACGGGTGACAACGGTTTCCTTTTTGCTGCCTTTTTCCGTCCTTTCATCGGCCTTTTTCCACCCTTTTTGGACCCTTTGAGAAACACAAAATTTAAATTGAGAAAAATCTTTACTGTGTATGGACCAAAATGTGCTACAGTTATAATATCGGAAATAATCAATTTCCGAGACGTTCAGCACCCTTTTTTGAGGCCACCAAGAAAGAAAGGCCGCAAAACGGAACCCTTTTTGCGGCCATTTTGCACCCGTTTTCCGCACTTCCGACTTTGGTAGTGGAAATTGGCTTAATGAACCGAGTCCAGTATCATCTTTTCAAACCGCAAAAATCAGAACTTGACCAGACTCTTATTAAAGGCGATGCTGGCTCTGGACGGGAAAAAACTCGTCAAAAGGACCAAGATCTACGAGCAGAAGTTCGACAGCGTCGAGTTGACCATGAAGCCTGACCAGCTCGAGGAGAAGTGGATGAAGGAAATCCGCGAGAAAGTCTTGGCTTATCAGGAATCCACCAAAGAAGATGATCACTGATTTTTACCATGTTTCTTATGTTTTTTGTTCTTATTCTTATTTTTCTCACAATTTTATCACTTATATACTTACTCTGACTCATCAAAAATTAAAAAATTAACCCAAAAAAATGTTTTACATTTCCTTGTTATTCTGTTGCTTTTTTTGTTCACCAATGCCAAATTTTTTTCAAAAAAAGGTTGGTAATTATTTTTTTCTACCGTTCCAATTTTCATCACGTAGATGTATTTTTTCGCCTTTACCAAAGCTATAACTAGATTTGGAAACAAAAATGTGCTATTTTTTTTAATTTTTTTGAGCCTTTGGGTTCAGCTTCTGCATAGTCTCTAGCATAGTTCAAAATATAACACATTTTTGAATCTTTTCTCTATTTTACCGCACAGATTTGAAAATTTTCCATTTCCACTGACATTCTTACTTTTGTATATTTTGTTGTTTCCCAAGAAAAAATGAAAGATTTTTTTCAATTTAAAAAAAAAAAGACAAACCAACCTTCGCTATCCGTCAAAACGTCCGGAAATTCAGGCTAAAAAAACCAGTTTTTCAAAGATCTATCGCAATTCTTCTTGACGTCGATGGAAGTGAACGCTCTGAAATAGATTTTTTTATATTTTTTTAATTATCCCTGTCTAATTTTTCAATTTTACAAGATATTTTCTAATCGGTAAACAATGACCTTTTTCAAAAAAATATGAAATTAAAAAAAGTTCAAGCCTGTAGTTTTCCTTTTTAAAAAAATTCATTTTCAAAAAAATCGTTAATAGACTCACTTTCATCTATTTTTTTCGATAGGGAGAAACCGTCATCATTTTTTTCCCATCATCTGAAAAAAATTTTTTTTTCTTTTTCAATTGAAAAAAATCAAATATTTCAGAAACTCTCACCTTAAATTCCGGAAGTTAGTCTGTTTCTCCCCGCGTTCATCCAGCTTTATTGTCGCCAAAAAAAACTTAAAATTTCTAGTTAAATAAAGCTTGGAAAAACTGAAATTCATGAAACAGGACTTTTTCTTGTGATATCATCATGAAAAAATAAGCTCAAAAAAACCCAAGAGGAATTGAAATATCAAAATGTTAAAATTTTTTGATTTCAGGGGTCATGAACTTTGAGTAGACCGTGTCTGCGGCTTCACGCGCAAACACGTGTAGGTTTACGGGCAGCTCCATTTGTAGTCTCTTGGGGGCCAAATAACAGAATGGGAACGAATATTTTAAACTGAAAAGTCCGGCGAAGGCCGGGATGCGGTCGTGAAGTTTTTTAGTCGATTTTTTCTATTTTTCGATGCTATTTTCTTGTCGAGAGCGTTTTCTGTGAGATTTTATCAAAATGCAGTCTTGAAAACAAGAATGTTCACTATTTCTAACCTTAATATAGCGTGAGTAAGCTTGTCTGGAAAAAACAAAATTCAAAAAGGAAATGAAGAGATTGAGTTAAGAAAATAATTAACGACCGATTTTTTGATTTCAAATAGTTCAGTAAGCTGACCAGAATTACTTGAATACAGTTCAAGCTCGATTCCAAGTTATATCAAATTATCTTAAGTGCCCAAAAATCATTTTTCAAGTAATATTTATACTCAACAAGCTTCACACGAAGTCAAGAAACTGTCTTTTAAATGTTTTCTGTGTAAATGGTCATAACTATTTTGATTTCAAAATTTGAGTTTGCAGATATTTTGGCGCCGTCTGAAGTCTCACGATGGTACCTCGAGGATACCTCTGACTTTTTTCCTTTTTGGAACCGAGTTCACAACTATTTCAACGGCACAAAGTCCGTATGCAATAGAGTGGAAAATTATTTTCCGCCATTTTCCTGAAAATTGAAATGGAAAACTTGCTAGGATACATTTTCGAGTCTGGCGCGAGAGAAATTTGCTCTGAGGCTACATTTGACGAACTCGCAATGTGCTCAGCCGTCCTGGTCGAAATTCGATGATCGCGGCAAAAAACAGAAACATATTGAGGAAGTATGGTCAGCACTGAGCACATCAGCGAAGGTCCATCAAAGTATCAAAGTCCTCGAGCGGGTCTCGTATTTTCTCACGCACTGAAAACTTCCAAAGTTCGAGACTCGCGCGATGACAGAGCGATTTTTGCGAGTTAGTCAATATACCGCCAGCAATATTGTCTTCATTTCGGCAGTTATTATTAACGATGATCAGGCTTGTGCGTCAGGGCGCCCGGACTTATGGCTTCACTTTTGAGAAAAGGTTTGCGCAGGCTTGGGCCAGGCCAGGCTTCGAACATTTTTTTAAACTGCACTGTTAAAGGCATAGGGGCAGTAAAAAATGGGGTTTCAGGTGAAAGCAGTATCTTATATAGTTTTTTTTTGCGAATCGAATGGTGTACTCAAAAAAATACAGATGTGACAACTTTAGAAGAAAAACGCGATTTTACTTTCCCGCCTTTATTTTTGAAAAAAGCTTTGGATCGGCCTACGGACAAATGTTTACAGTAGCCGTGAACGCGATGTTGCGGACGTCTCATTAGACTCGCATTTTTTGAGAAATAACCGGCTCTCTGCTTCAAATTAAGGGTTTCTTTTCTGAAAAAACGTTTAGTCAAACAAAAAACACACACCGATAATAAAGGAAACACAAATAATCGCAATCCCAATCGAAACCTGTGTAAAATCATCATTTTTCACCAAAGAAGCATTTTTGCGATCAAAGTTTGCAAATTATACATGAATCGAAAGCTTTTGTGACGAAAAGAACTTTGGTGACAACAGAAAAAATTGAAAATTGAAAGAAACGAGGAAAAAAGCGAGAATCCGAAAAATGGCGGAGCCTGTTGTCCATAGAGCGACTTTACTGCAAAACCCCCTTTAACTCAAACTTTCCTCTCTCCGACTTTGAATAATTTTTTCTTCAAAACTAGGAACTTCTGTACGTTTTCAAGTTCACCGTTCGATTCGCAATGAAAAGCTCTACAAAGTATCGCTTCGAACTAAAACACCGTTTTTTACTGCCCCTATGCCTTTAAACATATGAACTCATTTCACGTAAAGATTCGAAAAATGAGCCAGTTAAAGAGTTCAGTCAGACATTTCTTTCGCTGAAAGAAATCTTTCTGGTCATGAAAGCTGTCGTATTATGGCTCTTGATAGCCATCCAGATTGCTGGAGCCCAGAAAGATTATCCAGTGAGTTATTTATGAACTTCTTTTTGATATTTATCTCAGGAGACATTTCGAAAATGGGTTGGAAAGGCAGACGCGGAAATCTCTGCGGTTGAGCCTTCGAAAGAATGCACAACGAATGGAGAGTGTGGCCAGAATCAGTTCTGCGATTTTGTCTTTGCCAATGGACAACAAGAGCTACGTCAACGGTGTTTCAACGGTAATTATTCACTCTCTTTTTAAAATTCAATTTTAAAATTTTCAGTACCCACTATTATCGGAGAGGTCGAAATTAATGCGGAAACCGAGATAGGCTTGAAAAACGTGCTTAGATGTTACAGACTGCAGCATACCTAATGTCTGCTATCCTCTGACGGAAGAAGTTACTAACACTATGAGATGGAGAGCCAACACCGGCATATGCACGAAAAGTTTCTAATTCTGAAAGGAATATGGCAAGAAAAAAAACAAAATATAAGTTACGGACTTTGGTCGGAGAGTGCAAGAAATTCTCACTCGTTTTTTTTCCAGCGCCTTTACCCGAATTAAGTTTCAAGCGCTTTTCATCCGTTCTAGTCCAGCGGATGCTCCAAATCGGGAAAAAAAAACCGGGTGAAACATTCGAGCATCCGACGATCATCCGTTCTGTGAAACAATGACGTTTTTGTCGAGCGAGTCAGTATATCCAGAGCTGTTCTCGGCCTGCGAAGCGGTTTTCATTTAGGCCCCCGAAGCGAGCGCGAGGTTTTTTTCTTCCGTGTTTTTTTGTTTTGATTTCAGTTTTTTTCATATTGAAAATAAATGTTTAAGTTATTTATGATCCATGAAAAGTTTAAATTTATTGTTTTTTTGACAGAAATCGCGATTTTTGATTTCAATTTTTTTCGCATCTTTTTCGTTTTTTTCTCTTTGTAAATAAATAAAAATAATATTTCAAATAGTGGTTTGAATGAATTTTTGCGAAAATGAAATTCTGATGATGTGAAAAATTTCAAATTATTTTTTTATTCGTTAATTATTTTCTCTAGTTCTGTAAATTGTTCTAGCCACTTAGAAAAACTATTGAATTTTTTTGGATTGATATCTCATTTCATCGGTTTTCCTTCTTTACTTGCTTGATAAAAAATGGTTTTTTGTTTCACTTTCGTTTCAGTAAAACTCGCGCTTCTTTCGCTTTCTTATGATTCGCAAAATACCGGGAGTCAAAAAAAAATTTGTATCTACGGGTCGACCGAGTTGACCCTTACCAAAGGCCGACCGCGGCCGCCCTCGAATACGCCACAAATCGGGGGGCCCTCGGTCGACCGGGGTCGCCCCGAGAACAGCTCTGTTTTGCTTCATAGATATACAGTATATCTATGAAGCAAAGCGTGATTTCAACATTGTCTTTCCGTTTCAAATTCTGCTTTACTTGGTATATAACCGTCAGTAACGACCTGTTTCACTAATTATCGCTCAATTGAACTAACAAAAAAACTTCGCGTTGAATCGCAAACCGCTACTCCCTGACATCATCTCAATTTGGCGATTCGCACACGCAGCAATATTATTTGATTTATTTTTTTCACGTTTTAACTTTCCCCTAGAGATACTTTTGTCGAGGTTTTTTACTTTTTGAATTTTTTTTAAAAACTAAGTTTCTATACTGATTTTTTTGACATAATAATTTCTCCTGTATTTAAAGATAATAGACATACATAGCATATACGTTGATAAATGGCTCCAACGGAAAAAAATAGTTATAAACTAACCATTCTTAGTATTAACAGTATTATAAATTACTATGTTCATTTAGAGTGTTCATGCTTCATACATCGTAAAACAGTTTTCTAACTCCGTCATCTTAGTCGCATATTAAAAAAATAATTCAAAAAAATAATGAAATGGACTCAAGGAAGCCATCGGCATTTTATGAAGTTAATGACACTCCCATTTAAAAAAATTGAATAAAGGGGAATAGAATAATTATTAATAAAAAAATATTATTAAATCTTTATCCACAAAGTCACAACGCTAACAAACGCAATCTGTGGGCGCAGTTTTTTTATGCAAAGGATCTTTCCATAGCGACCGCAAAGCCCCGCCCCTTTTCGCGATGGAAAAAAAGGCCATTTTTTTGGTATTTCGTCTTTGATTGTTTCGTACAGCCGATAGAAAAAAATTTTTCTCAATTGCAATGCAGTATTAGTAGGTTTTTATGCTTTTTCATATTGAGAAAAAAATAATGCTCAAATAATACTTGTTGACAACTACAAAGCAAATGTACTGTTTTTGAGTGGTAAAAAAAGGTGGAGAATTTTTTTGCGAGTTGTTTTGAAACATTTCCCGGTCGACGACACGCGTTTTTTTCTTATTCATTTATAAAAAGCTTGCAATTTTTAAACAAATAAAAGCAATAAAATCGAAAAATTCAAGATCGCCGAAAAAAATTTTTTTCAACATTAAAGGTGAATAAAAGTGGGCGAAATTACATTTTCATGAGACTCAAAGGGCACTGTAGGCTGTATTTGTGCAGTCACTGAGACGAAAGTGATGGTAAAGTGGAATTACAGCTCGTAAAACCTTCTCTTTTGGTTCTTGAAACCGTGCCGCCCTTGCAAATAAGAGTGCGCGCAGACTGCATGAGAATTTGCAAAACCAAATTTTCAGTGCAAAAATTTTGCTTTTCGATTACTTTTAAATATTGTTTTCTCCTCTTATTCTTAATATTTTTCGTTTTTCTTTTCTGTTTTCGCATACTACATATTAAAAATCATTATTTTTCATAACAAAAACGAGGAGCTAGCTTTGAGTTCGGAAAAATAGGTCTGTGGTCCCTATCTTTCCATTCTACGATTTTTTTCACGTAAATAAAATAAGTATATAGCCAAATGTTTTGATCAAGCTTATTTCTTGTGTTCCGAATGACTTCATAAAGTGACGTCAGGGGGTTAGCGGCTTTGCGATTTAATAAAAAAACTATATATTCTTCACCCGATTTTTGAAGCGTTTTTAGCGGAGTGTTTTTTTCTCAAACAAGATAGTCAGTAAATGCTATACTTTGAAGTGAAGTGGTTGTATTATACAATACAAATTGTATAGCGCGAACGCCTCCTCAATGCTCGCAGCGGTCATTTTTTTTAAGAAAAAAATAGCGTTTTTTTCTCCAAACTTGTGGTTTTATACTATATTAATAACTCATTATGACTTTGAAAACTGAATTATACTACTAAATATTTTTGAATACGATACGATAAACGACTAAAAGTGTAAAATCTAAACTTTCAGTACTCAATTTCGCAACTTTTTTTCACTACGCTTTCGACAATAACTTTTTTTGTTCTCAACTTTTTTTGAAAAAAATCAAACTGTTTTGAATAGTAAATTGAGCAGCTATCCTACCATAGTAATATTGAAGCTCGAAAATTCTGGAATTTCGGTTGCAGTCCCTACCTAACGCTTCACTTTGCCAATCTGCACATCTCGCCTTTCGAGTCGGGGAAACATTCACTATATCCCAAATCTCAACTTTAATGTTTACTATAGACTATTTTATATAAAAATTTGTTTATAATATCGCATTGTTGACAGTTCCCATCCTGACCGACGATCCTAAAGAGGAATTGGGCGATACATGTGAAAAACTCAAAAAGAATGCCCTCTACAAAGCTACAGGCGTTCGACCTACGATTACAGAATGTGAGTCGTATTTTTTTCGGAATATTGAGAAAAATGATACAAAAAGATTTTATTAGAATTTTTGGGACTACGAAACTTCAGTTCAAAAAAAAAAGAAAGAAAAAAACTGATCGGAAAAATTGAGTTACCAGGGAACGTTTTTTACCCCCTCTTAAGTTCAACCGGGGGGGTAAAAAACGTTCTCTAGTTAGGGAAATTTTATTTTGTTAATCGCGTTTTTATTGTTACTTTTTTTGTTGTTGATAGTTTCTGCTTGAAAAAGACAATCAAGAAAATGACTCAAAAAAGAAAAATATACCATTAAAACAGAAACAAACATATAGTATACTTATTTTTGCGAACTATCTAAAGTGCGCATTCCAATCAGAATACTAAGCTTACGAGCTGAATTTTGGGAACAGAATTCCCCTGAACTCAGATTTCCTGACAGCGGAAAAATGTGTGAGCCAAAAATCTTTCCAAGTGACGAGACTCCGCATCAAGAATATCGAACTGGAAACATACAGACAGTTCGTGATTTTTAGGCTGAGATCTTGACAAAAAAAAGGAGTTTATGAAGTAGTGGCCAAATAAGATGTTGTCAAAAAACCATTCCATCAATAGCGAACCTACTAGATGATTTCCAAATTAAAAAAGTTATAAAAGTATATCAAAACAAAAGTGTAAATGAGATTAATGATGCTATTTTTCCAAATTATTAAATAAAACATTCACGACGAACGGAATCGTACTGGTTAAGTAATTACAAAGACCAACAAGACTATTCTTCTTCCAAGTAAAAATAAATAGATTATAAAAACCAACGGCTTCATCATAATTTCATTTTTTTGAACGAAAAAGAGAAAAATTTTTTCAGACATGTCTGTAAAAAAATCAAAGCTACAAAAAATGTTTTCATTCAAGAGGATCAAGCAGTCTGTTGTCGAAGTTGAAGGTGAAACATTTGACGAAAATATCATTTTTTTGAAGCAAATTTCAATTGTACGTCCACCTTATTCGCGCATAATCCCAAATATTCAACCGATGGAGAGGCTTACTGTATTGAGGATTCAGAGAAGCACGTGGACAGCAATTTGGGAGTTGTTTGTTGTCGTGAGTACAGTGCAATAACAATCTTAATTCGAACTCTTGAAATAGGAAAATTGTGGACTGAAATAGGCTCGTTATAAAAATTGAAAAAAACATTCAGCAATACCGTATTCGCACATTCTTTATGGGACTGCGATTGACAACGAAAAGAAGCTTCCGCGAGGTTATAAGGAAACTGGCGCCGGCACCGCTTGTATTGACAGCAAAACTTGCAACGCCGACGAATTTTGCGACGACTCGTCGAATGTTTTCCATGGTCGTGGTGACTATGACAGATCAGCACCCGGTGAAAACCCACTGCGGTTTTGTTACAAATGTTTCATGAAAAAATAGTGACTTTTTCCCAATTTAAATGAGCTTCTAGTTCCAATCGACGATTATGCAACTTATGAAGATAATGAGAAGAGGACTTGTGTGGATGACGATGAATGTGATCCTAACGGCGTCTGTAGGAAAATTCCTCTTCAACAGGACGCTATAGACCCCTACCTCGCCTTTTGTGGGGGAGGTTAGTGACAAAAAAAAAGTGATATACATAGGGACCGCAAAGCCACGCCCCTTTTCGCGATAGAAAAAGTGGCTCTTTTTTGGTTTTCAACTTTAATTTTGCTGTAGTTGCAAAATATGTGGAACTGGATAATAAATTTTGACACCCATGTACAGAAAAGCTTCCTCTTTCGTTTAAAAAATATTTCACGCTTTTTTGATGCGTTCGCGCGGAATGTCGTACAAAAACGTGAATGGAACTAAAAAATTTTGTCAATTTTTGCTTTTTCATGTGTTTTCAGGTCGAACGCACTCTTTCTTTTTTTAAATAATGATTTTGATTCAAGTAACGGTAATTTTAAAACAATAAAATAAAAAATTCGTCTTTGCCAAAAAAATTTTAGGGAGTGCCGAAAGTCATAATTCAAAAATATCGTTAATAAGCGAATATAATCGAGTTTTTTTGTTTTTTTAAAGTTTAGATCATGGGCTTACTTAAATATTTCTCTACAGCATCTGTGCTTGAAAAAAAGTTGTTTAATACGCAAAAAATGTTCTTGAAACTAGAGGATAAAAATTAGCGGCGTTTATCACACCGAAAGCGGTCGAACGCAGGTTTTTTTAAACGATTATATAAATTTATTAGTAAGAAATCTTTCAATTAAAAATAATAAAATAAAAAAATTCGTCTTTGCCAAAAAAATTTACGGGGCCGTTTTAATGCAGCGATCGTTAAACGAGGCAAAAAGCACTAAAAAAAACAGTTTTTTCAAAGTGAATTTCTACGGAAAGTTTGAGTAAAGATTTGCGATCATATTCTGATAAAAACAGCTTAATTACTTCAAGTTTTTCTTTTTGAAATGGCAATCTGTGCAATTCAAACGGCTCAAGGATATGGCGGATGGAAGCTCCCCTCACTAGACCTAACAGCTTGGCGCAGCGCGTGCGCTGCGAATTTTCTTTTTGAGGTCGCGAGTTCGATGCCCGCAAGCGCCAGTTTTTTGTTTTCTGGAAAATACCGACTTTTTCGGCAAACTAGCAAATTTGCATTATTTTAGCACTCTATTATGATTTGTCACATCATAATAGACCAGTATCAAAACTTGTTCTGGAAGAAAAAAATCGAGAAAAAAATGTCAAAAAAATGGATAATACCAAAAATTTTCAGTACTAAAAAATGGTGCGCGGCGCGCCACATTTTTTTCGTCATAACTTTTTTTCATCCTTAATCTTTTTTTCGAAAAAAACTAAACGGTTCTGAGTTTTGAATCGAAACAGCTATCAAACCATACAAAGCTCAATGCTGAAAAAATTTTTTTGAAAAATTCGTCTGCGGTCCCTAGATATACATTTTTACTTGACGGAAAAATCAACGTTCAGACATTCAGATTTCAAATATTCTGAAAGTTTCATTTTTTTGATTGAAAAACCTTTTTAAAGCAATAACTTGAATTACAGAGAATTAAATTCGTTTGATTTTAATTTGCAGTCTCAAAGCCGACAAGTTCTCAACCGCCAGTAGTTACGGTTTTGACGAACTCCGAAAAGAAAGGATCCGGCAGACGAACAATCTGCTCACAATCTTGATGACGAAGAGAGTCTCGCTGCTCCCATTATGATTATAAGCAAACTCTGCCCATTAATCTTGATATTTACTTTGCGTGTGTGGTTTTGATGTGCTAACTGATATCTGTAACCTTTTTATTTGAAAAATAAAAATATTGGTTTCTCTGATTTTTTTGTGTCGCTTTTTACTTCTCCTAAAAATGCTTTAAGGATTCATACACGGAAGAGAGAAAACCAAATTAAAACAAAAAAACAGCTAATTGACCCTAAAAAATTTGCTGTGAAGAACCTGAAATCATAGCAAGCCAAATTTTTGAAGCTTGAAACTTTATTAGAAAAACAAAAAGCGCAGCTTTTTCGACTGATTTACAGTAAAGGAGCTGCCCCTTTTTAGTAGTGTGAAATTCTAACTTTGCCATCGTATTAACAAACTCCAAACATTCTCGAGCCCAGATGAATATTCTTCAGAGTTCTTACCTCGCGAGTTGCAAGATGTAAAAAATGAAAAATCCTAACCAGAGAATCTGAGCATTTTTTGCAGAAAATATAAAATTTTCGGTATTCAGTTTCATTAGATTCTCAAACAGACACGTTTCACACTCCCCATTGGAAGATAAATTCTTCCATATGATGCTTGTTAAAAAAAGAAAACCTTGATGTCAAAAAACAGTGTCGAAATCGAGAATATAAGTTGCGTTAAACTTCTCCTTTCAAAGCGTATTTAAGAAACGAAGGTAGAGAAAAATGAGTAACAGGAAAAATGATCAAATTTCGAAAAAAATTAAAAATTTATCAAGCGGGAAGGATTGGCTATATCAATCGGCGTCAACGTCCATCAAAACGACTAGTCGTCGTTTTGTATCCAAAAATGAGAACGAACTAGTCATCCATCTCGTTATCTTTTTTTTATGTTTGTTTACGTCGGAATTATTTCGAAAGTGGCAGCTTTCGATAAAATTATGACAAAGAAATCGTTTCAGAATTATAAATAAACTTAACGACCGACTTAGAATAGAAAAAAAAAACTCAGAACGTGCGTTTGATGAAAACGACAGTCATTGAATACATCGTCCTTCCTAAGAGAAGGAATACCTGTCTTCAACAATGAGGGTCTACAGTGCTCTTTCTCCTGTTAACTATTCCGGTGGCTGGAGCCATTAAGGATTGCCCGGTGAGCCGTCTCCAATTTTCTTTTTAATTATGTATGTTTTCAAGGAAGGCTATACTCTGAATAAGGCGAAAAGCTGCACCAATAATTCTGGAGCACCCTGCGACGGCGACGATCATGTCTGTAAGGGAAGAAATTGCTGCGTTTGTAAAGTTTATTTCTTGAAAGAGGCGTCTTTTTAGTTTTTAAGTGTGGTATTTACTACAAATTTGCCTGAAAAACTCATTGAAAGTTTAAGAAAGAAAAAGAAACTGGTGCGAAACTTCAAAAGAGACGTGAAAAACGCCCAAGAAAAATACGCAGTTTTTAGAATTTTCGAAGCTTAATTAAAAGTAACTTGTTTTGTAGGCAATACTGGGAAAAAAACTTAGTAAAAAAATTCCGATCAACTCGGATGGCTTTATGCCATGTAGTAGTACTACGATGGAGGTCTTACTTGAAAGACCTCTGACCAAGCTACGACGCTACTTGAAGCGGTTTAGTATAGCGGGATCACAAGGATCCACAGAAGCATAGCTTCTGGCCCAAGTACGGGACTTTGACGACTTCAAGACCGATACTGGCTGTTTGGAAAACAGCTGGCTCTCCAGTGGAGAACCGATCGGCGAGGGCGCATGAAGTTTTTGGGAATGAGATACACTTCTCAGCAGAAACTGCTGTTTGTGTATCGCCACGTGATCTTCGAACACGTGGAAATTTTAAAAACTTCAGTAATGGACGCAAAGTGGGACAGCAATGTGATCGTTTCGTAGTATTTGTATATAAATGCATTTTTTTTTTAGATTTCACTTCACATGAACCAAGTTGAACCAACCTAGTCGTATATTACTTCTCCAGTTATACTTTTCGGGAATACTTGTCTAATGAGTGCTCCGAACCTCCTAAACCATCTCATGACTACTTCACTGCTGTCAGGATTTTTGATTGCTATAGGTTTCACTTTTTTCATACGGATTCATATTCTTTGCTGAAGTCAAGTCGTCCAAGAGCACTGAAAGTCACTTTTGAGCTCGAAAAGCACAACAACCCTACGACTCACGACTAGCGGAACGACAAGAAATGACCTTTTAGCTTTGCGTCTTATCTTTTGATCTCCAGTCCTTCTCGCATTTAGTGGTACTACACTTAAACCGCTTTGCAAAGCGACCCCTTGGATTCCTACTTCATTTTTACTCTTTCCAATGGTCATTTTCGCTCTTCTTTTAGGGGCCAATAAGTACGCGTCTCCCTACAAGGGGTACTTCACTTTTTTCCAGTATTCTTTCAACTTGAGAAGCTCGAAAAACTCAAACTATATCTTCCATATCCGATTTCACAAATTATACGAACTTGCTGATTTCAGTTTTACCACCATCAATCACGTTTCAAAAGTGGGTAGGAAAAGCAGACAATGAAATCATGGCGGCCGATCCGTTGACTGAATGCGTCACTAATAAAGATTGCGGTCAGCGCCATTTCTGCGATTTCGTCTTTCTTAAAGCCAACAAAAAACCTTACGTCGCCAAAAGTGGAATTCCACGGAAAGTATGTTATAGAGGTCCGTTCGGTTTATCTCTTCACATTCAACCGTCTTTTCCAGTGCCCAGTTTTGTCGGAGAAATAGAAATTGGCCCAACCGGAAAGACTGGCCTCAGTCTTTGTTCAAAAATTAAAAATTGTGGGACAAATGGCGTGTGTTATCCTTTAGCGCTGCCAGTTTTCGACTCGAAAAAAAAGGCATTTCTCAACGGAGCTTGCATACAAAGTTCGACATTTTTTGTTAGAAGTCAAGAGTTAAATGTATTTACAGTGATTAGCGTGACGAAGGATCCCCTAGAAGAGTTCGGCGAGATTTGTAAAAAGTTCGAAAGAGTGCACCGAAGTCCAGTTCAGAAGAGGAACAGCAAGGGCTGCCTTGTGAGTTTCGTTGGCCAAACATTTAAAAATTTATTAGATTTCGTGAAAATTTCTTTCATTAAATAAAACATGATTGAGTGACCGCTAAATACCATACTTTATAACTCACGTAAAAAATCGCTAGTCGTTTTAAGTTCAAGTAAACTTTAATAAAATTATTTCACGCAAATGTGAAAAAATCTGGTATTAGCTATAATAAAATAATTGTTAACGATAATTTGAAATTAATGACGTGAAAGTGATTTTCGAAAGATTTCGAGTAAATTAGTATGAAAATTGACAGGTTTCAAAAAACATATATGTGACTCTAGTTAGCTAGTGAGTGAGTTCATGAAGTTTTAGATTTTAGATGCAGATTTAGAATTTATAAAAATTGTCTTTAAAAAAATTCAGGATGGGCTGTAAAAAGTTCAACTCAACAAATGTTTTTGTCGACAATCAGGCAGGTGTATGTCTAAGAGGTTTGGTTAAGTTTGAAATAGAATGATCAAAATCTTTCCAGCGTATGTTCAATGTCTCAACACCATGAAGGCGGCCCAGCCATCTTACACGGAAAACAGGGACAGCCTTCTGTCCAAAAGGACTCTCACGTACAAACGGACTTAAATCTTGGCGCGATATGTTGTGGTAAGTGGAGTTCAGCCATAAGGCTACTCAGATCGAAGAGCTTTTTCCCATACAGAGTTCTCGGAAGTGAAATGAGAGATCTTAGGTCAATTCAGAAATTTACTTCCAAAAATCGCAAAAATTCGGCATGAAAATACAATTCAAACTCACGTTCCGAGCTTGGACTGGAGGGGTTGGCGAGCTTTGTAAATTTTAAACTCAAAAAAATACGAATTTCACTTTGAAAACTTCGAAAACCAAAAAAATAGATTATTTTTCAGATCATTGGGCTGATCCAAAAAGCTTTATTTGAACTTTTATTCGACTTTTGAGTTTACTTTTTTACACTCGTCCGTGACCTTTTTGGGGCACTATTTAAAATCAGCGTGAAAACTTCGAGCTTGATCTCATACAGTCCCGCTGTGAAAAGAGATCAATCTCTTACCAAAATAAAAACACATAAATTTCAGCGGAGCCTCTATCGCATACTCTTTGCTGGACGTCAATCGAGTACGCGAAAAAAATGCCGGTTGATTACGAAAAAAACAGAGTTGGCAAGACGTGCACCGATAGTCGTGAATGTCGCAACGAAGAATTCTGCGACGACGCAGTGAACGCTTTCAATGGCATAGGAGCGAAAGACAATTCGGGAACGAACAATCAACCTCTGCGCTATTGTTATCTGAGTTGAATGAAAAATATCAGCTTTCAGTGAAAAAAAAATTGAACTTCAGTGCCGATCCACGATTATTTGCCTATCGGAAAAAATGAGAAAACAATGAGTGCTACGGACGGCGAATGCCCAGGCGGCTCCTGCTTCCCATGTACGACGGTTCAAAGAAGCCTATTGGCTTCTGTGCGATTGGTAGGTGAAAAAAAAGTGTCTTCTTGATAAAGGAAACAACACGAGTAGAATCAGCGTTTCGGAAAATTATCTCTCAAAAGTTTGGAAGCTTTTCCATCAAGCAAGTGAAAATAGCGTAGCTATTTTTATAAAAGCTCAAAGTTTATTTGAG